CGACCGCAGCCGCGACCGCCGCCGCGATCGCACCCCTGAGCGCCGCAGCCACGAAGACTACCGTCGCACGCCGCTGTACCGCGAGCACGTGCCGGACTACCCCGCGTCGGCGAAATCGACCTACAAATACCAGGTGCCGCCGGAGACGGTCGCGTACGCGCCGCCGTTGGGGGACGTCAACGTGCATCCAGTGTATAGTCCGTACGAGAAGGACGGGCGGGGCCAGCATTTCGCACCGAAGCCTCATATGTATCGGTCGCAGACGACGTTTGGGTGAGGGAGGGGCATTTGAATGGACGGACTGGAATGGAAGCGCTCTTGATGGGACGTCGTCAAATGGATTGCTAAGGGATTTCGAAGGCACGCATGCACTCACTCTCATGTTTTTCCTATTTCGATTCTTGTTTACACTTTTTTCTCTCTACGATTTTGTTTCATTGTATGTCATCGCATATTTCGGGTGGGCCATTTCGGTTTTATGTAGATAACGACTCTTGCTCTTCACACCTCGGCGGTATTTCGTCCATCTCGCTCGCTGCGCACGCATGGCATAGCTCGCGTTGCATCCATTCGCCGCTTATGACATGAATTATCTGGCTTTCTGATCCGGGCTGGTGGAGGAGGATATGCACCCGGTCTTTTGGGGTAGAAGCATGAGGTTGGGGGTTTTCGGATTCTGAATTTGTAGTTCGAGATGAATACCATGATTATCTAGCCTCTCCTCTCGCAAATTCTATGCATATGAATTGTGTATATGGCATCGTTAAGCCAGCTATATCGAGGCGGCTCTCGGCGCTTCTTTGTCGGTATCTGCCAATAAGGTAAGCTGATTTGCCTACAAGTCCAATGATACTCGACTGAAGTATTAAGGGCTTAATATTAGTTAGTGATCTTGGTGACTTAGATAGCGGAAGAGTATAATGCCAGAAGACCGAATTGGCCAAGCGTGAAGTAGTTCTGAAGTACGGGCTCAATTCATATTAGTAAGGCATTATTAAATGCCTGAGGCATACATATCTATCGTAAGGCACCAAATATGGACGACTGACGACAAATACGCAGTTCCATCTCGATTTGACGACGACATAAATAGGCCGGCCCACCTCAGTTAATATGAAAGGTAATACGTTACTGTATAATATATGTGTATAACCTCGAAATCAATCCGACCTTCGGACCGATGTTAAACACGATCAGTATGGTCGCTGCTAGATGATCCGGCGATTGCCAAACCTCACAGCGACGCGCTCCTCCTCGTTATCTCATGAATGAGAGCACGCGAGAAGGGGATGCACTATGGAGACCGCCATTCGATGGTCGCCCCACGCCACCGCCCAGAAACCGCGCTTCGTCCTCATCGACGTCGCCGTCAATCGAATTCGCCTCTGCGAGATCCAGAACATCCACAAGCAGACCTCCCAGGTCCGCTACCGCCAAGTCGCGCAGCGTGACAACCTCCCGAACTTCACCGCCTTCGACTGGTCAAAGACGCACGAGAACCTGATTGCGCTGGGCTCCCTCTCCGGCGAAGCAAACCTCCTACGTCTAGACGTCGACGCGACGGAGCCGGAGGCGCTGCGGTCGTTCCCCATCAAGAGCCAGCGGAAATGTAATTCCATCGCGTTCAGCTATCGGAACCTGCTCGCGACGGGGCTGGAGCGGGTGCGGAGTGACTTTTGCTTGCATATTTATGATCTGAATTCGGAGGGGCCAGCGGGGTCGCAGGAACCGATTCGGAAATTGTCGGGGTCGGAGGCCATCACGAGTGTGAAGTTCTTTGCGCGGGAACCGGACCTGGTGGCAGCGGGCGTCTCGAGAAGTTGTATTCGGATATGGGATTTGAGAGGTAAGGTTGAGAGCACTCGGTGAACTCCATATCTGACCTTGGGTAGAATCCGCGACAAGTGCAACGGCGCAATATCCAACTCGCCAGGTACACAACCTAGCGATTGATCCGCTAGACGATAACTACTTCGTCTCGGCCGGCCCGCCAGGTGACCCGGTTGTTTGTGTCTGGGACCGTCGCTTCGCCTCTCGAGCCGGCCCATCTACTCCTTCTAGTTCTGAACCTCCGGGACCGCTGCTGGAGATCAGGAACGCAATCGATACGAGCCAGCATCGCCCGTCGATCTGGAGCCTGCGGTTCTGTGGTGTCCGGCCAGGATGTTTTGGAATCTTGTCCAGCGCCGGTGAGATCAAGGTGATTGAGATTGCTCGATTTAACGCTGCTTCTGGAGGTAGAAACAGTGGTTATGGTTCAGTGGAAGGATCTGTTACGAAGCCGCAATACCATGCGTCATTCACCCACAATGTCACATGGCCTTGGTATGACATGCACCGTGGACAACCAGAGAATAACCACGTGATGGCCTATGACTTTATGTCAGTTGGTCCCACGAAGAATCAATCCGTCATCGCGCTTCGATCATCACGCGAGGTCGAGATGATTGAGATTCCGTCAGCGCAGCCGGAGGTGGGTCTGAGCAACCTTGATGACCTCCTCGTTTGGAAGGAGTCGAGAACGCTTGTGCCATCCAACCCATCCTTTGGGACGGTTGCAGAGGAACTGCTCGATATGCAGGTCCGAAAACTGGGTTCGGAGCACACTCGCAAATCCGCTTCTGACCAGATTGGCGGGGAGATTGCGGCGAGGATCGACAAGCTACACATCGACAGCAGCGCAAGTACAACAGCGAATGATGCGTCCGGTTCCAACTGGGATCTCCACGAGGAATTACTCCATATCGGCTTCCCCAAGACAAAGCTGGATTTCAGCGATATCCACACCTTGCTTTCCGTGCAACGTCGACGATGCCAAGAGGGCTATTTGTTCGATGTGAAGAAGAACAAGTCCATCGTAGCGAACGATAGGTGGCTTGTGGAGATGTGGGATACCGTCAAACGGTTTGAAGAGTTGGCAGTAGACCGTGGAATGATCGGCAATAACCTTGACTTGAGCTTCGTTGGAATCGCGGGCATTTGGAAGAATTCCTTCGGATCTAGCTACGTCAACCGAGTGCTAGGAAGCAGTTCTTCCGCCCATGACGAGTTCATCGACGCAGTTCGAGCCATTGTATCTGCCAAGGAACTCCCCGAATACGAGGGAGTAGAGACGGCATACCCCGAGCACCGACAGCTCTGCCTGGCAGTCTGCGGTTGGACTTTCGCTTCCGTAAACCGACTCCGTCAGAAGTGTCTCGAACTCATCGAAAATGGCGACCACTACAAAGCGATTGCGATGGCGGTGTTTCGTGGGAGGAAAACTTTGGCGCTGGAGTTGTTGAAACAGTGTATCCGACAGAGACGCGTCGACAATATTGGTCTGGTGGCGGTTATCGCATGCGACACGGTTAATGAGGAACAGCGATCACTTTGTTCATGGATGGCCGACGAAACGAGCGATCCCTACTTGAAAGCGTTACTAAGCTACTTCGTCATCGGAGACTGGAAGGTTGTCGCGAGCATGAACAAAATCTCCCTCTCCGAGCGGATCGGCGTCGCCATGAATTACTTGGACGATGCCCGGCTCGGCGAATTCATTTCCATCGAAGAGCAAGGTGTCATCTTGTTCGGAAACATCGAAGGCATCATCTTCACCGGCCTGACAGATCGTGGCGTCGACCTCTTCCAGCACTACGTGGCCAAGTTCCACGACGTGCAGACCGCGGTGCTGGTGATGGCACACACGATCCCGCGATACCTCAGCGACATGCGCTTCGACTCTTGGAAATCCACCTACCTGAACCAGATGCAGGCATGGCAGGCGTACGTCCCCCGCACCAAGTTCAACATCCTCCACACCCGCAAGTCCATCGGCCCCGACGGCAAACCCGTCATGAAGCCTCCACCCGCCCCGATCCGCGTCCGCTGCACGCACTGCCACGCCTTCCTTGGCGTCGACGCGCCCACCAAGACCAAAGAAACCCCCACGCCCGCCCCGAACACCCGCCGCAATCCCGCCATGAACTCCGGCATCATGTGCCAGCAGTGCGGCAAGGCGATGCCGCGCTGCGGGATCTGCATGCATTACCTGGGCAGCCCGGACCCGTCACGCAAGGGGGGCGTGGAGGCGCTGAAGGGGGAGGAGCTGATGTCGAGGCAGATTGTCTTCTGTGCGAAGTGTAAGCATGGGAATCATGATGGGCATGCGAAGTTGTGGTTCGCGAAACATCAGGTCTGTCCGGTGCCGGATTGTCAGTGTATGTGTGGGCTACTTCACTAGGGCTGTGGTTGGACGTTGAACGGGTGGATTTTCAATATTGACTATCATAGAATATCGAGCCATATTGGTAGTCGATAAAAGCCACGATTAGACCTTGCATCAAAGCAGACATGGAGTGAATATTCCCCACCATAGGTTCAGTTGGAACGTGGAGGTCTGGTCTCTGGAGGACATCAAGAATTCAAGATGTCTTCCAAGTTCCATCATGAATTCATCATGTTGTTGAATTGATAGTGGCAGCCTGGCTCAGGCCCCGAGGCAACCATGTTGAGTGGGTCTCATCCTGTTTCATCTTCGCGAAGCCCAAACATCATCTGAACCTCAACTGTCACAACCTTGCCCTCCAACTGGCTCTCCTTCACCAACTACTGTATCATCAGTCTCATACAACATCAAATACCCGCTGAGACCTTTATCCTGGTTCACTCTCGTTTCGCTTCGCAAGCCCTGTCCGCCGAAGTCTCGACTATCCTAACCTTCGACTTATGCCATTCGTGGACGGGATATCTCATACACCACGACTGCCGTGGCTTTGGAACCAGCCTCTATATTCCAACCATTTCTCGCTCGCGGGGTACGAGAATGTCAATGGTAGGTACCAACACGCGCTCCAGTGAGATGCCGGACGCGAGGGACACGGTTGTAGGGCGTCCATAGGATCACCTCCGGGTTGGTATAGGGGTAGGCGTGAATTATGTACCTGATCCCGTTCAGTCACGAACCCGAGGCAGGGAGGGCATAGTCAGCAATTCTCCGGCGCGGTATGAAGGAGAAATCAAGGTAGTTCCATCCGAGTGTCGAGAACCACACAATTTACCCTAAAGAGATGAGATATGAATCGCTTCCCCATGTCATCCCTTGCTGTCGTTCGTCTCCTTCCTACAGTTTCGGGCAGCATCTCCACCCAGACTGTCCCAGATTCGTTCGGCCAAGCTTCCGTTCGATACTTAGTTTGGGCTTATACCCGCTGCATCGAAGCGGGACGGTCCATGTCTGATGGAGTGGTGGTGGTTTGTGCACATTTTTCCTGGCTCAAGGCTCGGTCTAGGAATCGCCAACATCCCCCGAGATCCGCTTCGTCTAGAGCCTAGCGTTCACGATCCCCCATTCCTACTCATTCCTAGAAGTACAAGTCTCCTCTGTTGCCCATTCCATCCAAATTGTTCTCACTTTGGCTTCGTCGCTCCTTAATTCTTACGCCCGACTCTCTTTGGCTTCCCGACATTCATTTTCGACAGCATAGTGTTTGTTTCCTTTCCGCTCTGGCAGCAAAAGGTTCCCAACTAATGCTGCCAATCATTGGAATCGACTTTGATATACACCGCTTCGTCCCTCTCCCCTTCATTCCTATGCCCAACCACTTTCCTTGACCTGTTGACCCTAACCATCATATGTCATGAGGCCAATTTCGGAGTCTCATACGCAATATTGAAACATTCCATATCTTAATATTGAAGCGAATTCTTGACTTCTTGTCTTCCTCTCCGGTTAGTTTCATTCTCCCTTGCGTCCATGTCCGATACCTTGATGCTGGTGAATCCATTCCAACGCGCAGGTCGTCACGTTGTGCAGAATGCAAATCCGTGCAATCTTGCCTTATCCGCGATGAAGCACCGCAACGGGCCGCTAACAAAGTCAGTGTCGATTTCCGAATCCTCTTTCCCGTACCATTACATCGGTTCAACGGGAACCCAGACATGTAGCAGCGCATATGCAAGGTTAAAATGGAGCGTAATATGGTCCAACAGTAGGTAGACTCCTTACCACCTTGCTTGGTCCGTATTCCAGGATCGTTGAGGTGGTTGTGCGAGGCATGAATAGCAATGCTAATCAGATGCAATATTAATGAGACAGATATCCTCTTCCTTTGAACGGTGGCTTTTCTATCGCTCAAGACAAAAACCGCCATGGCGCCCATATGATTTACCCGAACGGGACATTCTCTGCTCATTCATCGCCGCAACCCGCAGTTCATCCTTCCCCACGTCCTACGCCTCCTCTCTTCTACTCCTGGTCGAACCTTGGTACAAATCAAGGGCCGTGTCCATCCAAAGTGCCGCGAGCCGCTGTCGGCCCCTTTCACACACGGCGTCACCATTCACGAATAAACGGACGTGCTCTTAGGGAAAATGCACGAGATTTATACTCACGCCCGAACAGCATGAACGGGCAGAATCATACACCAATTGCAAATAGAGCGAACGGACTTATGGATTATGTGCAAATCCCCAAAATCAGTTTAGGGGCATCCGCTGCGGATACGACCTTCCCAGAGCATTGTACCGACCACTCGCTCGACACATGGAACCAGAAAGCGTTCAACGATGTCGAGTTCGCCGCGTTGGACCAAAACTTACCGGAGCTCGCACCCAGTGCCATGGCCAACGATGATGATGATGCCATCGTCGACCTAAGGCGATACCCTAATATTGAAAATGAGTATGCGCATGCAGACCTCTACTCGGGGGATGTTTCGCGACGCGTTTCAGACTCCTCCTTCTCCTTATCCAGCGCTGGTCCAATACCCGAGGTGTCTTCTCATGAGGACTTCCCGACATCAGAAGCACCATCCTATGTATCGGACCGTGATGGGTGGAGCAACCTTGAACAGGCTCAACATCTTCTCTCGCCAATGCCGTCACCTAGACACTCATTCCCTGGACCGATACGCGACTCTTCCCGCTCCTGGGCATCACCTACCTCTCACTCTAGCATTAGAACTTCCCCTTATAATATGGACAGCGGTCGAAATAAAAGATGGTCTACTGGCATGTACCCCTCCACGCCTTCTCCAGTAACTCAGGGCAATAATTTCAATAATCGCCTTTCCTTCTATGGTGGATCGCCACATTACCCCCGGCACTCGGCAACCTCGTTCCTCACGCCCGTGAATACGACTTCGGCACCGATGCTTCCGTCTTGGTCAAAAAACATGCTCTCTCCCCAACCGAATTCAATCCCCGCTGCTCAACATACCCTTTTCTCCTCCCCAGACACGGCTTTCCCGCCTAATCCTTCTCGGCAATACCTCCCTTCTCAAGGATTCTTCCGATCACTTCAGTCGAATGGCGATCACAGCACTCCAGGTTTTGAATCCTCTCACTTCGCCGCTCCCTCGGACCCACCTGATCTGTATTCTTCTCTCAATGATCCTCCATCCGACCCGCCCGAGTCAGACATGAAATCCTCTGACCCAGATCTCGTCCCGCATGAGCAAGACCTTCGTTTTTCCGGCGATCTGTATACCCCACGCTGGGTACGGGGCCACGGCAACAAACGTGAGGGATGGTGTGGGCTCTGCAAACCCGGTCGATGGCTCGTCCTGAAGAACTCCGCCTTCTGGTACGACAAAAGCTTCACCCATGGCGTCAGCGCGGCAACGGGGGCAGCATTCCGAGGGCCCGGGGAGACGCGCCGTACCGAGCCAAATATGGACACCTGGGAGGGGCTCTGTAGCAGTTGCGGCGACTGGGTGAACCTAGTGAGCAACAAGAAGAAGGGCACAACGTGGTTTCGGCACGCATACAAGGTATGAACCCACTCTCAGAACCTTTTCCCTCAAAACTAGTCCCAACCACCGTCCCTGTTAGTGTCATCCCCACCCGAAAGTTAAAGACGGCCCGAAGCGCCGTCGCGAGTCCGCCAACCACACCCAACCATCCCAAGCTCATCCGAAACTGCGTCTCCACACTTTCTCCAACGCATCGAACGCCACCCCCTCCTCTACGCCCACCAGCTCCTCGACGAACACCGTCATCTTCGGTTCTCCCTCCACATCTCGCAACCCCCAGGATGACCTTCCTTTCGCCAGCGCTCGTACCGACGACCCGGGTGACGAAAGCGGCGGTGCCTTGCTATCGGCACCGTCGGGCACGAGGGGGACCAACGTCGTCGCAGGTGTGAAGCGCGAGCGAGAAGTCACACCGCAGTTTCGGACGGAGACCGAAACGCGGGCGTCGGCGTCGGATCGGGCGTATGCGCGGAGCTATGCTGTGGATCTTCCGGATCAAAAGACGGCGACGGCGTTGGGAAGCTTTGTAGGGATTCTTTAATATGTTGTTTGGTGCTGTTGATGGCTTGCTTTAACGGTTGTGGTTTCATTGAGTACGGGACGTCGGATTTCCTGTTGGGGGTTTCGATGCGTGCGTAAGTTTTGGGAATGGTTATACCATTTGTTTCAATCACGATAACGAGCGGATGGGTATGGGATTGTGGGTGGCGTCAAGAGCTCTCGGTCGGCCATCTCGCCTGTTGGCTCATACCGACTCTCTAGCTTGTTTCTAAGGTTATTCGAATCCTGATCGTTCTGGATGATCCTCTGGAGTCTAGTGAACGCCCTGCTGCGCTGCTCCGAACGCCTTCTATAGGTCGGCCATCGCGACCAACAAGCTAGAGAGTCGGTATGAGCGAACAGGCGAGATGGCTGACCTACAGAAGGCGAGGGCTATGTGCACGGAACGTTCAGACGAGACATGCCGTCGTTCACGTTCGGTTGTCTTCGTGATTTCATTGCATTTAATCGTATTGTCTTATGTCTACATCGGGGAGAGAACTCAGCCATGCCATCTCGATGTCTCATATGGACTTGCGAGCTGTCAGGAGCTGCCTTGTTGGCTAGCATTTCGAGTGCTTTCAGGGGCAGGCATGACGGCGATGCCATCAATATTTACAACATTTTCTATGGTTGTCTATCGCTCTCGATATAACCTGGCCAGCCGGATGGAGCATTTTGAAGCCCTAGTGCCTAAACTGTTCGGTAGCAGGAGATACAATCAACATGTTAGCATATCCAAAGGCATATCCAAAGGCATAGGTATATAGGTAACCATTGATACATGTCAAGGTTTGGGGGATCTAATCACCCAATCTAGAATGCCGGCATATGCCCACAGCCGTCAGGATTGGATTCTGTTCGTGTGCGATGTGAACAAAAATCGCAACTGCCGAAGGCCACATGTTGACAACGAGATTCTACAGGATGACCGTTTCACACAGAGTCGTGCAGTAGCTCGGTCCTTCAAGGACTTATCTTAAACCACATCCCGTACTTGCCTCTGCGTACAATCCTCAACTGCCGAAGGGTTAGGTCTTGGTTTGCTCCACCGTTGTGCAGTTCTAACCAGGGGAGCACCTTCAGGGAACATCTCTACTTCGGAAGCATGATTGGTTGAAAAGGGCATCTAATATTGCAACTCAGAACAGCCATAATTGTATTGCTGTTAATTGTCGACCACATCATTTAAGACTTCAACTCGACTCGCTATTTTTGCACAAATCCAACCCTGGGGCTACAGCGGACGAAGTATTCTGGAGTTTGGCACTCGTTGTAGAACTGGCACTAACCGCCGTTGAATTCGGCCAAAATCCACGGATATGTTGGCTCCACGTCGCCAGGGTCTACGGAATTCATGTCCCGCAATGCCGCAACCGCGCGCACCCCACATTGAGATTCTCTCGTGCCCGCTCCGAACCAAGCTTCAGATGGTTATTCCGCGGCTCAGTGAATCGCCCTGGCAGGCACCGGTTTGTTTAGATTAATTCCGGCCGCCTTGTAACTGGAACAGTATGGAAAGGCTCAACTGCCGGGAGTCAGATACAGGGAACGAGGGATTCGATTCACCCTAAATACACTCCAGCAGCACTACAGCAGCGGGCTGCGCTGGTATAGACTCGACTTGCCGAACATGACAAACCTGTCGAACTGATTATTGACTGCTAATGACCATGATTTCAAGTGTACTCTTGCTAGGGTCCGTTGGCCTAGGTTCAAGGATCCGACGCTTCTGTTCCTTCGAGAATGACTATTTCAAGAGCCGCAGACGGCATCCATAATCGTTCGTGAACGTCTTCCGTTGTCAGCATCTTTTGCAAGTCTCGTTTCTGTGTGTTAAGCTGCCACGCTCTGTATGCCAATCACCTTATGTCCCAAACCTATTTCGAGCCGAAAGCGGGTAGAAGATGATATTGGGGATATCTAGTATTTGCTATGAGTGGTGGCCGGTGATTCTCGTCACTTGCATAGCCGCACGACTGCTTCACAACAAGTATGGCAGAGGCTTGCACCGGTATCCCGGGCCATGGCTAGCAGCATACATGACGATCTGGAGATTTTTGGAAAACTATGGGCGACGGACAGAATGGACTCACATCAACTTACATCGTCGATATGGGGATGTTGTCCGGCTTGATCCAAATGCGCTATCCTTCGCTGATCCCAAAGCCATTAAAGTTATCTATGGTCTGAATAAGGGAATGGTAAAGGTATGTCAGGCTTACATTGCTCAATTGGCCGAGTATATATTGACCGAGTGGCACAGTCCCATTTCTACCCAGTCCAACAAGCTACGGCAAAAGGGACCCGCATTCAGTCACTCTTCTCGACGTTAGATGAAGATTTCCATGCAAAATATCGAAGGTGTCTTAATAGCGCATTTGCTATGTCATCCTTAGTATCATACGAGCCGTTAGTTAACTCGACCCTCGATGTATTCTTGGAGAAGACCGAGGAATTGTACGCTCGAACGGGCACTGTATGCGATTTTCCCAAGTGGCTTCAGTATTTTGCATTCGATGTCATCGGTGACTTGACATGGAGCAAGAGGCTCGGGTTCATGGAAAGAAACGAAGACGTGGATGGCATCATTTCTTTCATTAATGGATTCTTCGACTATGCTGGACCGGTAAGCGTATGCGAGGAATATCCACGGCGTATCACTAATAGCAAGCCAGATAGGGCAAATGCCTTTTCTAGACCTTGTGTTTCAGAAGAACCCCCTGATCCTTCTTGCACAACGGTACGGCGTCTCGAAAAAGGTCTTCGCCGTTACCAAGTTCGCGCAATCCCAATCGATCCATCGCGCCCCTGAAATGGAGAAAATCAAGGCCAATGGCCTCGCACCCGGCACGCCGAAAGACGGAATAGATCTGTTGACGAAGTTCACTCAAGCCCAGCACGATCATCCGGAGATCATGTCCGATACCACCGTGCTCGCGTCGTCCGTGAGCATGGTGTTCGCCGGCAGCGAGACGACGGCGATCGCGCTGAGCGCCATCTTCTATCATCTCATGAAATATCCATCCGCATATCAGAAATTAATGGCGGAGTTGGACGGGGCCGTACGAACCGGCCTCATCGAAGACAGGGGGAATGGAACGGTGAGCTGGGCCGAGGCGCAGAAGCTGCCATACCTAGACGCGGTCATTCAAGAAAGTTTCCGACTCCATCCAGCCGCGGGTCTGACGTTAGAACGGGTCGTTCCGGCGCACGGCATGGACATTCTCGGCGAGCATATCCCCGGTGGGACGATCGTGGGCTGCAATGCCTGGGTGCTCCACCGTAGACCCGAGATATTCGGGAAGGATGTTGACAACTTCCGCCCGGAAAGGTGGTTGGAGGCATCACCCAAGCAACTGAGCGAAATGAAGGCGACGATGTTCCAGTTTGGAGCCGGTGCGAGGACGTGTATCGGAAAGAATATCAGTCTGCTGGAGATTTATAAGCTGGTACCCAGCTTTTTGAGGAGGTTTGAGGCAAGTTCCCGACGCTTATTCTTCACTCGAGGAATGTGTTCACTGACTCGGAGAATTAGATGGAATTGCAATCCCCTGAACAAACTTGGAAGACCCATAACGCATGGTTCGTAAGGCAAATGAATTTCATGACGAGGTTTAAGACTCGACAGGTAAAGAGGGATGATGCATTCACGCAGTCTCACGTTAGGTAGCACTGAATTTATTTTATTATAATACCAGTGATTCACAGTGGTTGGCTCACTTGCCCCCTAGACCGTCTGCTTCACTCAGTCGATGCTAGAGTTCGTCTAGTGCTTCTTGCTTTCAAGGCTGCAGAAATGGATTTATTGTGGGGCTATAGATCCGGCAAGCACCTTGGCATCAATAGGGATGTAGGAAAGTGTTCTGAGAGTGTGTTGTGGGAGAGTTTTCTTGGGGGAGCAGGACAGTCTTGCCCGCCCTGGCTTTATATTACGATTAGTGAACGCCAATTTGAACACGGATATAGCTTAAGGTGCTCCATTGTGTTTCTCAATCCTCCGGCGTCTGTCGAACTAATCTGGCTAGGGATACGACCTTGGACATCAGTACCTCGATAGTAGGGTTCGTCAGCGACTTTCTCCACATCATAAACCACGATCAACTTCCCCTGAGTGCCACCCGGTCCGAAAGATGGTACTTTGGGTGCCACATTATTCCGTATGAATTCGAGTTGTGTATCGATTTCCAATATGCCATCATCGGATAGTTCTTCATCCGACTCTTGCTCGGAAAATGCTGCCCTTTACCGCCTCTCCGCCATCCTCAGAGCTACGAGCAGCGTCTTCAACGCGTCGTTACCAGCATTGTGCTAACCGATGAAGTCACATAGCCTCGGTTTAGCATTTCTTATATGTATTTTACGAGTTTGTGACAACCAGAAAAAGCGAACCAACCTTCCCAAACCCGAGATCGTGCCACTCTATACACCACAAGTCCGTCGGAATACTAGACTTGCCATTCTCTAGGTATCGAAGATTGGTGCTCGTAAAACCCTTTTAACCTAGCCAAACAAGATGCTAAGGAACTTACCAGTAGTATTGATATAGTACTTCCCTAAATGAAGCGGGCTATCATTCCTCTCTATTTTAGCATCCTCTTCATCTCGCAGTTCGAAGGTACTTATAAACACGACAAAAATTTCCACCACAGAGTGAAAGTTGGCATATGCCTGGTATTCCTATATCGTTTTCATATCTTGGATAGAGGGTGTTTGGCAATGACCGGTCGGAATGCGGATGAATTTTGGACTTGTATGCCTCGCTGTGCTGTTGTCATACCCACGGGGCAGAGCCCCTGAATAACATCTTCCCGAGAGATCATGTATGGTCTCTCTATCAACGAGATCATACTCAAAAAATAATTCCGCGTCACCGGCCCGTCAAAAGAAGGGGCTTATACCTGGGCATTAATATCCACAGAAATCACCCAGAATGCACCCAGAATGCACCCAGAATGCACCCAGAATGCACTCAGCAGCTACTCCCAGCAGTCCGGAATTGACGTCGCCGTGCTCCATTCCCTCCGAGGTTGCGGAACAGGCAACACCCTTTCCTCTCTTGCACTGTCCTCCATCGCCGGAAGAGGACTGTCGCTGCACCTGCGTGTGGAGGACGGCGTCGGTAGGTTTATGGCTTGCTCTTGCATGGAAGCGTTGTTTGACGTCTGGCGGTTTGGTCGGTAGGATTCGGGGACCTCGCACTATTGTCCGTGGCTTCAGCGGGAGAATGGCTGGTACCATCGTCAGTCTTACATACTGCCAGCTCGAATATCCGAGGTCAGAGACGTGGCCGCCAGTACATAAAGTGTTGATAGCCTTCGCTGGAGCATTGCAGGGTCAGCCGAGGTAGTGAACGACACTCTCATAAAGCTTGGTATGGATGGTGACGTGGATTGTCCTGAAGTAGCCTCTCTAAAGTGGGACAACGCTCTAGGAGACCATGCGCGAATGTGAGGCTAGTGGAAGTGAAAGGCTGTCCGCAGCAATACAACTCAAAAGCATTTGGGAGAATCTGGGGCGGCGTGTGACTTTTAGGGACAGTGATGTGGATTCTGAGTGGTCAGTATGCCGCCCGATTTGCCAGGCCGAGTGATCGTTAAGGGGTTGAACCGCGAATTTGAAGACAACAGCACGGAGGCCTTTTATTTTTCCTCCTCCATATCTTCTTTTGACTTCCACTTTAGCTGCTCCATGTCCCCGGCAATCTGACCGGCAATCTGACCCTATTTATCTTCTTCAGTAAGAGAGGGCACCTCTCCACGCTCTACAATGAAATAATATACCTCACCAGGGGCATCAGGTATCGGGGACATGGATGTAACATCACAAGAGAGCCTCCAAGTTTGGTTCCCGCGGCAGAAAGAATAATGAAGCGCTGAGGTAGACGACGGCCCAGGGACGTTGCAAGCAGCAACAGGGGAAGCTATATGCAACCAACAAAGCGTACCAAAACCGCTAAAACAGATCTGGCTCAAATGTAAAAAATGGCACAGCTTGCGGATGCCTCGACGAGGTCGTCTATGTTGAAATTATAAATCAAACCAAGAGTCGCTGACAGTTCTTCGCCAGTAGAGAAAAGATCGCAGGCTCCGTTACAAACTTCGTTGCGTAGTGTCCGGTTTGCATGAACTCTTATGGAATAGTCTCCCGAAGGATTTGGCAGAGCACGAAGAAGGCCAAACAAGAACAAACAAGGATATATCCGGTAGAGTTAAGAAACATCTCCGCTACTAAGAGATAGCTCATCCATTGCGCAGAAGCTCTTCTATACAAACCAATAAACCGCCCGACTGGAAGCAGCCCGGTCCTCGGGTCGGATGTGCCGGCAAATATGGACGTAGAACGAGCATTTCTATTTGTTGAAACACCTGTGGAAGTCAGGCTATAAGTTGCAAATATTCACTAGAATAGCAAACAAGAAGGAAGACCACAAAGTTCTCAATATGGGAAGGGACCTGACCAACTGGCAGACCAAACTTGACCACGAGCAAGTGGAAGAATGAATGAACAACAGAAAATCCACCCATCCATGATCCAACCCATTCTCAGATAAAAGCAAGGCCGAAAAAAGACAAAAGTTGAATCTTCATCCTGGTCGCCATTGACTGCCGTCCGAAAGTCCCACGGACGCGACGCGTCGAAGACTCGTAGAATAGATAGAACGCATCGGCGGAGTCCTGCATACCGCCCCCACGTCAACTGAGTCACTCTCGCATCGAAATGCAGCCTCATCTGCGACCATCTGCAGAGCCCCAACATGGACGTTTCATACAGATTTTGAAACACAGGCTGCATTGACGACAGCGGAGAAGGGAATCGAAATGGTCACACCAGAATAGTTGGTCCATCAGTCCAAAGACTGGCGACGAAGGATCAAAGATGTAGCCTATGTGCTATGTATCCCAACATCCCAAGTGCAGACAAGCTGCTGGCACAGGATGCGACGCATTGGCTTTGTAGTTATACTGCTGACGTTCAAAATGCCGTTCAGATCGGTCGAGCCCTAGATCAGCAATTTGGAAGACTCGCTATGCATCTAACGTATCGATCCTGGGCCGGTGCCGCAGAAACCTGAGGTTAGAACATCAAGTTGTGAGGTTCCCACTCCAGCACCAAGATACTTTTATACGTGTATTTTTGGGTTAGTAAGCTATATTCTCGCCTCTAACTCGTATTTTACCGCTTTGCAGCATGTGCTACCTCAACCTTGATCCCTGTACGGAGTAGGTGCTTGGTAATTTTGGCAAATGTTGTTCAGGCAGATTGCCTCTTTGGGATTGGTGTGGACTTGGCCGTGGTTTCTCCATTCTTTGTTCCACAATCTGCCATCGTCATACTCAATATCACTCTCGAAGACTCTTGCCATCATTTTCAATTACCGTACCTACGTCGATCCCTCTTGCAGTCTCCATGAATGTGATACGTCTACAGCGTCCACGACGTTTACAATGTTGTCTCTATCCTCCCCGGTATCCAACTGCCCCTCCGACACCTCCAATCCGACTCAAACAGTGGCCCCAAGAGATCGCTCACGGGGGCGAGACATCCATATCTACGATGTCAACGATCGGGATACAGTACTTGGTGGTCTAATCCTCACAAACGGCATCACAAATGCCAACTTCTTCTCGATGGTAGAGATTCTTGTCTTGTTCACAAGTAGCTTTGAATTACGAGATGAGGACGATACCAAAATCGAAAGGAATGACAGCCAGCTTCAGCCGGGGAAGTACTATATAACTGCTGCTGGTAAGTTTCTATGTAATTGCCTTATTGTGCTTGGACAGTTAAGCTTTTTGACTAGATCCTTTCTCGGTCAACAATGAGCCGTGGCTTCTCCGTACCATATCTCACACCACTGGAACTCGTGTCAAACCCTTCTGCGCAGCTACACGTGCGCGAGATCGTCGATGCGTCATATCTGGAGTAGAGGCAATCAATTCCGACCTTGACGACTGGACGGGGTTTCACGCTGCCCATATCTTCCCACTAGCCTACCACGACCATTGAATGAAGAACGGCTACGATCGCGGGATTACAATTCCGCCGGAGAAGGGTGAAGCCATTAACTCTGTACAAAATGGATTGTTGCTTCGAACTGATATACACGAGTTGTTCGATATGTTTAACATTTCAATTAACCCCGACGTAAGGATAATTTGCATTTAATTAGAGATGAAGTGGCTGACGGTTATTTTAGGACAATTATAATATTGTTTTCTTCACCCGTGATGCGAACGGTTTGGCCGGCAAGTGTCTTGACAAAAACTTTCGAGGTAACCTTCAACGACCTGTCGATCAGGTTTTGCGATGGCACTTTAGACAGGCTGCCCTGGCAAACATGAGGGATGCTGGCGAGCCTCGGTTCGAGCATGACTTCCCGTCTGGCTCGGATATAGTTGGTGACATTCTCCATGGTCCAAAGGCGGCCGGAAGGATGGAACTCGAGCTGTTCAACCGCCTAGTAGCACAGGTTGATGTATGGGGCGTTTCTTCTAGCTAGGTAGGAATATTGTATGTTATTAAGTTTTTCGCCAATAGACCATCCACCTCTTTAGTTACACATACTCCACTCTATAGAGCTAGTTGGCTGAAATTTTACCTAGTGATGTCTTCGGTTCAAGATGCGTAAAGCAAGGGAACCCTTAAATGCCAATGCCACAGAAAATGTCATAGTGCTATTTGGCAGGACCATTGAGATGGATCACTATAGTAAAACAGCTTGTATTCGACCAAACGAAAGAAAGAAAGAAAGAAAGAAAGAAAGAAAGAAAGAAAGAAAGAAAGAAAGAAAGAAAGGGAAATCAGGAACGAAAGAGGTATCCAATCTACATGTGTATAGAATTTGCATTGTACAGGATGATGGCTATGGAAGCAATCCATTACGGACAAGAGCCTGGTCACTACAAGAACGTGAGCTCTCGTCACGAACCATTCATTTCTCCCATGGGCAATTACACTAGCAATGCCGAACCATCAAGGGGTCGGCAGAACTCCATGGCATGAGATGACAAGGGAGCACGTTGACATCATACTGTTGCCACTGAAGCTCGCTGCGGACGAAGTTTTCCGCTCGGCCGGTCCGGGTTTCCAACATGACCGCTTGTATGAACTGGTGAAAGACTTCGCTACCAGGTACTCAACCAAGAAGACTGATAATTTTCCCCGTGTTGGCAGGCCTGGCGCTAAAGTCCCGCAACGAACAGGTTCAGGAACGGCACTTCGCCGGACTCTGATCCGACTACCTACCATCGGCACTCCTATGGAGGGTGGTATTGCCACTTTACTCCCTTTACTTTGAAAACCGGAAGTCCGTGAGTCCGTTCAGTGCGTTTCAACCACGACGCTGCAGCGATACAGAGCGCCGAGTTGGTCCTGGGCAGTCATTGACGGCGAGATCAGCTACGGCAACAGACGAGTGAATAGAATGAATAGAATGTACGACCACGGAAACAATCCATTGGACACTGGATCGGGGGACTTCGAAATTCTGCCGTCGGGCTCTTTCTACGATCCGGCAGCTACACTCAGCCCTTCCGGCTCATTCTCGGACGGCCCCCTGATAGCCCAGGGCTGTATCGCTGAGGTTCGGGTTGGCGCTCGGTTCATAGACGATTTTACAGAGAGATATTGGCCCCCGGCAGGGTTGCATGATGCCAATGTTAGGCTGTTATCTCCAGATATCCCAGATAACCTCCCCATTCGGCGGGCAGTGTTTGTTTTAAGCGTCCGACCCGAGCCATACTGGACTCATTTTATGATGCCAAGCCCTTTTCATCGCGAACTTCTCTCCTATGAACCGACTGTCTGGGGTTGCCATGATCTGAGAGTGGGTCTCGCTCTCGTGCGGGAGCAGGCAGGCGAGGTTTATCGGCGTGTCGGTTATACGCTTGGGCTTCTGAAAGATGTCTTCGAGGGCAAGCAGCGTAGCGAGCGGAGGATTGTCTGCAGACCAAAGCGATCGGAGACAGCAAGGAAACAAGTACCGAAGAACATTTGGAATACTGATGGCACAACGCCAGGAGTCAGATGACTTCAACGAAGACCGATGCATGGATACGGAGACCTTTAAAACATGGCGTATATCCGGGCGTGGTTATAGAGAGCTGTAGTCCGAGGACACAGGTATTGGACAGATTGATAGCAGTAAGAGTTCAGGTGACCATCGCGCGTTAGACTCGTGCCAGAAATGTAGTATTGAAGCCCAATGTCTGGTTAAGAATCGCCGCCGTTGACGATCGGCTTGGATCGGATGGACCGGCTTTGATCGACGACGATGTGAAATTAGGAGCTAGATCCTGGACAAGCTGAACCGCTTTATGGACTTTATCGGCCCATGCACCTTGTTGCATATCATTCCAAGCTTTTGCTATTATTCTTTAATCTGTACGGCATCAACCAACTTTCGTCGCCACACCGTTCTCGGAAGTTGCGCTTTGTAAATCGCATGCTAGCCCCGAGCGAGCGTTTGCGACAAAGACACGTTTCCCGAGCCGGATGACACGGGATGGTGCCCGGGTCTCAGACGCGAGGCGGAGTCATGATAAGTCAGGGTTCTTGCAGCACGCGATCACCTAACGGCGAACATGCCTCTTGGGCCACCCGACACATTGTGAGACAGAGAAACATGAAACACATCTTGCAGAGCTTCCATTTCCAATCGTCAACACCCAGTTCCAAGGAACGGGGCGTCGATGCCCGATTGCAAGGGAACGAAATCTGGGGGAGGTCAACCAACATCTGTTCCATCTGGCGGAGGGAGGAAGGGTCTGTGGCTCTTGGGTTGCCGGAGATCTGGGCGGGGAGAGACCCGAAGTACCCTAGTATCCATGACCATACAGAAGGGTCCCCTTCGATCGCATAGGAGGTTGTTGAAACGGCATCCCACGGTGCGCCACGAATGGCCTTCAACATCTTGACAAACAGAGTGGATGACATCTAGTACCCTCAACGGGCTCAACCCGAGGTTTCATGATGTCAATAGTTTAAACGGCTCGATATTAACATTGTTCGGAGAGGCCGATTTTAGTGAGGCGTGAGGCGTCAGATCTGCGGGGAGAAGCCGAAGTTTCCATATTACGAGCGACTCTGGCTGGCTACATGTGGCTGTGAGAGTGAGCTTCTCCCTCTGCTGTAAGCACTACAGGGAGGTGTGCACAGCCTCAACGACACCCTTCCACTGCAGTTGTCACTCGTCATCCACCATCACCGTCTCGCCGGATTACGCGAATCTGCTCGGCTGTCGGGCAGAGCGCCTTGGTCTTCAACCGATTGAGAAACTTTGACGGTCATTCCCCGTATCTCGTGGTCATGCGCCGGGCACCAGCGCGTCAGTAAGCGCCAGTACAACGCTGACAACGGTGTTGGAACGGGGAGGGGGTACGTACTACTACGGACGGGAATATCGAGATACACACAATACCTAAACCATTCCCGTAGCGTTATTTCATTACCCGATCACATGGGGGATGGAATTTTATCTCTTGATGAAGTGACCCTTGAAGAATTGATGATCCGGGGCGGAATCGGCTTCATACGCTCATCCTGGTCACTCTGGACTTCACGCTGCCCATTGGATCTTTGCGTTTCACACCTTTTTTTAGCCTCGATCAACCACAACCTGTCATCCAGCTTTTTCGCCTTCGACCACGACCCTCGTCCATGAATCCATCATCCCCATCCGCCGTCAGTTGCGCAACTCCAGACCTGGGTCGAATCTTGATCCGCCTCCCCTTCGTCCTGCTACCGTCCCTCTTGCTCGACCCGTCGGTTGATCTAGTCCCACTCGGGCAACCAACGCCGCTGCAGTGGTAAGGAGGCCCTTGTGGCAGAGGGACGGGACTGATGGGCGAGTATGGAACGCTTCTGGAATGCCACTCATCTTGAATCGCAGGTCGCAATACTTCTTGGACAGCTACTAGCGACGGCTCATACATGACTCTAAGCCCGACAGGATCATGTTATTCATGCCGGCTGAGGCCGAGCCCTCTTGTTTGGCTGCTCTGCTAATGAGGTCGAAGCCGAATGAGGCTGTGGTGGAAATGTGGAATGGTCGGTCATCTGCGCTGCGCAGCTTGATGCTCACTCTCGCTGCAGGATGATTGCCATGGCATGGTGGCACCCTGCACAACCATCGCAACCCATCGGTTGTCCCTTTGGATTTCATGGGTGATATCACAGTACTTTGGGATGTGCAATGCCATTTTCAGCCATCAATACGGGCTGGGGTACAGCTAATGTTCCACAGCTTCCATGCGGATATGGACCGCAGGTTTGATACACCACACCTGGTCCCGCGTTTCTTCTCGCGCTTCCTGGTCGTAGTTTGACCGTTTCTATTGGGTTTAGTGTCCTTCAGCTTGACCGAAGCGGGCATGCATTTATTGCATTTTTGCTCGAGGGCAAATCGGCTGGGGGATGGGGCTGGGCTTGGGTGTGTGCAGGTCTGACTCTTTTATGCAGCATCCGCTTCGGCGCCGCCTTCGCAGACGTGCAGAAAGATGCGCATAACCTGCATACAGAACCCACTCGACCGTCAATCCACCATCCCAGTCTCTTTTCTATTCTCCACTACGCTGGTCACCATTACGGTCGCCATGTCGCCCATGGCCGAGAGAGAGCGTCCCTATTCCAGGTAGATTGGTTCGATCCCAATCCAGGCCTTCCCTTTAGAACGATTTAAGACTCCTACTTTTCCCACCCCCCACCACGTCTATCTGCCGCTGCTGACCCTCACCCTCTTCCACCCTCCCGCCCTCTATTCTCATTCGTCCATAATCCGTATCCCCTTTGTCTCTTTTCCTCTTTCCAGCCCCAAGGCGTGCAAACCACTTCCCTCGTTGGGACTCGCCTTTGAGACACCTTCACCTCCAATATCAGTTCCTTTTTCCTTTCGTTTCCAGGTGCCCTCACCGTCCCTCTTTCTATTCGTTTTCTCATAGGTCACTGTCGCCATGCCGATATCATTATTACCCAACACGGCGCAAGCCTTTGCGCCGCGGTCTGCCCCGACCATCGTCCTCAGTTCCAAGGTCGAACCATGGCTCACCCAGACGCTGAAGCGGGTCAACAAGATCAAACGTCCGCTCAATTCCATTCCACAGCACTACCGATGCCTGACGGAGACCTTGTCTGGCACGGCGGCAATATGGACGCTGTGCTCCATTATGTTACCCAAAGCGCCTGATTCCGAGCTGCGGAAGGACTCGAATCCGCTCGTGGAGGCTCTGTTCAACTACCAGCTGTTGCACGTTGACGCATATGTTGTACACGTTGACATGGTGTCACAGCATGAGGTTGCATTCAAGCTGACTCCGGAATCCATTGACGCTTTGATCGAGTACCACAAGGACATCTATTCCGTCGACGTGTCCGCCAACACATGGCAATGGCCCGAGAAGGAGGTTCAGCTCAAGAAGCTTCAAGAGGAATTCGTCCAAGCGGTCAACAAATACGTCTTCCGAACTGGGGTCCGCGCGCTCGAAGGACTGGAAGAGGAGGGTGCCGGGGAACTACTGGATGGACGGAGCGAGGACGTCAAGAACGGCATCATGGGCCTTTTCCTCCCGTTGCTGCCGCCCCCACCGAGGATCGTGGACGTTGTCCGACCCGTTCCGCAGCTTCTCCCCAGCTCCCCCAACGATGCGAACTGGTGGCACCCAGCTCAACCGATCCCTTCCCATCCCGCCCCCGTCGACTCGTGGCGAGTCCTCCCGTCCACCCCGAGTCCGACCATCGCGACCTGCAGCGACTCCGCCCCATCCTTCTGGTCCACCTTGGGCATGGACCAAGTGCAGCTCCCGTCGCCGACCCCGTCCTTCAGCCAACCCTGCTATAGCACGAGCAGCCAGTACTGCAGCCCACCGATGACGACCGCGATGCCAGCGCTCCCGCTCCCGTCGATGCTTGCGCAGTGCGGAACGACCGCCGGCATGGGCTTCGGCGGGTTCGCGTGGAGCTACAACGACTTTGCGCCGCAGTACGCCGCGACGATGTAGCAATCAACGGAAAGCGATTCAGGTCCGAGTCGTCATTTCACTTCGACTTCTGAATTTTAATCGGCTATTTTCCTCTTCCCTCTTGGCTCCCGGACGACCGACGGACGCGCATAGACCTGCGACGACGCGACACGAGACGAGAAACGAGCATGAAAACGATAGCTTTGCAAGCATCAACCGACACATCATTGGGACGGCGTTCAACTGAATTTTTCACCACCATGGGCACTGGGTTTGAGTCATCCAGCCGTATTTTTCCTTTGGATATCCCATTTTTCCCTTACGTTTTGATTTGATTTAGTACTTGTCATTTAGCGAAGCGTGCTTGTGTTTTGGGCTTTTAGGGAGACCATTCGACCGACTGGTCGGATCCGGCATCTTTCCTTGCTTGCATCTTCCCGGGAGGCAGTGTGCAACGGGCATATTACAAAGATTGGGACAATCCAAAGCCGCGAGGCTGAAACATCGGGCTGGCATCCTCGGTTTCGAGGAACTGTTCTCGTTTTGTTTTTTTTAATGTTGTTGATTATTTCGTGGGACGCGGGAGAGATCATATGGATGGTGGAATCACGACCGTTTCTGCGCCACGCAAGGCTTCGACCGGATCGAATTTCTTCGGGACGAAAACGTTTCCCCATTCCTTTCCCCTCCACGCCGGGCCGATACTGCGTATTGACCGGGACCCCCGAGGCGACGTACCCTTGGAAGCGATGGAATACATCTGGCATCGTTCCGTCGTCTTTTCACCTCGATCCGCATTCACGACCACACCTCCAGCCCACGCACCAGTACTCGGACGATGAGGAAGTGGAGGATGCATCTGCCTGTGGCGGGTAGCACCTCGTGGCATCGACCCCCTGAGCGCGTCTACTGCATGCAGAGACCTCCCAGGGGGGATATGTTTACTCCTCGCGTCCCGACGGAAGTCTTGGGCTTTGAATTTGGGAACTGCAATCGGATCACTGGGTCGTCCCTCACACCCTCTCGTCTTTCTCGGCAGCGCCGATGACGGAGGGACCTCAAGAGAAGCTGGATTATTCTCTTGTATACATATGGCAGGAGCTGTGCTTGCTGCTCATACATCTATCTCATCGATTGGTAGTAAATCATTAATGGAAACCCATTAACGAAAGTCGTCTTGAAGTCTTCCGTACATCGTGAATATGTGATTCCGCTTGCGTCTCTTACCCCCTGGTTCCAGACGTCTTCGATGACACAGGGACATCGTGCATCGGAATCCAGTGCACCCAACCCGACGAGCCATCAGAATCCTAAGCCCAATGCTCCATGCATCTCCATCGATGCTACTGCACGAGCAATTTTCCGCATCTAGGATCGCGGGAGAAAATGGCCCATCCCCACGGCTTGTGTCGCCGTGTGCCCGCATTGGGAACACCAAATAAATGTCCGAATCTGGCAGTGATTGCAGCGGAACACAGAGAGTTCTCGTGAACGACCCGGGGAGCATGACGATAGGAGCACCAGAAATGATCGAGTTTTCGAGATATAAAAGTATAGCAGAGGCATGGGCATGAATCGGCATATGGGGACGGACAGTCGTCGTCGGCCATTTCTAGGCACGCGAACCCTTCGATTATACCTTATCGATAGTGAATTTCGGTAACAAAGCGGGAAACAATCGGGGTTCTTGCCATTTCCTGGCTCGGGACCGATACCGCTCACGACTTCAGTGACTGGAAGCTCCGAATGTCTTTGACTTGGATCTTGATATGTCATCCATTCACCATACAAACCCAAACATCACCGTTCACCACCTCCGAATCTCGTTTGCCTCACTGATATTTGAATGCACCTGATGAACAAACTTTACATTCTACATCATCACCGTCTATACCGCTTACCATCGCCTGTCTCTCGACGATATATTAAAAGAAAGCAACTCCACCCGCCAGGATTCTTTGTTGACCAATCACGCCACCGAGCCTTGTCCACCCTTCACTGGATGCATCAGCTCCGCATATCCGGCGCCGCTTTGTCTAATACCGCCGCAGTACAACATCGCAACAGAGTACTGGAGCATATTGACCGCATCGCTGGTTGAAGAACTGACTCTACGGACTTCGATACTTGCTATCCAAAGAACAACAATAGCTACCATACCTCGGAACGAATTCACCACGATTAACCCGTACCCCGGCGCATCGTGGTGGAAGTTGTCTGTGTTTCGGGTTTCTGACACCGCTGTGGGAGGCTGCAGCGTCTCTGCAGCGTTGCGGAGCCGGTTGTGGGTGTGATACGTAGTCTACTGGTGGAGAGAAGTAGTGCAATGCCTCCGGGTGAGTGAAGTCCTTGGAGACCACTTTCATCGTGCCCTCGGCGCGAATACACGATGCAGGCGCTGTGAACTGTAATGCTAACTTGGGTGCTGCCATAGTTAATCCACGCCCGCAGTCGAGAAGTCCGACAAATGTGAGTCCCGACGTCTCTACGGCTCCTCGACCGCGACATACCTTCGTCTTTATTGTGTCCGGAAGCGATGGGGAGATTGTGGAAGTTGTGGTTCGTGGAATCCGCGAGCACATGCTACCCGGAAGCCATATCGCTGCTGCATAGAAAGCACCTTTTCATTCTATTCGGACCATCGCTGTTTTCGCCGCGCTTCCATATAGACTCAACATGCTAACCGCCGGTCTCCTAGGATCCTACCCCTACCTACTACTACCATCCTGATCACCAGGAACTCGACACCCTCCCAGACCCTGAACTTGCAGCCAGCCTCCTACCCACCAGAGTCTCTCCCGACGACGAAGTCGACGATGCCAACGTGAGCTTCCTCCGAAGCCCCATCGATCCACAGGACGAGTGGAGGGCGCAAAATGCGTTCCTCGATTCGAGCCGCCACCGCTCCTCCCCACTACCCCATCATTCTTCGACGCAAACCACCACCGGCAGTCGACCGATGGAGACCAGATCGAACGAGGACCGTCAACGACGAGAGCGCCTTCACCGGATCTTGTCGCGGCTAAATCGAGTGTACGACACACCCACATCTGCGGAACGGGCCACGCAGCGGGCGACGGAATCGCGGAACGACTGGGCAGCAGCCTCGCCGTGGGAGCCGTCGGAAGAAGATGAGGCAAGCTTTCAGGAGATCTATGATAGCGTGCGAAGTCAGCTGCCGGACTACCCTCCACATAGTCTCCGGGTCATGGCGAGGGATCAATTTCTTCTGGAGCAGCGAAATCGAGGACTTGGGCGGGAAATTCGAGGGCCATCGGGCGGTGGGACCTCATCACACTTGGCGAGCGATTCGTTAAGAGCGAGTGCGATTTTGCAGAGCGTGAGGAGACATCCGAGGTTTTCGGCGAGATCACGGGATCATATGCAACGATATATCCTGGAGAGGGAGCGGTTTGGGCATGATACAGATGATCGGGAAAGGCCGAGTTCGGATCGAGGAATGTCAGCGACCGATCGATATGAGGCAACCCGCCTGGCGTGGATGATGGACGAACCAGGCGCGTACCGGAGTCGATATCAGCGTGAGAGCCCGCCCGCCGTACACACCTCCGGATCATCACCCTTATTCCAAGCCGTAATCTCATACCTTGCGAAGATCCGGTATTCAGAAACAGAAGCAGACAGCTGGGACTGCGCGAGCGATATCCTTGTTAGCAAGGAATTTGCGCCCTCCATCGACGATTTCGTTGTCAATGTCGACGAGCTTCCTCCACCACCTCCGACCTCCTGGCTCGCCCCTGGCGCGGTTTTCTCTGGCTCACAGCATGCAACATCCACCAGCCCATCTTGCCCCGACCATTTACCTCCTGTGGGCACGACCGCACGCTACCTCCTCAACCGCGGCGGAAATTCTTCCGCCCCCTCACATCAGGCACCAATCGCCGTGGAAATGCTGTGGCAGACTGGATCGCCCTCTGATTCTGGCCACGCACCCCCCCAGCAGGACGACCACTGGCCCGTGAGAGTCACTGTCCACTCCGTCGACTACGACACCATGACCGTCGCCGCGACCATGGAAGCGTACAACGTCCCCTCCGTCTACCCCACCCCCGACCCCTCCCACGCCACCGCCCCCCGCCTCTCCAGCATCACCACCTACCTCGAAGGCGAGATCCTCGACTTCACCACCCACTCCTTCCTAACCGAGTCCTTTCACAGCGACCTTGACCACGATGCCCTCTACTGGTCGAAGCTCGAGCCCATGAAATCTGTCGCCTCCATCACCACGAACTGCACCGACCCCAACAACCACCCGACCGACCCCTCCTCACCCACCAACCCCCGCTCCCTCCCCCACGCGCTCACCTCCCGCGCCTGGCTCACCCAGCTTCAACGCACCCACGTCCTCATGCGCTGGAAAGAGCGCTGCTTCGTCAAAGCCACCTCCCGCTCCGCCGAGGCCGTGCCCAGCGACGCCTCCCCGAGCTCGTCGTACCACAGCTTTTCATCCGACGACGACGCCGTGCTGCACGAAGACGGCTGCGGCCTGACCATCAACGGCTTCTATTACTGCAGCCTGCGCCGGAGCGACGGCGCCATCGAGGGACTGTACTGCGATCCGGCGAGTAGCCCGTACCAGCATCTGAGGCTAAAGGCGGTGGGGAGAGGGGTTGCGCCCGCGTGGGACTTTCGATGATCGGAGGGATTATGCGAGCGCATTTGGATGGATGGGGCGGACGTACGGCTTGTCTCGCTCGCATGGTGGCGGCGTCACCTCGCGTTGAGGATCTTCGACGGTTTTTTCTATACATGTCCAGACGGCGTTGTTTTTGCGCGGGTTTATTGTCTGGATGCATCACACGCGTGGCGTTTTGTGCGAGTGTTCCCTGCGGGGAAATCGGGTTGTTAGCCATGATCGCATTTACATACCCGGGGTGTTGCATAGGGTTTGTTATTTCTGCTTGGATACAGTTTCGTGGCTCCCCTCGGTCACGGACATACACATTGATAGGATACGTGGGATAGGGTTATCAATGGACGATTATGATAATGGACATGATTTGATATGAATGGTTTCTCTAGATGCTGTGATTTGCGTGCCTTGATATCATTGACCAGGAGGTCGACGACTGGGGTATAAGTGCAAGAACGTAGCAAAACCTGAGATGTATTGTCCTGGAGGTGAGAAGTCCCCAATGGATTCTGTTCAATCTGACCCTGACTCGCTATGAACCCTCGTATCGTGGCAGCGTCCGCTACCTCGAAGTCCTTCATCTATCTGGAATTCGTCCATCGCTCTACCGCTTCCAACCATTACGCAGCATAAGCCGATAAAAATGGGTTTGCCCCGCGCTAGGAAAAGAATGTTAGGGCCTAAAGCCGCGATACAGACACCAGGTCCCTTCTGCCCAAGTGTCTGAGGGCCATTCCGCGCTTTCCTCGCACCTTATCCCAGCATATTCCCTATCCTGACCTAAGGCTCCGGGTGGCTCCGGGTAGCTCTTTGATCAGTGACGAGCCAGAAATTATATCGATGGTGCAGGCAAAACCCGAATGTGAAGCCCATCACACCCTAGTCGCCTCCAATCTGCCTCCAAGATTCGACGACTAGGACCCTTTCGAAATTGACTGTCCATCTTCGCTAGTCCCTCTCTTCACCCCTCTGCCGTCCTCGTCGCACTCCAGTACCCCCCAGTACCTACAACCACCCTCCCCGCGCCCCTCTCCAACTCCGGCATCGCCCCGACGACTTCCCGCGCCAAGATATCGCGAAACCGCGCATACGCATCCGACCGTCCCTTCAGTGTCTGGTTCATCCGCTGCGCCAGCTCGACGAACTCCCGCGTGTAGATGTCCGGGTTGCGGCCGCTTTGCACGTAGTCAATCACTTCGGGAGGGAGCTGCACCGTCACGGTGGGGGCGGTGCGGGAGAGTTGGAGGAGGTGGGTAAGGAGGTGGGTGCTGGGGAGGTTAGTTGAGCCCGGGAGAGATGGACGGAAGGGAGGGGAGGGGGAACGTACATATGCCGTTGCATTGTGTCGATGGTGACTTGGCCTTCATGGGCTCCGGTGCATACTATCAGTTGGTAGAGCTCTTGAACGACGGCTCTCATTTGATCTGGAGGTGTGGTTAGCCATCACATTCTGGTAAGCATTTGTGTGGAAATTAACCATCCACTTTCCTCAACTCGGGGTCTGCCATAGTGAGTAGATGCGAAAAAAGGCTTTAAATCAGCTAGACTGAATGCGCTGCATTAAATAACAGAACTCTATCATAATTTAATTCTTGCTTGGAGCTTCAGTTGACTTCGATGTTGAAGTGTAGCTATATTGATGCCTTACAGTGCCTGAGGCACTAAGCTTAGTCAGCTTCGCTGATTGACCGGAATGACGACTCCCTTTGAGATGCCAATGCAATACGCTCTAATGAAGTACCGGTATTGGACAGGCATCCATTCTCTAGTTGATACATTTTGGACACTTTCTCATTATATGGCAATTCAGACGAAAAAGAGCTAGGATGTGCCATCGTGGCAAACGTGGAAGATGCAGCGGCCAGCCTTAACCGTTTCAGCACCTTCATTGGAAATAGGAACACCATCAAAGTCGACCGCAGACGTCTCTGACAAGGCGACTACAGCTTTCGTCCGGCGTACACTATGCTCTCAGAACAACACGGGAGATCTGGGCCGAGTGACGCCGCGCCCGGTTGAGGAGTTGCTACCGCCATTGACCAGCTCAAACGATGTGGACCTTCAGCTTTACGGGTTCATTGCGATCATTATCAAGGAGTTCGTGTATAGTTGGTATTCGAAAATTACGCCCGATCACACCTTTGTGGACGAGGCAATCCGAATCGTTGCACACTGCACGCGCGCATTGGAACAACGGCTTCGACAAGTCGACTTAGAATCGCTTCTCTTAGACGAGATCCCAGATTTGATCGATGCGCATGTTACCGGTATGTGTTGCTCAGGTTGTGAAACCTCTTCCAGTTGAATTCATGGCGCTAAATAACATCGCTCCTTTACAGCCTACCGTGTCGCGCACCAATCCGCCGACTTGCATCCCTACTCTGCTGGAGCAAGGCAGGTCTATCACACCCTCAACCCGCATCCAGCACTATCGCCCGCACCGGTGCCTGCGAACCCGGAAACTGTTCGCGAACAAGAACGGAATGAGGAGGCGTGGCGTCATTTGTTGGTGCAGGGAGTATTGGCGGTACTCCTCCCAACGGAAGATCTCGAGAATCGTTGCCTTCATGCGTTAGTAACGGAAAGTTTGGCCGAAATGATCCTTGGCACAGGGGTCAGCGGAAGAGTCTGTGAGGGATGGGTACTGTGGGAAGGCATTACGAAAGCCATCGGGGCTGCGAAGTCACGTTCAACCGACTTGAAAGAGATGAAGAGGAGCAAACGAAGGTTGGGCTCGTTGGGTCGGCTCGAACGCTTTGGGTTACTCTCCTCGCACGGCGCTGATAAGTTTCCGAGAAGAGCATCCAGCTGGACATCTCTATCCGGATCTGTTTCAGCGTGGTTTTGGATTGCTGCCCAATATGTATTTTTGGCGTTTACGGCATTACGCGGGGCGATCATTGCATTTGCAACATCATCCTCCTTACCGGCAAGAGGGGCAGCGATCGCAAAATCACCATCCGTCGAAGTCGCGCATAGCGAAATTCCCTCATTCAAATCCGAAAGTGGAAGACAGGCCCCGGAATCGCTGCGACCTATTGTAAGCATGAAGGCATGGGCGTGCTTTGCGAACCTAATCGAGCTGGATGACTGCATGCCATGGTTAAGTGGCTTTATTGCGATTCTCTATACGGGAGTGGTGGAGGGGCCGGGTCGGTTGGGTTACACAGACGGCACATTGGACAGGTAAGTGGACATGTCTTTCATTTCTCACTCGTGTTTTACCCAGTCAATGGTCATGATTGTCGTGATTTTCCTCTTCGTTCCGGACATATCCGTTGCGAAACCTAGCCGGACGATTAAAACTGGTCGGCAATCCTGCCACGGTTGCTCGGTGAAAAGATTGGCTTCATTCGCATCGTCGAGCCGACCCAGCGGGCACGGGCAAAGGCAACCCGCATACGGGAGGAGTCAAGTGACCTGGCGCCAGCCAGTCATCTCACAGGATGGCTTCTCTTATCGAACCCCCCTTGCCCTCCATTTCTGGTGTCCGTGTGCAAGGGCGTTACTGATGGAGGGTGGAGGGGCCCACCCCTCCCGTCTGCAACTCGGGCGCCCAGGCGCCCACTACAGAACGTGCCAGGAATTCCCCGCTTGCCTCCAATGTCGCAGCCCAACGGGCAAGGGTCCCACTCTGGCTTTTCTTCATTACAAGCATTCTTTGCATCTTCATTTGCTGGAGTATGCCGGGCTTGAAATTGATAACGGACACCGGTCTTTTTTTCGCCTGAAAACAAGGGAAGAGCGGATATGCAACAAAAGCCAAAAAGATTGAAGCTACTCCTTGACTTTACGACCCGGACAGGGTCTGCCGGACATCATACCAATCCTTTTTGAGATGCCGAGCTTTCCACTTGCTGCTTGTTTCACCCTCGACTCCATGATTGATCAGCAATTCTCTCACGCTTCGGTCGATGCTAGCATGGGAATATCCAATCGTCGTCTAATCATGCTATATGATGCTGAGCAAGATATACGACTCCGCACTATGTGCAAAGAGCAGTGTATTTCGTCATGGCAATCAATGGCTGATTTCAAGCTGACTGCGGACTTGCCTCGTCTCCTTCGATGCGACGTATTGGAACTCACCTGTCAAATTTCATGGATACGCGCCCGCCTGATCTGATACCAGATATTCGGGACGAGCAGCGGCCCGCCCATGTCTGCAGGATAGCGAGCGTGCTCGTTTTGTGCATTAATTCCCTGGCGACTACGACGTTGGTCATAGCTTTTGGTGGCTTTGTGAGGTTGAGTGATATCTATCATTCTCTCTCAATTACAAGGGACCTGGTCATTCCACAAAGTCGATACGCCATGAATGTCAACGCCTCGGATCGAGCTCTCTTGCGAGCTCAGCACCTCAACGGTTCTGTTTTAGCGAGATGACGACCATGCTACTTCTATGTTCCACCATTCGGTGCCTTGCGCTGGACGACACCATTACACATCTCAACGCTAAGGATCGGCTTATTCGTCCCTTGAGGCAGGTCTTACCTCTGGATCTTTGCGGCAATGGCACTACACGACCAAATCCCCTAGCATTGTTGAGTCGCTAGTTATGAGTTCTAGACGACAAAGAATTGGTTGCGCTCGATTTTGGATGGTTTCAACATTCCGATCCCGCCATGGTCCCAAGGATGCCAAAAAACTCTTGACCAAGGATACACACAGCCGATGCCCACATCCATCTACCAGCGTCATCGATTTGCCGTCAATCCTTCCTTCCTTACATCGTCATCGGTCCCGTCTCTTAGTGCGCCTGGGGAGGTCTATGCTACTAGGATGGAGCGGGGAGACACTTCCCCGGGCGCCTCATTCTCTTGGTGGCGATCAAACGGCTAGGACCCGTACACGCTTTTGATCGTCTCAGCAAGGCGGAATACGACCTGTATATTCCATTGTTGATTTACCATGGCCTTTGTCGAAGACAAGTGACGTGTAAAACGGATATCTCAAAACGAGATAGTCGCACAGAAACGATTCCAACCAGCCGACCAACCTTCTTTCCACCAACCGTAGACAAGCCAACACCTGGCTGTCATGGCGCTCACAGGGAATTGACGCCGTCCCTGGGGTATTCGAATTCGGCACCTCCTTGCATGTTTCGCAGCATCATCGTCCTTCAGCTTCATCCAATTGCGGACCTCGTACACATCAGTGCTCTTGCCACAATCAAAAGCCATCTAATGAATCTTCTAAACATTCCGTTATTCCACGCTTGTCTCACTTTTCAACAGCAACAATTGCGCTACCCATTCTCAAATTGTCCGGACGAACCAATCATTACCTATCTTGTTCTTGGATGCAGGCTTCCCTTGCACCGCCTTTGCGGTAGCTCATGTGCCGTTGATATCGAAAAGTCCAGTTTCATTTCTGCGCATTTACTGACCAATGCTTTCATCTATCAGAATCCTTTCTAACCACGTCCAAACGTTGCTCCGCGCTCCAACCCTTCTGCCCACACTTCTCCGCAATGCCCGCTCGGCGCTGTTTCCCAATAACAGTCCCCCCCCTACGAGAACCGTGCCATCCATCGAGGAGCAGCTCGCTATCCGCCGGAAATGCGCGGAGACGATCGCTGGCTTGATCCCACCCTTCGTATCTGCCGTGTACTTTTCCAAAGAGAAGGTTGAGGATGGTCCGAGGCGGGTCGGAAGGGCTCCTGATGAAAAGAAGACTTCGGCTGTGGATGAGATCGAGGTGATTCTGAAGGTCTTCGGAGATACGTATATGAATAAGCATCTCATCTTTGGTGTCATCGAGTTGGTTGTCATTCGACTCTTGCCGGAGATGGCAGAGTTGGGAGTTGAAGGTCTGATGGCGGAGCGGTTGGGAGAAGTATGAAGTGCAAATCGGTTCTTTTCTGTTTTGGAGTGAGCTCGTCAGTTTGAAGATACCCTTAATAGCATATTCGTAATTCAATGGAAATTTTGCACGATACGAAATGAGCCATTCGAGTTGTTTACAAGCGCCATCAATTCCTCTAAGAAATCGTTCATTCGCAGGCTTTGAAAGGCTTTATCTGGACGCGGATGGATCCCGAAGCCTTCCATGAGCCCTGCGAATGCAAGTCGTTACATATAAACAATGAAGCCGCCGAGACGCAACGTAAATACATATCCTTCTCCACGTCTCACGCTTCCTGATATCCTGTTAGGGCAAGGGCCACGAGTCAGCGACGTCTATGGCTCCTTAATATGGCCCTAGACTTCACCCAGTCCACGATTCCCTCGAAACCGAAATGCAAAGTCACATATAATCGCCCAAAATGACCCTGATGAAACTCCAGATAGCACATGCAATAGCCCTGAGAAACCCAATACAGATGAGGACTGAAAAAACGGAGAATGGCTCCGCGCGGGCGGATAAACCGTCTTTGGTTTGGAAGATTTGTGGTGATGATGATCGAAATGTTTTGGAGTTCCCCCAAAGGTCCCTTGCGAGACGTGCGTCCTTGACCTGTACCAGTGCCCCTTGATGTTTCCGATGCCCATGATCCCTATATCCCGTTCCCATCCCTGCCCAGAGTCTCCGATACCGAAAGGAGATACACTCGCTGTGCAAGATAAATGACGCTAGCCTGTTAATGGCGAATAAGTGAGGAAGGTGAAAGGGTAGAAGCGCAAAAACGAAATGTACACAAATAAATGATGGTAACTGTAGATCCAAAAACAAAAGACGCAGAATGATGACGAAAGCATGACTTCTGCGGAACTGAAGCCGGTGTCAGAATGTAATCGTTAGAACGATGCAGGTGTGGGATTTTTCGGTACTCAAACAGAGTAATCGTTTGCGGCGTTGTTGAACCGCCGATGCCAGTGCGGATAAACAAATCGCATGCGGGTTCAAGTGCTTGATATCGGTTTGCGTGTCCATATCCCAGTTGCACGTCAACGCCACTTTCTAGTCTCTCATGCCCTCGCTTATGGCAACACCAAGGCCGATACCGAGTTGCTGAACGCCTCCTGGCTGCGAAAAGGACTGGCGTCTCAACTTCAACTTCTCCATCAACTTCCCGATTGTCACGTACTCTTGCGGCTCAACCAGTCCGCTCGGTTGATGCTGGAAGAACTGCATCACCACTTCAAGTGCTCGTCGGGCATCTTCTTGGCTGGGGCTACCGGCTGCTGGCTGAGGCGTCGAGTTGAGCACCGCCCGATGTTGAATAGGGCTGAATGCGCTCTCCGTGGAGGAATTCGGTGCAGTTGTGACACTAGCTGGCGTGATTGGAGACGATTGGTGCATACGGTCGAGCCGGGTCTGGACGTGGGGCATCAGGACGGGTGACGGAGAGTGAACTGGTTGGTGCTGCGCCGTCGTAAGAGGCGGAAGAGCAGATGATGCTGACATTGAAGGAGGCGGCATCTCAGATGCGCTGGTAGCTGCGGCTTCCAGTTGTTCCTCGGCGGATGGCAGCGGGTTCGACGAAAGCTCGCCCATCGGCGAGTCGCGCGCTGTCGATGGTATGTACTTTGGTGTTAAGGAATCTGACGTCGGACCCGTGCTGGGAGTGAAGGCTTGTGGTTCGATGCCCAGCATTGGGAACGTCTGGCTGCGAGGACGTTGGAAGCCGTTCGAGCCGGGTGTAGTGCTACCGCTGACCGATGTCATACGACCTTTGGTTGGAACGAAAGGACTCTGTCCGGTCGCGGATTCCGGAGAGAAAAAAGGCGAAGTCGGGCTTGTAGGACCTGGAGAGAACGAAGACGGAGCCGCGTCAGTAAATACAGAAGACAGAGACGTATTGCTTTGCGAGTGGAAAGGCCGGTGGTTTTGTTGGGCCTGGTTAAAATCGAAGAAATGATCTGGACTTTCAGCCTTCCCAGCGCCGGCTCCTTCTTCTGTTTTGGTCACCGCCATAGCCAAATCGATAGGAGAGACGGTGCCGGCTGGATCCGGCGTAGTAGGCGAAATTCCTCCGGGGGTTTGAGACTGCGAAGCAGGATTGGACTGGTCCTCCGAGTCTTCTGCTATCGAGCCTTTCCGCGACTTCGAGCCTAGCAGGTTGTTCTTCGCACGGAACTTGTTTAACCAGGAGTTGCTGTTTGCCTTAGCCTGACCCTCTGAGGTGCCCAGTGCCGTCGCAAAGTACCGGAACCGCTCTCGAATCTCTTGGTCCGAAATGGCCATTCCACGTTTGTTTTGCTGGTTTCGCGCCCAGGTAGAAACAGCACGTTCAAGATCCTGGGACTTGCCTTTGCTCTTCTTCGCAGGGGAACGACTTCCATCTTCTTGGTAGAGATACTTTTCTTTGTTCCTCAGGACTTTGGAGACCGTGCTAGGCGACATTAGAACACTGATCCACAACATCACTAGTCTCCTCAAGCATACCTTCGTTCGACACCGAACATGGCTGAGCAGCTAATCTTAGCATTGCGCATTCCTTGCAGCTAGAGAGAAACTTACCACCAATTTCCGTCTGCTTCACATTCGGATGCTCCTCATGGTACAGACACATCCTTCTCCGGTCTGTATCAGTCAGCGTCTTCCGAGGCGTCGACGTTCTTGAGCTGGTCGACGTCGCAGAGATCGGCGTTGAGGCCGGCGCAACAGGCACCGCTGGCGTTGTGCTTGGATAAATGGGAGGCACGTAGGTGGACTGGCTCGTGAGCATACTGGGCCACTGTTGCTGTTGCGGCATGACCAGCGGCTGGAGTTGGTGAGTTGGTCGCGGCGGAGGCATCGTCGACGGCATGCCATGAGTGTACATTGGCTCCATTGGCATCGGAGCAAATGCGAAACCCGGATACTCGTGCACAGGAGATTGATGCACTGAGTGCGGATAGGGATTCCCGTTGGTGTCGACCCAATTGCCACCACCATCATGATATCCCCCGGTGCTCCCTGGCTCTTGATGTTGCTGGTGATCATGATCCATCGCGATTCCTGGTGTGTATGAAGCTAACCAACTTCCCGCTCAGTTGCAGAAAACAATTGGCGAAGTTCCAATTCAGAAATGGTCCGAAATATTCGTTTGACCCTTCAATCCACTTCAGGGAGCAGGCGGCCTAGGGCTGCACGGCGTTTCCTGGGGAAAGGAACCTTTGACCCGGAAGACTGCATGCAGCAAGTGGGCGGTTCCTGATGTAGTGAAGCGAAGGACGAGCGTGTTTGCCGGGTTTTGGTCTAGTACCACGGGCAAGCCGGTGCAACTGGGGCGTAGATGGCGGCCGAGGACCCAACCGAAGGGAATTGGGAAAGAGGACGGCACAAAAAATAAGGTGAATGCGGAGCTGCGAGGCACCAACACGTCAACCCTACATGTGGTGCAGCAGTATCGCAGAAGGAAATGAAGATGCAAGAGAGCTGCAGGATGAGGAGGAGGATGTATATGGTTGGATAAGTGGAGGAAGGTTGAGCATAAGCCGGCGACGGAGTGGTGGTGGGGGAGGACAAGGAGGTTAAGCCTGGCTCCAGCAAATCGACTTGCAACAACTCCTTATTACACAGTACTGCTCCCTCAGGCGGACAACACACTGGCGTTTTTAGCAGTTAGACCTAATTATCCAGTCAACGTCGACGGAGCGGAGCGACGCGAGAGCGGGAGCACTGCGGGAGGATTGCTATAAGCGCGGGTGCCTCGCCGATTTTGTTTCCTGCTTAGTGCTTAGGGCGACGGATCCCCGAGATCGACTTGGGGTTCTGATCGAATCTCTTTGAACCCACACCTGTGATTTGAGTCTAGCGTTCGGTAGAGCAGATAACTATTGACGATCCGGGCAGGGAGCACCATTTTCACAGGCAGGCGACGGAGACGAGATCCGAATCCCTGCCAATTGCGTGCCCAAAAGAATCAATGAGGTGGAGAACTGGAGATAATGTTTTAGCCAGGAAAAGACTGTCACCAGGTGTAAAAAAACGAAGAAGCGACTTCTTCATGGAGTATTGGGCGGTCGTAGCAACGCAGTAACTACCCGTACTGGTTGGTGAAGACGAGGTCGCATCCAAGGAGCACAGAGCGCCCGTCGTGGGCTGTCAATCGAAGGTCGACTTCAAGCCCCCAAGGACTGGGCGCCCTGTTTCGGTCTTGCTCGCTGCTGAGGGCTGCTGCATCCCTTAGGTCTGGCGCATTTTCCCAGCAGTCTCTTTTCTCAACAGTGCAAATGCCCAATAATGATCTCCCGCCAATTTGCCTGAATATCTGGGCTTCTGCGCCCCAGATACCACCATAGACAGCCCCACTGCGTCGCCGGCCGGGGCCCCTGGGCTCTGGTGGCAGATTGGCAGCCGGACGAGGGTCCCCATGCTCCATGGCTTTCTCGTGAGCCTGGGTGGGACCATGGGGGCTGGCCATTGGGGGGACGGGGAGGAACATGCACATTGCGGACGAGGAGCCCCTGGCAAATGGGATGCTCTGGCGATAGTGTCTAGTGTGAGCGCCAAAAGGGCATCCCCACCAGTCAAGCATGCCGAGATCGCCTGCATCCTCAAAAGTTGTAACTGTGCCTCTCGTTCAGGAATAATATGCTTCAGTACCGAGTATCGTGATGGAAATCAAGAAGCGTTGAGACTGGGGGAGAGTAGGGAATATCGGGAATCAAAGTTGTACTCGGAGCCCCAGGTAGACGCAAGAAATGGGTTGAAGAGGCACTGGGACATCAAATCACTCCCTATCCTCCTCGAACTAGGATGGATCCTTCAAGGACTGAGCTCACTGAAAGCTTTCAAATCATCTCGAATGACAACTGAAACCCTAGATACTGCTTTGTCAAGCCAATGTTATTCTCGTTCCAACAAGTGTCTCCAACCCGGACCCAATGGCGGCGTAGAGATCCAATGAAGCACTCTGTATGGAACGCTGTAGCTTTCACGTTTGTTCATGATGGCTTCCTTGGAACGCGTCTTCCCGATGACGGAGCCTTTCTTCCCTTGTCGTGTTCTGCTCCAATTGAGACTATCGACCTCAATTTTCAGGTGCTCCTAACGGAATCGAACTGGAGGTGAGTGGGAAAGTCGATACCGAACCTTGTCAACTTTCGTTCCGGGATATCAGGGCCTCAAGGAAGTTCGTGGAGGTCGGTATCCGTCATGCTCATGCATGCAGTGATGCCTTCTGGGCCGGTCCATCCTTGGGCCACGAGATCAACCATACCTGCGACCCGCTGCGTGCACGAACGGTCCGATAATTAAACCACTAACCATCGGCTCAACGAGGAGATTCTTTCCTTCGAAAAACATTGTCTTGCGGCGCAGGCTGTCAGGCATCGCTCAATAATCGATGGGACTAGATTGTCCCGCTGCGGGCGCGATTTCTCCCGCAGTCCCGCTCGAAGGATGCTACGAAATCCTTGAATGAGGCGAGTGGGTTGTGGGGGGCATGTCAACCCCCCCCGATAACCCGGCGAGAAGACCCCCCTCCTCATCAGCAATTGACAATTCGGCATGAACACGCTCGGTCCACCTGCAGCTCTGGGCCCTCTGACTGGTTGAGAAAGGCGGTGATCACCCCTGTAAATCGGTGCATTTCCCATATTCCGCGAAAACGACGGCCGTTGATTGGCGGCCCGGCGCAAAAAAAAGTCAAAGAAATGGAATTTGAGGCACAATTGTTGAGCGCGGGCATCAGGGTAGAGGAATGTGTCCCGTCCTTAACGCTCGCCCCATCTCGATAGAATGATCGTCACAGTGAAACGATTGCAGAAGCTAGAAGACCGAAGAATGAACAGTGCTCTCCGATGCGGGTGAAAATGGCCTGACCATAACACCGTTCAGCTAGGAAAGGTTCCACCCGTCAGATTCTGGGCAGACGACCAACTATTGGTTCCAGAAGAGTCCGCATCGCTATGATCGTTGGCTCTGTTTCCTTTCCTATCTGCCTCCACGAGGCCCAAAACGGTGAGGCTCGTGGGATCAGCGTGCGATGAAAATATCTCTGGGTGGAATAAGCATCTTCATTGGTGATGTTTCCGCGGAACACAAATGGAAGTTGGAACGGCGCGACAAGTTAGTTGAACCTTTCAGTGATGTTGGATTTTGAACGCCTCTCATTGTTCTGGCTATCGTAGCGAGCAGCGACTCGGAACCAAGGACATTTCGATAGCTCTCGTGTCCCAGATTTTTATCCCGTGAATATTGACGAGGATTTTGATGATTCCCGCCCGTTCCGCGATGCGCGGCACAGCTGATTCTCTTACATCGTACTCGTCGGGTGCCGGTTCCAACGCTGTGGGTATTTGCAATACAATTGAAGCCTCATGATCCCTTGTTCTCACCACTCAATTTGCAGTTTCGCCGCCCAGTCTTTTGACCGGTTGCTAGTAGCCGTTTAGCCATTCCGTCGTCGTTGATACTTATCGTTTGATGATGGTGACTGTCATGTGGTCAGTGGTGGGGTGCAGTCGGAGCCGACAGCCAACGATTCCTCGCTTTGCTGTCGCGGCTCAAATCCCATGATCACTTACTGATGTCTTCATCCGCTAGCTCGTGAGCCAAACCGACACGTTGGGGCTGATGCTTCACAGACTTCCCGTACACAATCGCCTGCTTGAATTGCTCCAGGATGCTTTTGTGAATCTGGCCGCACTGTTTCTATTGTCAATCTCGGGCCTCTGCATTTGTGTAACCTGATGACATACGAAGTCTTCCACTGTGCAGGCGTTTGCACGCAGTACCACGGGTTCGGAGTAATCGGGCATCTTTCCCTTGGGCTTCGTGTAAACCCGGCGGAGATTGAGCATCTCCCACATCTGCTCGAGTAACTCGTCGACGTTCCATCCATGCTCGGAGCTGATGGGACACGCGTGTGGGATCCGGTACAGGAGATCAAGCTCCTCAACGGAAATGGCATCGATCTTATTCAACGCATAAATGACGGGAATGTACGCTCTGCTCTTCGCTTCCAGGACGTCGATTAGGTCGTCAATTGTCGCATCGCACCGTATGGCAATGTCAGCGGAGTTGATCTTGTACTCCGACATCACCGCCTTGATCTCCTATTGCAAGTCAGTCATCACGAATGAGTCTAGAACGAGTAACGTACGTCATGGTCAATGTGGGTCAGCGGCACCGTGCTGGTAATTGCGAGGCCTCCCTTTTCCTTCTTTTTGAACGTGATGTTCGGCGGCTGCTTGTTGATTCGGATCCCAAAGCCCTCCAATTCGGTTTCGATGACACGTTTGTCGGTGAGCGGTTTGTTCACATCAAGGACGATGAAGATGAGATGGCAAGTCTTCGCAACCGCAATAACTTGACGACCTCGACCCTTACCGTCCTTCGCCCCCTGAATGATACCAGGCAGATCCAGCATCTGAATCTTCGCACCGTTGTAGACAACTTGACCAGGTACGGTGGTAAGCTACGTTCCATCAGCAGAGTCCGGCTTGGCAATATAATTATCCATACAGTTGTGAATTCATATGCCGCAGCTTCTGAATGTTGACCCGTCAAGCGACTCATAAGCGTACTTTTGCCCACGGACGGGAATCCGATAAATCCCCTGGAGTTCAGAGTTAACTTTTGAACTAGGTTAAGAAGACGGGGTTCCAACATACACGCTCGCCACACCAGTTCTTGCAACGTCGAATCCCACTACATGTCTATCTTAGCTCTTGCACCCCGTTGAAGGACTTCAACATGACTTACCTCCACCTCCGCCACCTCCGCCACTAGGAGTGAGAAGTTCACGTTTTAATTTGGCAAGCTTCGCTTTGAGTTGTCCTGGAATTGATGTTAGCACGTTTGCGTTGCGGATGCAGAAGACGGTGGGCTGTCCATACCTAAATGATACGATGTCGACTTGTTCTTTTGAGTCCGAGCCATCTATTTCATTGTGAGTTCGAATGCTTCAGTTCTGTTCTCGGCAGGCGAAAATACCTCGGACTCAACATCTTTGATCTAGATATGAGAATTAGCGATATGGATACAGGCCACAACACCAAGACTTCTCCCTTACCTTGTCCACAGTCGTCGACATCTTGGCTATCTGTCTCTATCCGATACGGAACTTTGATGAACTGGTTACAAGTTGGATCACGAATTTACTAGCAATAGCGATGGTTGTTCTGGATTTACGTGCAATATCAAAATTCGGAGGGGCAACTTTGAGGCAATGACGATCTTTTGCGATTTCAAATCTTGTTGCCTCAGGCATAATTTATATTCATAAGGCACTAATATTTGTTGCCCGACACAACTTCACCAAGCCTTGCTCAGTTCTGCGCTACGTTTATCTGAGTGTCCATTTCTAGTGGCAAGCATTATACACATTAGAACATCTCAAGAGACATATGAACATATCATATAGGAGATGACGGGGACGCATCCCAAAAGTATCAAGACACATCCCACCGATGTGGAGACGTCTGACTCACGTGACGTTAACATGTGCTCTGATTGGTTCATTTCAAAAAGAGAAAACTCATTCCCAATATACCGCCTGTTCATGTTCTAGGCACCCCATCCACTATTTTGGGCAATCCTCTCCACCTATTTTGGGCTTCTCAACGCCCGTCTTAGGCACTCCCACCGCCCTTCTGCAGTTTTTTCTAAACTGCCCCTTCCATTCCCTAACCACCAGAGCCCTAATATGAGGACAAATACCTCTAATATTTCGGTATGTATTTTCTTAAATAGATCAATCAGAGCACCGGATTCCTATGTGACGTAAATAAGATGCACCTACCCGTTGGTGGGGTGTGTCTCGTCTATCCTGGCACTTCTTGGGATATGTCCCGATCATTTTCCTATGGTATTACACTAATAGGTCTGTATCTAGTATACATAGTATCGGTTGCCCGGTCTCTCGAATTTGTTCTATCGCCATTGATCTGCCGTCATCGATCTCTTTTGTATTGACATCGACGATACCAATATCCCTTCTCACTATGATCTATCACTTAACGACCGCCTCCCCTCCCCGGATCCAGCTTCTGGCCAAGCTCGGAATACCAGTTACACAACATAACGTGGCTTGACTCCCCCGTATCTCGCTTGAAGATGTGACAGCCCTCTCGCTGCGCATTCGGAGGCGTGTACACTGCCGTTTGAATTAGCTCGTATTCTTCATGTCCTTTTCGCGCAACGAGGCCCGAAGAGGCATCATGACCGTTCAAGACTTTAGGGAAGGAGAGAGGGGGAGACGCACGATGCAGTGAACAGGTGAATTCCTCCGGATCCATGTTCTGGATGCAATGAAGCCCGAGTTGATCGGACATGTACGTGACCTCGTTCTCGTGATACACGGTCTCCTGGAGGACTTGCAAGGGCTGTGGGCGCGGGTCTGGCCACGCAAATCGGGTCTCCTTCAGAGAGCCACGTAGAACTTTCATGATGCAATGGGCATTCGCGTGGTCGTGGATAGGGCTTTGCTGGCCGGGGCTCCAGACCAGGAGAAGCTAGGGGAGGTCAATATTTTGGTCATAAAATCCGAGGGGTCGGTCGGCTTACGAGATTGCTGTTCGCGTTGCCTTTGTCGACGAGATTGCGAGTGTAGGCTCTACTCTTGTCGCCGAGTGCGTACTGCTTCCATTCGGATTCATCTGAGATGTATTTCTCCATTACGCCAATTAGTTCCTTCGGGTCAACCCCTTCGGAATTGATGCCAGCATCTGGCCCAAGGACTCTATTGAGATCTGCAACCAGGGTATGGAAGTGGTCCATATTGAATATTCGGTTCAGATGCTGTACGGCTGTCTTCAGACGTGGCTAGATTGTTCCTGTGGGTGAGGAAATCCAGCTCAAAATGATCATACGTGGCTGCAAAGAAGATATACAATACGTCCAAAGTCGGATGGATATTTATACCCAATTCCCAACAGAAGGCCGCCACTTCTGTCTACGGACACCGGTCAAGTGACGTATCCAACCTTTTTCGATAAAAGTCGTTCGCTGCGCCTGACAACGAATTTGGATCATGTCGGGCTACCGTTTGTAAAGCCTTTGACGATCTTTGGATGAGTAGAACAAACCAATGTAGTACTAACAAGGCATACGTCGCGGATTGGGTGGTCAACCATACGTTCCGGTGCCATAAATCGGCCAACGCAATCCGATGGACGATGCAACCAACGTCTCCGACAATCCAGAGTCCACATCTTTCCAAAGTCCACATGTCTGCTCCATGCTCGAACGAAAGGTGTCCTTCTAAAGGTGTCATTTTTAAGATGTCATATTTTCATGTTAGTTGCATGTACACGGGCTTTCTTAGGCCTTCTTAAGAGTCACATGAAGCTTTAGGAAGGTGAATTAAAAACAAATATGTCGATCGGGTTACATACGCATCATCACGACACGTGGAGGATACTTAATATTGAGAGGAGAGAAAACGAATAAGTATTTAATCGTCCTACACGTGAACCATCAGCTGTACTTTCCTTAAGGTTATCATTGAGATTGTCAAGCATCCCGCATCACACAAGCTTTCGTTCGCCGTTGGAATCAAACCGTTGGCGACCTTCCCCTCAAACCTCAGATATCACCAACGCAAGCCACCATGCAGTTCAACCTCATCAACGGACCACCAGACGCCACGGCCCCAAAATCGCCTCTCTCCGAGCCTTTCACTCTGACTGCGCTGCCAGACACCGACGTCTGGCGCACACCAGCCTCTGCCGGTGGTCGCGATAGCTTCGACGGCACGATCCTCGCCACTGAACTTCCCCTGAAATCCTTCCAACGAGCCCAGGTCACCGTGTCCGCCGACTGGAAGTCGCAGTACGCGCAGGCCGGGCTGATCTTCTACGACCCGTCTTCGCACCGTCCATGGATCAAAGCTGGGATCGAATTTAAGGACGGCGCGACCTTCGCGTCGGTGGTCGCGGCGAACCCGTACTCCGACTGGAGTTTGCTGCCTTGGGGGGAGAAGAGCGTGACGATTGAGTTTGAGAAGGTGCATGGGGCGCTGTGGGTTTACGGGCGCAAAGCTGAGGGGGAGAAGATCCCGATGAGAGAGACTACTTGGGCGTTTGAAAACGAGGACGCAAACATTGCGGTGGGAGTGTTGGTGGCAATGCCAAAAGGAGAGGATGGGGTGGAGAATGGTGGACAGTTGGATGTTCGGTTTGAGAATTTCACGATCGAGACTGCGTGAGATGCTGAGGTTTTCTATACCAACATCTCACAAAATACGACATCTTAGCGAGCCTTAGTTTTCCAATATAAACTTGCCTTGCTCCATTGTTCGGTTCAGATCCCAAATTTGGTGGATTGCGGTCATAGTGTGCGATCTGTCTTGAGCAGTTGAGCAGCAGTTCGATATGGGACCAGCCGCCGCTTGATAGGGGAAAGATGTATCCCGTATGTTTTGACTTTTGAGAGGATGTTTCTTGGAAAAGATAGGGTTAGAATTTCGATGTAGCACGATCTAATTATACCTAATCTGTATGGCAAGGTCGAAGGCCCTTGTCGCGGTGACGCCCCTTTCGCAAGGATGCATGAGATTCTACTTGTGGAGCCATTAACTGCCATTGACTTGATATCCAAACTTCAACCTTCTCAACTGCCAACGTCAACAGCCTGCAACTTTGTCGTTTCTTTCGCTTCTTTCCACAAACTTCATACGCACCTTTTCTCCTCTTCTCGGATACAGTACAAATCTTCAACTCCCGACGTTGATAGAAACCCTGTCCTCCAAACGAGACATGCGGCGCTTCCCCCGTCAACCGTCGATATAAACGTCATCATCCTTCCACCCCATCCTCGTCCCGCCGTCGCAAACCCCGATGCGCTCCACGCTCCACCGTCTCTCGCAGCATGTCTCACCGCATCGAACCCCCTTCGCCATCGCCACCCTAATCGTCCTCTCCGCCTTTTCTGCCCTCGCGACGCCGACTCGCCATTCGCTCTTCATCTCCGCCCTCTCCTGGGCCCTGGTGTGCGCAGTATACATCTCGCAGGCGGGACTGGGGTGGCGGTCGCAGGATGGCGGTGGAAAGAGCCGGAGGTTCGCGGGAGTGGCCGGGGGTTTGTTTGCGTTGTCGGGCGTATGTGAAGCGACGTCAAGGGATGCGGAGGCTTTGTGGTGGACGAAGGTCGGTATCTCGTCGGCTCTACCGGTAGCGATACAATACTGACGGGCCGTTAGTCTCTCCTCCCCATGATTGTATATTTGGCCTACGCGCTGGACATCAAACTGGACGCTTCCCTGGCCCATGTCGATACCGGATCCAAACCAGATGGAAATATTTCGAGGACCCCTCCAGCGCTGCTGATCACCGCGACGGTTTCCGCTCTCATCGCACTGAGCGGTCGGTATACTCTCCCTTCGTCCACGGCACTGGGTTTGTGCGGCGCGTTGCTGCAAGGATGTTCATTCGTCTTGCTGGATATGGCGATCAAGAGTGCGGATATCGATTTCTATGACATGGGTGGATTCGTCATGGCGAATGGGTCCCGTCGAGCTCTGAATGCAGGCAAAGAAGGCATTTCATACAAAGGAGTCTGCCGCGATGTTGCCGGGGCGATCGCATTCATTTCTGCGCTCGCGGCCGCATCGTTTGAAAGTTTTCGGCTGGACAACGGAGTGAGCGTGTTGCGGTATTGGAAGTTCGGCTGGCGTTTATCAGAAGCGCATGAGAACTGGGACACGAGATCGGTTCCCTTTCTCGTGTTGACAGATGTTGTCCGGAATCTTCTGGTTCTATATATGGTACGTATATGTCGTTTTGGTCCTGTTCGCGACATTCATGTGTCGTGGTTTGTCTCTTTCTGTCTTTGACTTTCTTCTTTCTTCTATTTCTTTCTACGACCCGATCCCCATCCATTTAGTCATACGTAGGACATATGCACTATTACAACCATGGCACATCTCTATCGAGGGTCACCCGTTATCCTCCTAGATTGGGAATCCCATACTGACATCCCCCCTCAGGTCCAAAGACGCGGTCCCCTATCGTTGAGCTTCTATGTCTTGTTTGCGATTGTTGTCGCATTCTTGCTCACAGGAATTACTCTCACCAGCGGTTGGTTTGCAGTCCTGTTCTCATTCACATCAATGCTCTTTTTCAAAGAGCCTCATCCGATGATGCCGTCGGTCGCCATGCCACCACACATGCGGAGCATCAAACGAGCGGTGATCCTTGTGTCCATCATTTCATTCGTGTTCTGGACAGTAAGATTTTTGCCGGACTCTCCTCACCCGGCCTACACGGGCCTGGGCCTATTTGGCCCTCCCGCTGAAATGGCACCCAGGGAGCTCGGATCAATGACCACACATCCCATCGAGCAATTAATGGACGATGCACAGGACCAGTTCCAGGCAATTCTGGTGGGACAGTCAGAAACGCTTGAACAAGTAGTCGCAGAGTACCGGAGAAGATACAAAATGCACCCCCCTCCTAATTTCGACCGTTGGTATGAATTTGCGAAGCGACACGATGTTCAATTGGTGGACGAGTTCGACAACATATACGACGCACTCCTTCCGTTCTGGGCCCTTCCACCGTCCGTTATCCGGAACCGAACGGCCGAGGCCCTTGGCTACGAGGGGAACGCTCTAATCCACGTGGCGATCCGTAAGGGATACGTAGTGAAGATCACAGGCGGTGAAGCTTGGTTTCGAGGGGCACTGTTGGGCATGTTAAAGGATATCGTCGAGTTCGTTCCCGACATGGACTTGGCGTTGAACATCCACGACGAACCACGCGTGATCATCGCGCACGACGAACTCAGCCAGATGGTCGAGTTCGCGAAGTCGAAAGCTATCCCGCAAGCCTTCCAGACCAAAGAACCGGTCAAGAGGTTTTCTCCGCGTCCCGCCAACCTGGGCGACGGTCGACGGATCAAGCCCGTCACGACCAGCCGCTTCAACCACTTCGCGCACCAAGACACCTGGACGCACAGCCGACTCTCCTGTCCGCCCGACAGCCCCGCACGCTCCTTCCACGAGACCACCGACAACCTCACCGCCTGGGCCGTCACCCCCCTCGGCTTAATCTATAACCACACGGCATTCAGCGACATCTGTAACTCCCCCTCTTTCGCCTCCACGCACGGCTTCTTCCAGCGCCCCAACGCCTTCAACCTCATCATGGACCTCGTCCCCATCTTCTCCCAGTCCAAGGTCTCCTCCTTCAGCGATATCGTCTACCCCTCCCCCTGGTACTGGGCCGACCACACCCCCTACAACCCCGCCGCCGACATCCCCTGGGCCCAGAAAAACCACACCCTCTACTGGCGCGGCTCCTCCACCGGCGGCTTCTCCCGCGACGGCGGCTGGCGCCGCCAACACCGCCAACGTCTCGTCCGCATCCTCAACGCCCCCTCCAACGCCACCGTCCTCCTTTCCCAACCTCAACCACCTCCTTACACCAGCCACCCCGACATCTTCCGTCCCACTAACCTCCCCCCCACCGACATCGCCCCCCACATCAACGTCCACTTCACCGGCCTCGGCCAATGCGACGCGGGCGACTGCGCGGCACAGCGCGAGTTCTTCCACATCGACCCGCCCGCGCGGTTCGAGGAGGCATACCACGCGCGCCACCTGCTCGACATGGACGGCAACGCGTTCAGCGGGCGGTTCTACGCGTTCCTGCGCTCGCACAGCGCGGTGCTGAAGATGGCGGTGTTTCGGGAGTGGCACGACGTGTGGGTGCGGCCGTGGGTGCATTTCGTGCCGGTGAGTTTGCGGGGGGGAGAGGTGATGGAGGTGGTGCGGTGGATGAGGGGGGAGGATGGGAAAATGAGAGAGATGGCGGAGGAAGGGCGGGAGTGGGCGGGGAAGGCGCTTAGGAGGAGGGATATGGAGGCGTGGTTGTTGAGATTGTTGTTGGAGTATGGGCGGTTGGTGGATGAGGAGCGGGGGAGGATTGGGTTTAGTTTGTAGACGGGTATTGGCGTTGGGGTTGGGATTGCCTTAGAGAAGGTATTGATGAATCGGCGCGGTCATGCTTGGGTTGACCGCAGCTTGTATATTAACACCAACACAGAACACTGCCGATAGCACTTTTCATGAGTCAAAAGCAAAAGCAATATGAAGACCAAAATTCGTTCACGTGAGTGATACATAATTTACTTTATCGTGACCGACAGACAGTGAGCGACCAATGCGCCTCCACTGCCATGCGTGCGCTATCAACATCAAACAAACCCGACGATTGAATCTCGTATCGGTGTCCGGTCCCAGAACATAGAAGAGTGCGTCCAGTTCGTTCATAATTCTCCCCAAGGGGCGCGCGTGCGTGTACAACCGCACTTCTCCCTCCCGTCATTCATCAGGCGATCAACCGCCCCCCTTGACCTTCACGCTCAAACAAGATGGATTTATACACAACGTCAAACATCCCTCCACTCTCATCCCCCCGGCGTACCACCCCTCACCGCCTTCACCCCCACCCCCACCCCATCCCTCCGAATCCGCTCCACCAAACTCAACCCCCTCCCGCCCCCCTTAAACCGCGAATGTCCCTGCACGAACCGCCCCCCAATACCCTCCGCCCCATCGCCCAGCAACATCCTTTTCTCCCGCTTCCCCACCCGCAGATCCCGCCACTCCGGCCGCCGATCCAGCTCTGCGAGGAGCGGCGCGAGCGGCACCCAGGAAAGGAGGTCGCGTGAGCCCATGGCACGGAAAGCGTGTGTGGTGGCGGCGATGCGGGCGCGTTCGGCGGAGAGGGTCGAGGTCGGGGAGGAGGCGTCGGTGTGCGTGGTGGTGGAGAGGGTGTGGATCGGGTAGCCGAGGAGCCAGGTGTCGATGTGGGCGGGAGTGACGGGCCGGGTTTCCCAGCGGAGATCGCGGAGCGCGGGTTTGGTGTCGTCGTTGGTGTCCCCGTTGGTGTCCCCGTTGGTGTCTCCCTTGGTGTCTCCGTTGGTTTCTCCGTTGGTGACTCCTTTGGTAGTCGTAGACGTCCGAACCGCCGCAGCGCCCGTCCTCGTCCCATTGACCTGCACCGGCTCCTCCTCCGCCCAATTCTCCACCGCCCCCACATCCAACTCCGGCAGCCCCAACAACCCTACTACCTGCCAATTCATCACCCACCGCTCCTCCCGCCGCTCCGTCGCCACCCCCGCGTCGATCTCCCGCAACGGCACTGTGTAGATCGGCAGGAACTGATCTGCCACCCCCAGCTCCGCCATCGTGCTGCGCACTGGCCGCTGCCGCCCGTGCCGCATCGCGTGCGCGATCGACGTCGGGAGGGACGCGAGGAGCGCCGCCCGCTCCGCGACGCGGCGCGCCGCTTCTTCGGCTTCGGCAGCGCGCTGGGCGGCCAATGCGGCGGCGGCGGCGGCGGCTTCCTCGGCTTGGCGGCGGCGTTCGCGCTCGGCAGCCGCCTCGGCCTCCTGGCGCTGGCGCTCCTGCTCGGCGAGGTATTCGGCTTCTTGGCGCTGGCGTTCCGCTTCGGCGGCTTCGGCTTCCTTGCGCTGGCGATCGAGACGCTCCTGCTCGACGCGGCGGGCTTCTTTCTCTTTCTCCTGGGCTTCGCGGACGAGACGATCGTGCTCTTCCTGCGCTTTGCGTTCTTTCTCCTTTTCGGCCTGCTTCTCCCTCTCCTTCTCTGCTTTCGCGGCGGCGTCGTCGCTGTCGTCGTCGGGTTTCGGGTCTTTCGGCGAGCGGGGTTTGTCTGTGTGTTTGCCCTTGGCTCTCTCGTCCTTTTCTCTCTGCTCAGCGGATTTTGATGACAGCTCGCGATCCCGCTCGCGGTGCTTCTTCTTCTCATCTTTTCTGTCTCGTGCGGGCGATGCCGATCGTCTCCGGGTCGACGCGGGCGAGGAGGTGCGCACGCTGTCGTCGCCGTGCGACAGCGCTCGTTCCTTCTTCACCGTTACTTTGAGGGATCCTCCCCGCTCGCGACGTCGTTCCTTGGCTTCCTTCAACCTTTCCCGGTCGGACTTCTCCGTCTTCGCCCCGCTCGCTGATCGCTGTTTGAGTTTCATGTGCGCTTTCGAATCCCCGCTCTCGTCGTCGTCATCATCTTCCACGACGCGTCGACGACGTCCCGGTAAGCTGTCGCGAGGTGATGGGAGGTCCCTTCCGAGCGTCGAGGGGCCGGTTTTGAGTTTGACGATGTTGCGATGCGGTTCGTCGGTGGAACGGATCCGGTGCTTCTCCGACTTCTCGCCCGACAAGGACGAAGACGGATGCTTCTCCGGTTTTCGTTGCCTGGTGATGAGAAGCGGAGACGACTGCTCGTGAGTGGTTCGCGCAATCTTGGTTCTCCTCGGACTCTCAGGGGAGGATGACTGCTGCACACGTTTCTTGCCCTTGGATGGCGCCGCGTCGTCCCGTGCGGAACGAGAGCCTTTGTATTGTTCGTACCTCTCCTTCAACAATTCCACCTCCAGCGCCCATTTCGGTCCGCGCCGTTCCTCGGCCACCTCCCAGTATGTCTTCCCGGCCTTGGTGCGACGCGTCGGGTCGAATCCGTCCTGATCCAACAGCAAGCGCAAGATGTCGACGTTTCCTCGGCCGATGGCGGTCAACATGGGGGTGTCCGAATGCGTGGCGGGGTCCGGGTCCTTCTGTTTGAGGGACAACACGGCCAGGATGAGGTTCAGCACAGTTTCATGTCCGCCTCGCGCCGCAGCGACTGCACACGATGTGTCCGGGTTGACGGAGTTCATAATCTGGTTCACGGCGACGGCGTCTCCGCGACCGGCATATTTTTTCAGGTTCTCGGGGTTGGATTGAATGTATAGGAGGTCATGTCGTTTCGTGGGATCCTCGAGTGACACGGGTAACGGCGCACGAGTCGAACTGTCGGTGTCTTCGTCAACGGCGTGGTCTCGTAACGCTTTATCGAGGATGGCCTTGATCGCATCGTAGTCTTCGATGTCGTCTTTGTTGTCTTCGAGGAAATCCATCGCGCGCTGGCCATTGGAGTTGGAATGATGCGGATTCACTCCGTGTTTGAGGAGGATGCGCACCACATCCAGTTCACCGTTCGTTACGGCATCGATGAGTGGGGTGTCGCCTTGGTCGTCCTGGACGTCGGGACGACAGCCCTGCTTGATGAGATATGCGACAACGCCAGCGTGACCTTTCAATGACGCCTTTTGCAGCGGTGCGATGCCCGCGTAATCAGGTTGGTTCAACTCGTCCGGCGATTGTTCATAGGCCTGCTTGACCGCCTCGAGATCGCCCTTTTCAGCGGCCTTCCCTAGCTTTGTGGTGCCGTATCGATCGACGTTCTTCTTGACGTGTGGGGCGGTGGTGCGCGCTGGCGAAGTGAGCGAGCGCTCTTGGGTGGATCGCTTGTAACGCATCTTCGGAACATCCTGCAGGACTGGAACGGGTCGTGGAGATGTCTCGGATCGTTCGGAACGAGAATCGGGACTAGAATGCTTGTGATTTCTATCGCTAGAATATGTTCCTGCGGTAGAAATGGCGTCCGAATGTCGTTTTTTGGGGAGAGTTGCGGACTGCACAGTTGAATGAGTAGAAGTAGAACGACGATGAGGTCGTGGATTCGGTTGTGTTGTTGCTGCGGTTGTTGTCGTCGTGGGAGTCGATGTTGGTGTTGAAGATATGGCAGTTGTGGACGTTGTCGCATTTGTCGTTGCATTTGTTGCTGTTGCTGTTGCCGAGCTGGTGCCAGGTGATGATGCATGCACATCTGTGCGAGAATGGCTGCTAGCCCGCGGCGATGACGATTTCCTGTCCTCATGGTGCTTTTCACGGTCGGATTTCACCTTTCGCGACGGCGGTTCCAGTCCTTTCAGATGGTGCTCGTCTCGAATCTTCCGCTTCTTCGACTCCGACTGGCCTGATACCGACCTGCGTACATTGGTCGTGGCGGCGACGTCGCTCCCCGCAACCGATGTCATGGACGCTCGTCGCGACCAGGTATTTCGATCCGATTCCAATTCATCGCTCATGCTGCGTGCAGAAGGGCTCCCGGCACGCTTCGATGTGCCATTCGGTCCGTTCGGACCATTTTCCCGGTGAACGGATCGCGATCCATTCGCTTTGGGTGCTTCTGATTTGGCGCGTTCTTTGTCGGGTCGTCCCTTCTCCTTGTCCACGTCGCCATGACGCTGGTGTGATTTCGAGCGCGGTGAGACGGGATCCGTCGTCCGATCCACGTTCGGTCCCGCCATCCTCTTTTCCTTCTTTACCGGCGCGTCCTTGGATCGAGAACGACGGTGGATGGGCGTTGACTCATCGGAAGCGACGCCAGCGTCTGATAGGATGACGGTCTCGCTCTCCGAGTCATTCTCGGCATTGCGAGCGTCAACGCCGTTCGACTGCTTCTTCGCGCTGGAGGGCTGCGGTGGCGATGGCACGGCTGGCGAGGGGGTTCGAGACGAGCGACCGTTGGCGACGGGATTGGGGGTTGGTCGCGATGGGCTGGGCGAACGAGGGGTGGAGTGCTGTTCCGACACAGGGTCGTCCGGACGGGTGGCGGTGGTATCCTTTCGAGGATGAAGGTCCGAGTCGGGGTTTGCGACACGGCTCATTACGAGGTCGCGAGTGGGAGAGAGAATGGACGGTGCCTCATTGCTGGTGTTTCGAGGTGGGATGACTAGGCACCGACAAGAGTGGACAGCACACGACACGACAGGATGCAGTCGGTGCAGGAGGGGACGGAAAATCGAAGGGGAGGATGCAATATCGGGAAGACTTTTTCCGAGTTGGCAGCTGTGAGGATGGAACGGTACGGAGGATAGAAAAGGGAGAATTGGATGGTACGGCCAACCGAATTGGAGGAGCGCAAGAAAAGTTGACGATGGGAGAAGGATTGAAGGGAAGGTTGAATAGAATAGCGCCAGCCCACAACGAGCAGGTGATTTGGACTCTTTGGAGGCTGACAATGCTTGGGTCGGAGTGGGAATTGGGACCTTTAGAGTTTAGTCCTGGGAGGTTAGTCACCGAATTAGCCACAGGGGCAGGCTAAGGCGTTAACCAAGAACAAGTTAGGGGGCGGACGGGGGGGGAGGGGGGAAGGGGGAGGGGGAGGCCGGGAGGGGGCAGATGGCGGCGAAGTTAGCGGGTCATGGCGACGGCGGAGATTTGCGACCGTGGAATCGTTGACTGTATGAAACATCCAATCAGATGCATGGAACCCGACTTGGTAGATCTTTCCGCGATTCAGTATTCAGTACTGCAGTAAGACACGAACTAGTTAGCTAAGGCGGGATTAAATTAGTCTTGAATCCTGGTATGCAGTGCATATTGACACCTCCCACGTGACCTTTAATTTCAACATTGTCTCAACGTCTCAACGGCGGCCAACCGGAAAGTGAAAAGGCGATGCAGAATTGCAGATAAGACCGGAATTCCTGTCATTTCCTCATTTGCCTAAAGAATTTCCGTCGTGAAGGAACCCTAAACATGATTTTGTAATCCCACATGAGTCCAGTACCATATATTTGTTGCGACTACCCACAGTACTTGCAATAATGACATCCCCAGCCACACAGCTCCCTCGACTCTGAACAGTCATCCCCTTCAGCCGCCCATTCAACGCCAGAGCTTCCTCGGATGGGAGAGCCAAATCCGTCCCACCAACTGAGTTGAGGGCCCGAGTTGCGTGGCATGTGACCGGATTCCATCATTCATCCTGACGAAGATCGCCCGAATCGTGGGTGATCGACGTTTAGGGTTCCAGCATGGCAGACGGACAGAACTGTAGAAACGCCACCGTCGAGACGTCGACCATTGAATTATCGATCGTGGATTTCTTGGTTTCGTACTTTACTCTTTAGTCCCCTGGACCGCAACAGCAGCCAACAGGGAACTGGTTGGTACTTAGACCTTAGGACGGAGTACTGGACATTGGTGAACGGCTTGTTTACATCCCGCTCACCGGTAGCTCACCGGCTGCGTTAGGACCGACGCGATCGACAGTAGACATCCATGCATCTTGTGAAGTGCGTCTATGTCCAGACTTCATGAGTGACTTCTGAACCTTCAAGCTGCTGGCTTCCGAACTGACGCCCAACGCAGCTGCCATATCACTCGCTTTCAGAACAGAGAATCCTGTCCAATATGCGACATAGGGACGACGAGAGGACACCCTCGAATGAATTGACATAACAGAAACACAGGACAACGAGCATCGACGGATGTCGCCCGAATGAGTTGCAGAACCAGAATCAGAAAAGGTTCATAGCCACATACAAAGTGTCGACATGATGGAAGAACTTCACCAATATATTGATCCGTTCATTGGGATCCTCAAAAGGACTCTCGAATCAATCGACATTCCGAGCGCCATCCAGGCGTACTACATCTACACCTCCCTCGCCGTAAGCCCAACCAACTTCTTCAATCCACCCAACACTAACCGTTTCCTCTCCAGATCCTCATCGCAGCCAACATCCCCGCCCTACAAACCCGCTTCTTCGACTACGGCGCCCGCGCCTCCTCCCATAATCCCACCCACCACGCTTCTCGAAACCCCATAACTCACCTCCTCGACCTCCTCGCCACCTTCTCCGTCCCTCACGCCTATTTCACCCACTTCTATCTCCTCTCCACCCTCTCCTCCCTCCTCTGGCTCTTCCAATTCCTCCACCCCACCGCTCCCCTCCTCTTCATCCAATCCCACTCCTCCCCCTCCCTTTCCTACCCTCTCCCCCCCGTCCCGCTCCTCGGCTCCCTTCTCCTCCTCCTCCAAGGCCTCCGCCGCCTCGCAGAATGCCTCACCTGGCCCGCCTCCCGCACCTCGCGCATGTGGTTCGCCCACTGGGTGGTCGGCCTGCTATTCTACGCGACCATGGGCGTCGCCGTGTGGGTGCGGGAGCTCGACGCTCTCGCTCAGGGGTTCCCGCAGACATATCTCAACAACCTCCTACGCGGTGAGCTGGACGTCCGCGCACTGCGAGCGACCGCCGTGGCGCACCCGACCCGCGTCGTCGTCCCGCTCATCGTGTTTCTTGGAGCGAGCGTCGCGCAACATCTCGCACATCGGCATCTTGCGGGGCTGCGGCGCTCGTCCTTGTCGGTCGGGGTCACTGAGTCGTCGTACCCCGAACCGGCCTCAGTCCCCAAATCGGCCTCACACTCCTCCCCTCCCCGTCCCACCTACCGTCTCCCCACCCACCCCCTCTTCACCCACACCCTCACGCCGCACTATCTGTCCGAAGTGCTGATCTACCTCTGCCTGGCGCGCATCACCGCGCGCGACGGGGAGGTTGTCAATCCGGTTGTGATGGCCGGGGCAGGGTTCGTCGCGGTCAATTTGGGGGTGACGGCGGGGCGGACGGGGCGGTGGTATCGGGAGCGGTTTGGGGAGAGGGTGAAAGGGAGGGCGAGGATGGTGCCGGGGGTTTGGTGAGGGGATGCTGGTGATGTTGTGGAACTTTGGAGGAAGTCGAGGGATTTGGATGGGGGTTAGGTGATGAGCGATGATGGCCATGTTGTTTGGCGACTCCCGTTTTCGGCAGTTGTGATCGATTGCTTCTGGTGGGATGATGTTCCTTCCATGTCATGGGAATCGATGAATTTGGAGACTGGCACGAGAAAATAATCTTTCGAATTCGTCGGGGAAGCGTCCAGAGAGTATCACTGTACGGATATAGATAAAGGAGAAAGCTCGCAAGAGACATGGAAAAATTTGATTGGGACGAGAACCGAAGGAAGCGAGCCATAGCGACGATGATCCGATTGTATAGTGAGGCATGACGAGGACAGAGGAGGATCACGTCTTTTCCGTGCCCTTTGTCCACGATATTTACTGTTTCATGGACGATGGTAACAGGCCAGATCACGGCTATAGATGGAGCTGAATGTTCGCAAGAGAAGGAAGTTCTTGGGTTCGGAACAGAGACAATCCAGTCACGACCGAGGGGGGGCATTTGGTTAAATTACCTCTATCCACGGCGATCACTATTATCACGGGCGACGACGTTCCATATCACAGGCATCCCATGAAGTCAAGAGTCTCAAGATGAAAAAAATTGATTGCATAAAATAACGACCGGCCCTATGCGGTCGATTGCCGCGGATCGCTAAGAAAAGAGGTCATGAGATCATCAATACTTACCTTTACCTTTTGGTCTTGGAGAATCCCCCTCCGTCTTCCTGGGCTATCATTGCCCATAACCTGGAATACCTTCTAAGTAGCCCACCAGCCTCAAGTAGTCCTCAATACCGAGGGTCTCGTTCTATTTTCTTTCGGCCAGGTATGACGGGAGGCTCATTCCCCATTGCCCGGCGTGGAGGCCTGGCGCTGCTCTATCATGTTGCGATGCCTGGTCCCCAAGCTGCTGTGCAACCCTCACAGCCTCTCCCACCAAAAATCCCAATCGCTCACCGTACCATACGATTTCCCGAGTTATGCCCCGCGCCTGTTACTAGGTCAGAGACCGCGCTGTATCACGCCTTCCGTATCAGCGCCGTATTCGCGAGCGTCTGGTGGATCTGGATTAGGATGGTGTTGATCTCGGTGCGGAGTCCGAAGAGCCCCTGGTGGTTCTGGACGGCACCCCTCATGGACGGGGTGAACGTCTCGATCAGGATGTCCTAGGCGCGGCGCGTCAAAGGCGGATGTTTCTAGTCCCGAACGTGAATGGGCACCAGGCAGTGGTATCGCACCCCCAATCTCGTATATTCGCGCTCCATAGTCTCGACTACGGTGGGGACCTCCTTGAGCTACTTCTACATATGTTGCTGCATGACCTGGAATAAGTGCTCGGTGAAATTAGGAAGGTCCTTACACGCCTGGCAGATTTCCTCCTGGTGTTCCGGGATGATGTGAGGGCAGGTTAACGGTTGCTCTGCGCTCTCATTTTGGCATTGGTAAGAGCACGGGCGAGCACGCCGTTGGCCTGGGCGGTTTGGGTCCGGCTCGGTACATCCCACGTTGATAGGCTGAATATCCCACACGTTGTGTTCGCAGAGGTAGACTCTCTGAACGAATCGACACATTTGAAAGAGTGGACGGTTCGGATCGGGTATGATATCAAGTTTCGATGCTGCGGACTGGTTTTCTCGTGGGATGAGTCTTCGTAGGTGTCAGAAGTCCTACTTCTTGGTTAGCTGTGTCGTGGAAGCAATAAATACCTGGTTATTGTGTATCGTGATCTCAAACGGTGCCCTTCTCCGAAGCCTTCGCTGTGACTTGTATTGGTCTCCGTTGAAAGATGAAGGGGGAGTGGGACGAGGTGCGGATCGGCATTATTTATGTAACCGCCTTCGAAACCAAAGGATGAAAGGGCTTTGCTGGCGATATTGTCCATTGTGAGCAAAACAATTGGATTGATGAACCGGGTCCGGAAATAGATCCTTTGTCCTGAGGTTATGTTTAGATACAGGGTTGAAAGAAGTGGCGGCGGAAATAGGACAATGCAACAAAGTATCAGTAGCAATATTAATTGCTAAATGGGGTAGTTATCTCTTATCGAATCACTATCAACTGCCTTCATCTTACAAGTTTGCGCATAAATCTTCTCACAACTGACCGACGTCCGCTCTTTGCACCTTTCCCATCTACCACCTCAGCCACTTCCTCTGTCCCGCTCATGTCCGCGAGCTCTTCTATCAAAAAGTTAGTTGATGTTATTCTAGACTGATGATTAGAGAGTACCTTTCGAAAGATCAAGGGAGAACAGTCGATCCTCAAACTGCTGACATTGATCACAGGATGGCCCAAGAAGAACCTGGAAGCCAGTAAGAGCACGTGTGTACATGGTTTTAGCCTTATGTACCTCCCCTTTGGTTGCAAAGATATCGCCGAGATTTGATATAGTGTTGAGGGCCGGTCGGTATCTCGGAAGGGTCTCAGAGTCCAGTGCCTCCTCGTATCCTTGCAGCGCTCGTATATACATCTCTTCTGCCTCCTTCAGTTTCCCTTGGTTGGCGTAGAGTGTGCCCAGGCAGTTGACCGTGCCGAGCGTCGATGTGTGCTTCGGTCCAAGTATCTCCTCGTATCCTTGCAGCGCTCGCATGTACATCTCTTATGCCTCCTTCAGTTTCCCTTGGTCAGAGTAGAGGAGACCCAGGTTGTGAACCGTGTCGAGCGTCGAAGTGTGATTCGGTCCAAGTGCCTCCTCCTTTCCTTGCAGCGCTCGCATGTACATCTCTTCTGCCTCCTTCAGTTTCCCTTGGTCAGAGTAGAGGAGACCCAGGTTGTTGACCGTGTCGAGCGTTGTCGGATGCTTCGGTCCAAGTGCCTCCTCCTTTCCTTGCAGCGCTCGCATGTACATCTCTTCTGCCTCCTTTAGTTTCCCTTGGTCTTTGTAGAGGTCGCCCAGGTTGTGTAATGCCCACTCCATCCCGCCATTTGCGCCTTTCAGTATCGATGAACAACCAGCCGCATGCGCCAGAAGCCGTCGCTGCGTAATCCACCACCGATCACTTAAAGTTCCAGGAACATGTAACCCAATACATTTCAGCGCGAGTCTCACCATCTCCTTACTCCCGTCTGAATTTAGAACATGCCGAGTGCACGAGTGTACACAGCTGTGCATACTGTACCCTTGAGATTCTACCATCTCCTGCGAAGTCGAGTTTGCTTCTACAAGCCTGTAGCTACATAATACCCTAACTGCATCGTCGAAATTTACTCGGTCTTCGGTAAGTTCGCGAACCCACTCCAGATCATCTAAATCGCCATGGCAAAGAAGTTCGAACCAGAGGTCCTGATTGTCGAAGTACGCCCACAGTTGTAGGAGCTGGGCCGAAAGTCGGTTCTGTTCTTGAACATGAAGGAGATGTCCCATGTAGAGTAGAGTGTTCGATCTTCGTATGAGCTGAGCTCCGGACTTCTCTTTTGCAGTTTTAACCATGATTCCTGATATAGACGAAGATACTCCGCCAAACTAGTTGTCACTTGTTCAAGATATGCCCCAGCTGTTGCAAGTGCAAGAGGGAGTCCGTCTAACTCGTTTACAAGCTTGACTGCGTCGGGATCTGTCGGTCCAGTTAGAATAATTCCTATAATTTAAGATATTTCCTACCTCTCATCAGGCCTTCGCGTCTTGATGTATCCGATAGTATTTCAAGACAATCCTGCATGTTCTCCAGCTTTCGGACTGGGATACGATGGCCAATAGTGACCCGAGACGACCGCGTAGTAATAATAACCGATCCTTGATGTGATTCAGGCAGGTACTTCCGGATTTCCAATGTCGCGACATCCGTGTTGCCTGCTACTTTTGGATTGTCGTAGTTGTCATAGACGACCAGCCATCTTGTGTTCTTGGGGAGACTCAACCAACCTTTGACAGCCTCTACCACCTCCCCCAAGCTCCCTTTCAAATCTACACTACTAAGACGTTGAGCAGACGGATGTTCTTGTAGTATCCTCCTAGCTGCATTGCCAAAGCTCTGCCTAAGAGAATCCTCATCTTTGGCGTTAAGCCAGAGCATTGCCGAGTAGCTATCTCGATAATGCTTCGTATATGCAACCGTCAGTTGTGTCTTACCGATTCCTCCCAAACCGTAAAGGACAGCGATGCGACGGCTACCATCGCTACTAAGTGTTTGGTGTATTTTTTTAAGCTGTCTCTCGCGCAACAAAGTGCTCCGTCTCCGAGGCATCAGCGAGACTAAAGCCGGCGGAAAAGTCTTCGAAATGGTCGCCTAGTCCCGTCAACGCTATCCTAGTCCCTATATTCACTGAAGTAATTAGAAAAGAGCTAGGAGGATGCCCTACCCGTCGATGCTTTTTCAATCTCGAAATGGAGCCGCCGGAATGCATTGTCTCCCCCTTTGTCAGGCTCAGTCCCCCGCTGCCACTGCGCTTCAATAGACGCATTCCTTTTGCTTGAGCCGGGAAATGTTCCACTGAATGAGTTTCTTGATGGAATCAAACATCGTTTCTTGTCAAGAAGCAAATGAAACATGATTGGGACGTGGTCGTAGACTGGGAAATGCGGATAAGGCTGGGGAGGGCGGTGCATGGTTGACGCTAGCCTTGTGACAAACTCGCTCTAATACTGAATCACTGAACGCGTGAAGGTTATTCTGGTTCACGTGATGAAATGTGTAAGGCTCCGATTTGGAAAACATTTAATAGAGAGCGGCTGGAACAATACTGCGGAGTACACCGTACCGATCACTAAGAATCGATGCATACGGACTACGGAGTATGGTTTACGCCAAGATCTGCAAGGAGGCTGCGCTCTGAAAGTTCTCGGAGCTGCTAAAACCGGAAGCAAATTTCGATAGTTTCTGTGTGACTGTATCAGTGTATCTTGTTCACGCGAATTGATAAATGACAATATTGCCAGACATTTTGATGGTTTTTGCTATGATTTTGGTGAGGGTGACTTCTATCGGACCAGCAGTTGGGTAGAATTCAGGGGGTGGCTAGATGTACAGTCGTGCACCAGCACCAGCACGATGTAACCATGCCAGCGAGGTATTCGTTGCATGATTGCTACAGCATATGGAAACAGATGAAACAGATGAAACAGATGAAACAGATGAAACAGATGGGCTTCGAGCAATAATGGTTTCGGGATCTTATATTGGCGGATGTGGCAGAGGAGCAAAGCAGCGATAACTGATAACAATACAGTGGTAGTGAAGGCTAGAGATAGCGAGGAAGGTCTCATAACTTACCTGTAGAAATGGTGGAAGGCCATGCCAACGAACGATGCCCCCAAAATCAGTTGCAATCCATATACCCCAATACCCCAATCCAATCAACAGGAAAGTTTGGCTAAGTGACGTAGCGGTTATCACCGCGCGTTTCACTGTCTCTCCGGTCACTCTTGGAAAACCGGAAGTACTGTTGGAAAACTTCGTAAACAGGAGAACAATGAGTCTGGTTGGCCAAACCGCCGGTCTGGGTACGGCATGCGGGTCAAAGTGCCTTCGTAGCTGGTCTATGGTCTCTTTGGTGACCCAGCTTGGGATTGGGAGATTCCCCTATACTTGTATGAGGCTTGTCGATGATTGTTACATACATGAGGGTTTCTCAGGGCACAGCGTGCCCTATATTCTTTGTCTTTTTGATAAATGTTGTATCTTCTTCTAAGACTTTTTTCAATTGGTACCTCCATAAGAACATGAGAGTTCAACTCCGGCTAGGGGCATTATTTTTTTCCTATTATTTCACAGTAACTAGTAGGAAGTAAACTAAAACAGTAAACAGGGTAATAAAGACGCCTCACAATTCATTAACATATATCAATAACATTAGGTCTATAGATTCTTTGGTTCATTCACATCTATTTTGGATATACGCCCTATTATCTAAAAGCCGTGAGTAGATCATTAACTATCAGATCTAGACTTCTATCTAGTCAAACTCTAAGAGCCAGTTATTCTTCTTCCCGTCGCGGTTGGATAGTCACCTTCCGATTCTCCGTATTCTCGCTACTTAATGGCACAGGAAGCGCATCCATCGATTCGTCCCTGCCATGGAACGGCGATTGAAACGGCGAGTTTAATGGCCCATTTCCGGCATGCTCAATGGACTCGGATACCTTGGTCGGATCATTGCTGCTCGATGACTCTCCAATCGAGTCCTCGTCTGTGCTCGTGCTCAATGGAGACTTCAAGACTCCAGCATAGCTTTTCGGGCCCGAGAGCGCTCGGAACGTGGCCGCTGTGGACGGGTTCGTGAATCGATCAAGAGCCGCGAAGACGTGAGGAAACACGACGTCCTGAACATCCGAGCCCCATAGGAAGTCCAAATGTTCGTAATGCGGGACCCGGGTGGCGGTGGTGTGTTTCGGCAATTCCTTCATCATGACCGAAATGTCGACCAAGCTGTCGGTTCCTCCGTATAGCAACACGATTGGAGTCTTGATGTTCCTGGTGGGGAATTTGGCGACCTTGTAGTACTGCGTGGAGTTGCTCAGGGTGAACGGCGACTGGATTTCATCGTCGTACATTTGGAACTTGCCGTTCCGAATGATCTGGAACCAATGCACCACCGACTTGGTGCTGGTGAAGGAATAGAGGTGTGGGTACGCCGCTAGCTTCTGGTGCGTGCTGATGTTCTTCCCGGTCCAGCCGAAGAGGAACTTGAGGGAAATGTCGATGGCGCGGACGAAGATCGGAGGATATAGTAGCGCCTGCCACATGGTGGTCGAGCCCAAAATGGCGCGGCGTCCGAATAAGAGGAACAAGACGTCGGGCGACGCTTTCACGAAGGAATCAACAATTCCCGCGGTAAGCCCCGGGGGAGACATCGCGGGTGCGAGGGCAATGAACACGGATACTTTACCGTTGAGGTCCGGGTGAATCGACAAGGTCGCAAACGCTTGCGCCGTCCCCTGCGAGAATCCGATATATGCGAGCTTTTCATGCCCCGTCGTCTGGAGAATGTAGTTGATGCTGTCGGGGATGTCGAAGAACGCGAATTGATCGATAGAGAACGACCAGAACCGGGGATCGGTTGGGGGGAGGCGGATGTTCTTCTTCGAATACTTGTTTCCGCGGTTGTTCCCTAGCTATAGGCCATTGAGCGCACGTCATGCCGTAGATGAATTCGAGAACTTACCCAAACGTCATATCCCTGCTCCACCAAAAGGAACGGGAGACATCGCTCGCGGTCTGTAAGGCAGATCCACACCTCGCTATTCATAAGGAGGCCGTGATGCAGGTACACGACCTTCTTCCGCACGCTCCCGGGACCGCTATTGACAGCGACATCTTCTTCCCCCCGTTTCCAACCAAGCCTGTGAAGGCCGAGCAGATATCCATCTCCGGTCTGAACGACATGCTCTTCCGCGTAATAGCCAAAATACTCGCAGAGCTCCACGAAGTCCGCGGCCTGGGCGATGGAGTTGACCACAGCCTTCTTTCGATTTCTCGAGCGCAGGCTCTGCTGCGATGATAAGGAATTGAACAATCTCCTCGAGAGCTGGTATCCGAGGGAGATGATCGGTTTCGGGAGGGCGAGAGTGATGATCCGGATGAACCCTTCGAGGGCGACGAGAAGGATAGATATGAGGAGGGATAGATACTCTATGGGGTAGAGACGGCCTATGAACGGTACACGCGCCATTCTATCGGCCGGAAGTCTAGTTGGTCAGCCAATACTCTGAACATTGGGAGATAACAGTAGGATCATGGTTGGCTTACAGATCGTTTGGGACCGCTCAGAGGGTAACCAAGGAATCATGGGTTGATTATGAGTAGGAGCCGTCCAATACAACGCTCTACAAGAAATCGCAAATTAATGGCATCGACATGGAGATTGTATCCTACAGATTCGTAGACAGCGAAGAACAATGAATTATTTATATTGTTCATGAGTAGAACAATAGCATCCCCTGACCAACTCTCAGCAGACCAACGTCATTGGATCGACAAAGGTGGCATGTGAAAGGATGTTACATTACCTGCCTTAGGCAATAAGGCCAATATCCAAACCTTTCGACATGGACATGAACGGGATCTGCCTCCAGCGCAATTTGAGATGGAATCCTACCATTTCACGCCACTCCAATCCTTTCTATCATCACCATCCGACGTCAGTCTACCTGGGAAAAGAAAAAGAGACAGATTTGCTTGGCTCTAGAAGAGTTAGAAAGAGCAAAGTCTGCAATGGCCCAGTAGCGATTGATACATCATGCCGCAATCCTGCACCGACATCCGTCCGTCCCGTGTCCCTCGGACGCAACTCCGCTAACATCACGATAGGCGCTGCCCTCGCCGCCTGCCTGTCCTCCTCCCCCTGCGTCCTCGAAGGCAACAAGCCCGGCGACTGCCTCCGCCCGCCGCTGTGCGACGACCTCCCGACGCAATGCCAGCAGTTGAAGAAGGGCTACGCGCAGTGCAAGCGAGGCATGATCGACATGCGGAAACGGTTCCGAGGAAACAAGCCCGTCGGCTCGGTCGGTGAGGCCAGCGAGGTCGAGGAGGGGAAGATGCTCTACGCGGGCCGGGGGATCGGTGGCGCGACATACGCGTCGGAAGGGAAGACGGGGAGCGGGGAGTCAAGTCAGTCGGGATATGATAAGAGTGGTCGATGACAGGGTGGAGTGAGATGAATACAATGGCGGACATCCGCAGCTATGGAGTCTTTGGAGTATGAGGTCAATTCAAAGCGTGTTTTGGAAACCATCAGGCAATGGATCGCGCCGTAATGACTGCTGGACTTGGATTCCTCCAATATCTCCTCTCCTTCCCTTCCCTTCCACGGTCAAATGTCGAATCCCGCAAATCGGGCATACCCCATGTTTCTTTTCCGCTGAACCTTGTCAATATGAATTGTGCGCCGACGCCACAGCTCCGCGATCTTCTTCTTCTGACTGTCAGACCGTTTGATCCGCTCCGCACGCGTTGTCTCGACCGCCATATCGCTCGCCGTGTCCCATCGCGCTGGGTCTCCCTGCAGCTCGTCCAGTCCATCGTTGCCTGACCTGCACACGAGACTCGATCCTTCGAGCGCGACATGCCCCGCCGATGGAACGAGCCCGTCGAGCCCCCCGTACATGCGGCCTCGCTCAGTTAGGGAGTGTAGTGACATGGCCCGATCCGCTGTGCGAATGATTGTTCGCTCTGACGTGTCACTAGGGGCCCCCGTCGTGCGACAGGTTCCTGGATCCTCGCTCTCGCCTTCATCGCTCGCTGACAATCGCCCCGAGCTGCCATTCTGACCGCCCTCCGACCAAGGAAGCGCCCCGTGCATCATCCAGGAATCCTCGGAGTGGTTCGAGAGGATGACCAGCGCCCGAGCCAGGGACGATTGGGCGGTATACCATGTCTCCGCGAGCGACGTGGATGTGGTCCGCTGGCCTTCCAGAACCCCATGCCCACCGCTCCCAGGAACCGCACCGGTCAGATTCCCATCCGCCCGGATTGCCGCTCGAGCCAGCATGGGGGCCATCGACCTGAGTGGCGACATCACCGTGCAGCTCGAGGCCCGCGCCATAGGACTCCGTTGCGCCGCCCCGTCCAAATAAAGCTCAGGACTTTCAGGTCGGCTAGGTGGACATGCGCCCCTGCCACTGGGGTGGTGGGTTGGCTGCGGGAAAAGCACATCACTTGCGGTTCGGCTGGATGCCGTACATTGCGTTGAGCGGCTGCGTGGACGTGCCCGCGATCGGCGCACTCGGCCTTTCTTGCCGACTTTGCCCTTTGCGGATTCCTTCGACCGTGGTGTCCTGGTTCGACGGTTTCCTGGTGAGTGGTCGTGGATGGGTGGGACTCTTTGCGGAAAGCCCATGGTCAAGGAGGTGCATCGGTGAGCTTCTGGAACCATCCCAACAGCCCCAAACTGTGAATAAGCATACTGGTCGGAGGCCGCGCGTTTCTTGTGCTCGGCTCTCAGCTTTCTCGCCGCCCGGAAACCTGGAATTCTGGATGGTTGACGCTCCCTGGATGCATGATCCGCGATCCCCGAAGGCGGGTCATAATCTAGAAGACCTCCTTTTGCTTGGTCCGCTGTGTTCTGTGCCACTCCAGACGAGACGCTGCGAGTCCAGCTGCGAAAGTCCTCGTCGTACGTTCCGTCCAGTCGGTAGCGATGTCCTGCAGGATTTCTCCTTTTGACGATGACCAAGGTCCTATCCTCGACAGTCTCGCCATCTATCGACACAGCGATTCGAACCGATTCTGCATGAGTGTCGGGAAGTGGATCCCATCCTCGCATCTCTGCAGCGAGCCACGACGGGCGTATCGTCCGGTCAAAGCCCAGCGCGGGTAAGATCTGGTCTAAAGAAAAGATGTCCGGGTCCGCCATGACACTTTCGAACCTCCTATCATCGTTGAGTGGGTCGGGTCGTCTGAGGACTGTGTACCGTATCCGTCTGCAGATGGCATCCAGTGCATCTTTCCACGGCAGACGCTCTCTCCCGCTTTTAGACTCTGCTAAAACCCAGCCATGCCAAGTCTGCACCCAATGCTGTTCTCGATATGGTTTGCTTGCATCCACGGGCCGGGCGATCCGCCACTTGCCCCAATTGCGGAGCTTCAGGGCGCCAACCAGTACTAAGATCAAAACGAAAACCGTCGCAAGAATGGCCACTGCTTCCAACCCCCAATCTTTGATGTCCTGTACCGTACCTTTGCCAATATTGTGTGGAATCACGGGGAACGGAGTGTCTCCGTCTATTGGTGCCATGGTGGGTATGCCTCCCGTTGTGAGACATTTAGGTCCGTGTGATGGTCCGATTCGGGAGCCAGCGCCTCAGTCTTGGATGATCGGCGTAACCAAGTCCATGCTAAAGCCGCCAATACTATAATTCGAAGAATAATGAACAACAATGCATGTCACACCTAACCCGACAGAACGGTCCAAGTGTTGCTCACAGCGCAACGATATCCCAACCTGATCGCTCGAGGTGGTGCAGCATCTTGCTTGCGAGGGCACCTTCCCCGCATTCGATGCTGTCTTGGTCATTAAGAGACGTATTATACGTCGAACACAGCTCAGCCGAAATGCAAATAATGGGAAACTGCATCGGATTTCATGGATGAATATGTAAGTGGTTACCGGCAGCCAACGCAGCCATCGAGGCCGATGTACGTTGCCGTGTCTCCATGCAGATTGTCCCGTCTTCTTCGCCCAGGGATAACCTGGAGACCGGATCCGCCTGCATGACATCGACCCAGACCATCGACCCAACAGTCGGTACACAGCAAGTGAGATGACCGGATTTGCTGTACGGACGTACAGTATGCAATGATCGACGATTGGAGATCCGATCTCTGAGCAAAGACGAAGATTATTGGAATCACTGGGACGAGCCGTCGCCGGCAGCGAATAACCGCCTTCTCCAGCTCTGGAGTCCCTGGTATTTGGAATGATTGTCGTCTAGGTTGGATTCCAACCGAGTGGGATCTTTCGTGAACTAAAGAAGTGAGCTGTCACATTTTGGACGTCAAGCGGACAGCCGATGCATGACACCCAATCGGGTATGCTCCATTTCGTTGGATATCAGCCTCGTCTCCAAATTCCGGTTATGTGGATGGCCCATGGGACGCCACCTCCCACAACCTCAACATGGTGTGTATTGTACCCCATTATCCCGGATCATCCTAGTACTGGCTGAGAACAGATGAACACCTCAATCGAACCCGAAGATGCTTCTCTACGATCTTCCCTGCATCTCCCTTGTGCACCTGTGCGTCTCCGGAAGAAGAAATCGGAGATGCTGGGTCGGTGGAACTATCGCTGGCGGGTATCGACAGTTTCTCCGCCGTGAGATACATGATGGTATTCTCGAAAAGTGTCCGATTCGTTCAGGAGATGTGTCGTTGCATTTACCGTTTACATAAGATCGTCGTAGGCCACCTTTTGGCTCAATGGACCCTGGCGTGGCTGATCTGTTCCCGCAACCAATCCCTCATCTGATCCACAACGATCATCGTGGCGTTGGGCTGCCTGTCACACTGGCACAGAACCATAGCCTCTTCCGCTGTACATCCAATCTCTTCTGTGTACAGCCCTGGATATATCTACTCCACTTCGACCGACGGCGCCGCGTCGATCCGATCTGGAGATAATACATGCAAGCCCTGATAATACCGGCGTATCCACGGTTCTGGATGGAGGTTCGCTTGCGCCCAACCCGTCTAGGACATCATGGCCCCTCGAGGGTTCCTCCAGACAGGAAGCCGGTGACAATAGGTGGCTGCTATTCCCTTTGATATATTTGATATACCTCGCCTTGGCGCTTCCAGAGACCCTGTATCATTGGGGGTAGAAACGCCAGTTTGGTAAGCTGCTGCAGTCTTCATCAGTTTGGGAAGGATGCTACGCACTTGATGGTCAGACAAAGTGGATTGCTGGATGAGTCGTGATCCTGGTGGCGAGACTCTTCTTGCCATGTTCGATTTCCTCTATCGCTTGCCCGCCGGTATCGTGCCTCAGTATGAAAGGTTCAAAAGGAGGGAGGTCGTCGACCTTTCCTTCAAGCCATCCATTCGCTCAAAGTCCAAAAGTAAAGTTCTTCTTCTTGTTTACTACTACCCAAGTCTCCATAAGCCCAGGTATCCTTAGTACCCTTGATGTTCACCACGATATTGATACATATATAATCCAATTCCCCAGCATCTTGAGACAACCATCTATCAAGAACCACTCCCTTCGCGATCCAGCATCCGACCCATATTCTCGCAGGAAAACCACCCTCCTACTCGTGTTGCTTCAGAAAGCGCGTTTTTACTGAACCGCATCTCCACGACTGGTAAGTGAGCAAGATCAGAGTTCAGGATCCTGGTCCGACGGCTCGAGTCCAGTTCAGCCTCTGACATCGCATCAGTACCAACAACCCACCCGCAACATCTCACCCCATCTTGGCAACATGGCCTACGTCTCCCACCGCAGCTTCGTCCACGAGCGCCTCTACGGTATCGACAAAGGCTGCGCATCCGAATGGCGTTCCTCCGCCCCCCGACCTATGAAGCGGGAACCCAGCTTCCGCAGCACCGATAAACGCGCCGCACACAACGGCAGCCTCCAGAACATCATCGAGCCCGTCCCCGTTCCCGCCACCGCGCCCGCCACCGCTCCCCCAATCTTCCGCAACGGCCATCACCCGCTCCCGCCCTCCGCCGGTCTCGCTGCCGGCCCACTGGACCTCCACATCGTCGAGCAGCCCAAAGGGATCCTCCGCGCGGGCCCGCTGTCCGGCGACAAGTTCTCCTTCCGCGTCTCCATTCGTCTACTCCCGACTTCCCCGGCGAACTACATCGACCTCTCCACGCTGTTCGCGGTGATCACGCTGGTGGGAATGAGCAACACTGGCGTCGAGCGGCCAGTGCCCGCGGGCGCGCTGACGGGTCCGCGGCCGGGGACGCCGCTGGCGACGTCAGTGTCTTTGGAGAATCCGGCGGGGTTGGGGAGGGAGGTCATGGGTGGGTCGGTAATGGAGGGACATGTCCAGTTTGAGGATCTAGTGATCTCGGCGGAGGGGATTTTTCGGATTCGTGTGACATTATTGCAGATGGTTGGGGGCGGCGTTCGGGGCGGAAGGGTTTTGCAGACCGTGGAGAGCGACATGATCATGGTGGAGGAATTGTAAGCTATGGCTGTATTTTATAAGGTTAATGAATGTTCTTTGTTTAGTTGTTCATAATAGATTTAGCAGGATACTTGGTTACTTTGGGTACACACATTTCTGGACCACAACATTGGCGATTTGAAAGTTCTTTGAGGATGCTCAACCATTTATGCGCTCTTGTTATTTTGTGATGTGGAGACACAGTTTATATAGTAAGAGAGTATATCCCATTATTATTCCATCTTTGTTGCTAGCAGTGGGAGGGGTTGAAGAAAACAATGTTCTACGAATAAAGTTTTATGTAACCCTCAGGGCATCTATCAGAATAATGGTTATAACTCGGGTTACTTTTTTGGGGACGGTCAGGAGGCACACTTCAGCCACTAGAATGAGAAAATCTGTGAATGATTGACATGCATTTTTATGCACTAATACTAGTTACCTCAACTATCCCATTAAGCATCTGCTGGATCCCGAATTTTTTTTGTGAAGCATTTTCTCTCCCACATAAGGCACTGTATCTCTACTAATCTACTATGAAGCAATTTAACTGCTCCATGAAGCATTATATCTCCACTGTAAAGCAATGTAACTCCTTCATGAACCATGGATCTTCCCGTGGATCTGTAGATCGCTCGCTGATAGCTTCCCTCAATATCTCAGGCCTTGATGGAAGCAAAGTGGCCTCCAACCTACCCATCATTCTCAACACTCTCAACACCCCCATCGTCATGATCATGAGCATGATCATGGACAGAAGCTAACCCAACCGAGGCCGGGTCAATGTAACGGCACGTCAACGCGAACCTCAGATTCCCGGTCGGCTTCACCTGGTGCTCGAAGTACTTCTGGATCTCCTCCCCGGCCATGATCACGATGTCGCCGTGTGCCAGATGCATGCTCACCGCATCTGGGGCAACTCCGGTCTTCTTCAATTTCAACTCCTTGGGGAGCTCCGCCATGCGTGCCCGACGCTGTGCCGGGTCGGGGATGGTGTTCAGCTGTTCATGTGCCTCTTTACGAATAGCATGGTCACGGCAGCCTGGCAGCGGAGCGGCGTCGACATAACACCCGTTCTTTGAAGAACCATTGTAGTACTTGGCTTTCATTCTAAGGGTCATTATGGCGGGTTGCCCGATGCTGAGGGTAGCAATGACGGGCCCAAGGCCGGTTTCGCCGTCGTCATGATACTGGAGACAGGGTCAGCGACGTTGGAGATGTACTATAGCAGACAGGAAACTTACCTTGATCATCTGCTTCTCAAAATACCCAAGTGCAAGGACTTCGTTGAACTCAACGTGCATGCCAGGAGCAAATTCGGATGTGACTCTCTTTGAAATCCTGTCCATCAAAGAACGAGCAGTACTAATAACAGGGTCTGCATCCTCAATAGGCTTGCTGTCGACCATGGCCACATAATTGTACTGGACCCCAAAATTTGCAGCAAAGTGATTCGTGAGGAATCCGCCACGGATGATTGCGCTCTTCATCAGGCGACGACGCAAGCCGATGTCGACGTTCTGAAGACGATCCCACATGTAGTCTGCCCCACCGGGAACCGCATTCATGGACTTATTCGCGAGAATATGAACGATGCATCCTTTGGCACCAGGGATGGTGAAGACATTGGTGCGGCATCCTTCAATGTTCTGCACTCGGTGCTGCATTCCATCGAAACTATGATTGAGGAGATCCCTGTTGAAAGCAAATCCATCGGAGATAGGATGCTGGAGGTCCTGGAGGGCAGCAAGGGGAAGGGGAGTTGCTGGAATTGTGTACTTCGCACCACAGTTTGGATTACTGCAAACCCAGGCCAACCAATGTTCGCGAGAATTGCAGGAGCCACAGTGCGGGCATACAATTCCACGCCAGGCTTCCCATGACACACCTTGTCCCTGGATGCGGCCCAGTTCAACAGGCATAGGTGACGGGGCAAGCGAATGAGGCTCCCCATCTGTCTCCCAATGGGTCTTCTGCTTCAAGAACCGCGGGTCAAAGTTGAGATTGTCGTTTGGTTCCTGCCCGTTCAAGAGCCAGAAGTTTTGGCAGATCTCATTGCCATCATTCAAGCACATCCACCCCTGAAGGTAGATCTGTGGAGACGACCTCTGGCACTCCGAACAGGTTCGCACAATTGGGGTTGGCAAGCTACCCAGCGGAGCAGGATTGGTAACACCTTGAGGTGCCCACCAACTAACATCCTCCACGACGATGCGCTCGAAGCGGAACCTGAACACCCGCTTTCCCCCAATCTTTTCAGACCACACGTGAGTTGGCTTAAACCAGCCAAGCACATTGTAGGGGTGCGGCATCTTGGACGGGGAGTTCACATTACGTTCTCCACAAATGATAACCACTGCATTCTCGAACTGGGTGTTATTCCGCAGCGCTTGGATGACGCCAGTGACAGGCTGGTCATGCTCTCTAGTCATGGCGTCGTCGAACTTTTCTTTGGTAAGTCCTCCACCAGCAGTCGCAATAATGACGTCCGCATCCATGAATTCTCGCGCTCGAGGGCCAGATGCTAGGTCAAAGGTACAAGAATGTGAAATACCGTTCAACGTGTAAGCACAGGACTGGTAATTCCTCGCGTACAAAAGTGTTTCACACATGGCTTGGCGGCGCTGAGCCCAAACCGGTGGCTCTCCAACGGGATCTGGCTTCGCTTTTGCGTTGGTGATTTGCTGAAGTCGCTCCGAAATGAGTGCATAGTCCTGCAGAGACCCATTTCGGCTGAGAACTTCATCCGTATCCATTGACACAGTATTTTCCGCCGTGGTAACCCCTCCACCTGCAACTGGGATTGAGTTCGGAGTTGCGGTGGGAATAAGCGGGTTCGTCACAATGGCTCCATAGGCGAAATCGGTTGGAGCCTGAGGAGGGGCGGCCAAAGTCCGTGACTCGACACCACCCAGAAGCTTTGTGGTACTTTGAGCGGGAGAGACAGAGCTCTGGAAGCTGACCGTTGTCGCCTGAGTCGGGCTGTCAGACATATGCTGAGAATCCGATTGCTGAGACGGCACGTAGCTCGATTCTTGAGAGAGTGCTGGCGGAGAAGAGCTGATTGCGGCTGCATAGAAAGTTCCAACATCGGGGCCTTGAGTAGCTGCCACTGGATCCTCTAGAACATCGAGCCCAGAATCCTTGCGCTTCTTTGTCGCAGGATCGCCGGCATCTTCGTCCGCAATACGCTTGCGCCCAGCTTGATCAGCGGGGGCGGGGATGGCAGCATCATGGATAGGAGAGTTGGAATGATTGCGGAGGCTACGGCGACCAGGATGAGCGGCGATGATGCCGTTCACCCCAGCTGTGGCAACGCCGAGACCTCGAAGCTCCCTCAAAGACATTATGGGCAATTAACGCTGAATGACTTGGTGAAAGTCTTGGTGAAAGACTTGGTGTAAGTAGGGGCAGTAAATCTGCGGAGATTTTTGAAACGAGAATTCCAGAAAAGCAATGACTGATGAGTTGAATCTCTAGTAGCAGCGGATCTGGTTGGCAGTCCCACTGGGGTCAGAAGGGGGTGGATCGAGACGTCACTATGCCATTCCCGGTCAGTATACAGCCATTAATGCATGAGAACAGGTCAATACATACATAAAGCAACACTGTTCGACAGTATTGCTAGTAATCGCTGAGTCGGCGGTCACCTTGGAAAAGGTGATTGCTAAGTCGGCATCCACGGAAAGGCGATCGCTTAGTCGGCGGTCACTTGTTGGTAGGTGAAATCAAAGTGACGCTGGGTCGCTCGACTCAATGAACTGAAGCCGATGAGTCAGCATTCACTTAGCGAAGGTCAAATTGATAGGTGATTGTAGTCGTCCACTGAGTGAGAAAGTATGTATGAAATGCCCAATCTCATTAGGCTGCTCGAATAGAGGAATAAGGGCAAGGGAATGTAGACTCACATCGAGCTTCCAGTCGGTGGTATGCCGGATGAGTCTCAGTGGACCAGCGCACACTGGTTAACTACAAGGAGTAGCGAAGACTCAACGATGACGGCGAGGGTTGATGGTGATAGTAGGAGTGATCTCTGATAGACCAAGAGCTCCTGCTAGGTTGATGATGGGGAGGGAGAGCAAAGGGTTTAGTGAGTACAGAGGATAGATGATAACTTGTAATTCTCAGAAAACGAATCTCAGAATGAGAGTGGGCAATGGACAGTGAGGGTGAGGGATTGTGCGCGACAGTATGGAGTTCTCAGAAGAGCTAAGTGCTCTTGCCAGCTTGATGCTGGGGATAGAGGAATGATCTTTACCGTCCAGAGAATTCTGGAGGGATGCAATTGTCCGAAAAAGGATTTCGGAAAGAAGGTAGGTTGGTGAGAGAGTTAGAAGGAGGGCGGATAAGTGAGAAGAAGATCAAGTAGAAGAAGGCGTTGGGAAGGCCAGATGGCAGTAAAACCGTGGAGTTGAGGAAAGCACGACTAGCTGGACTTGCCGAACATAGGGGATTATCACAGAAGCAAGGCCACGTGAGTATCGATTCAATAGAGAAGGCGTAGCGCACGTGGTTGGGGTCTCAATTAGGAGTGGACTTCGGGCTTTTGTGCGGAGGGCCTAACAGCCCGTGCAATCGAAGAGCAATGGGTGCCGATGCTCACCGCCCTGTTTTGCACTGAAGCTTGTCTTGGAGAGAGGCTGAAGGTATTACGTCATGCCCATAGGGCTGGAGAGGTCGAGGATATTGCCTTGATCCATCCAACTTGCGTATTAAGTGCTGCTAGGGACACTTGGAGTCAGCAAGGCCCGAATATCGGATAGGAATCGAGGCATTCAACCAGGCTCAGGATCCCCGGTAGCTTGAGCCAGATTTCCGCCGAAGAGCCTGCTTGGTTCCGATACGAGTCCATCCCGCTCCCTCGAAGCCAACAGGCAAGGATACCGTATCCAAGAAAGGACAGGAAAGGGGGACAACATTGGAATGGTGCCAATCGCACTGGGGGGCTTCTGTAAGTTCCATGTTGCCAAATCATCGGGCCCCTCCCGCCAGATCCCTTCTATTTTATATATGCTGACCAGTGGTGCAGGGGACAATTTCCGTTTACCTCAGTCAGCCACGGCATCGTCACTGGCATTATCGACCCGAACCACGAGAAGCGAGGTGGATACACCCCTCAGCCTCTCCTCGCACCAGAAATCACGATAGCCCCAGTCTCAACCAGTCCCATTGAGCAATGCAATCAAAGACTCAGATAGCAGGCTAAACTTTAATTGGTACGAGCAATGGAAATACAAATCAGAATACTATGCCGTTAGACTTCGGCAAAATGAGTGAGCAAGCGTGACATCGGAATGAAAAAAAGGAGAGGAGACAATGCAAGACCCGACCAGGTTACAATACATAATCCGCGGATGGGAATGAATGGATTGACGTATATAGGTATACTGGTAAAAGAGATGGGATAGATTGGCAAAGCAACTACATTTTGCCGCTGTAATACGTTGTCATTGTCGTTGTCGGTGACTCCGCGTCGTCCCGGACTCGGTGTATCGTCCCGGACTCGGCGTGTTGTTATCGCTGACTCGGCGTATCGTCCCGGACTCGGTATGTCGTCGTCCAACTACGTAGGCTCGGCGTGTCGTCCCCTATTGGAAAGCAGCCGATTAATAGAAGGTCACGAAAGAACGGGATATTGCCTCTCTGGCGTCCATGAGGTTCCCTTTGCGCGTGAGAAACCTTCTATACCGCCCATGGCGGAAAGAATCAATCACCACAGCCTGCTATGTTGCCGGAGCAGGAGGGTGAGCAACATATTCAATCATGGAGGGGCTGGAGGTCGACGATGGATTAACACGTTCGTGATTGAGGCTGTGAAAGTACAAAGCTGCGGAGCTCCATCAGTCAAACCCCTTAACCTTGTGGATTGCGCAATGGACACGGAGCCGTATGGACTAGGGGCCCAGCTGAGAAGGTCAGAGGAACGGGGAAAACTCGGGGGTGGCGCTCATTTGCGGGGCCCCTGGGGCAAAGCGAACGCTTTATCTTCCTCGAACAAACTCCGGCACCATCAAGTTCAGTTACTCACGTCTACGATGACGGCAAATGGCGAAGATCTATTTTGACAACTGACGTTGGAGTTAGAGAATGGACCGGGTCAGATCCTGCTGATACATCTACATTCTGCGGTTTGCCGTAAGCCATTTGCCGGCTGGTCGTCAATCGGCAGCCGAAACACGATTCCGCTTCGGATTAGCTTGGGATGGTGTTTGGCGGGGAACCGGGGATAGCGTCGGAGATTGACCAATCCCCATACTTCGCTACGGTCGGCAATCGGCAGTAAGGAGTAAGACTTGTAATTAGTGATTTGGCAATTGATGCACACGGTTTGACACACAGTCGGCTCTTCCCAGTTATCCTGGAGCTCGCCCGATAACAGCTCGGAGGCTCCTACGAAGTCGACTGCCGATCCTTAGAACCGTGAGGGAGAATCTGACCAGAAGACCAGAGTACATAAATCTACTTCCAACCACCAGAATCACCGCTAAGTTCGTACGACATACGATCCGACGGACACAAACCTGCACCATGCCTTTCAAAGCTCCCTCCTGGGTGCCGCAGCTCGCGTTCGACCCGCCAGATGACGTCTCGATATGCGACTTCATCCTCGATGACAAATACGCGCGCCATCCCCTCAAAGACTCGCGACCGCCCTTCGTGTGCGGCATCACGGGCAAGTCATACACGGGACTGGAAGTCAAGGAGCGGATTCAGCACGTCGCGGCGGGCCTGTCGAAGGAGCTGGGGTGGTTGCCGAACGACGGCTCGGATTGGGACAAAGTGCTGTGCATATTTAGCACCAATGCGGTGAGGACAAGACGGACGGGGCGAGAACGAAGGACGGTAGCTCACTGTGGATCTAGATCGATTACTTGACCGTGGCATGGGGCACGCATCGATTAGGAGGTATCGTCTCCCCAGCCAACGCCGCCTACAGCGTTTCCGAGCTGGCATATCAATTGAAGAGCTCGGGCTCACAATGCGTGTTCACCTGCGCGCCGCTGCTGGAAGCAACCTTGGAGGCGGCTAAGGAGGTTGGGATCCCGAAAGAGCGGGTGTACATCCTGGAAGTGCCTGGGCCATCGGCGCCGAAGGAGTTTAAGACGGTGGATCAATTCATCGACGAAGGTCGCAAACTGCAGCCGTTGGAGAAGCTCGTTTTTAAGCCGGGCGAAGGGGCGAGGCGGATCGCGTTTCTGAGCTATTCGAGTGGAACATCGGGATTGCCGGTAGGTCAACGACGAGGACGTGTATCAAGAATTCCGCTGATCGATTCATGAAGAAAGGCGTCATGATTACGCACCGCAACGTGATCGCGAACACGATGCAGATGTGCACGTTCGAGCGGAAGGATCGAAAGAATCGACAGGAAAAAGAAGGAAGGGCTGATCCGACGCAAGTTGCGCTAGGTCTGCTTCCGCTCAGTCATATTTATGGGCTGATCGTGATCGCACACTGCCGCGCGTACAGCGGAGATTCAGCCATCATCCTGCCCAAGTTCGAGCCGCAATCATTCCTCTCCGCGATTCAAACTCACAAGATCAACATTCTATACCTGGTAAGTCCCCGTCCTGGCAGTCTCCCACCATCGCTGACCGGTCCCCCTTAGGTACCCCCGATTATCGTCCTCATGACGAAGAACAAGCCCCTCCTCGACAAATTCGACCTCAGCTCTGTGATAAACATCTTCACCGGTGCTGCGCCGCTCGGCGAGGAGACCGCCGCCGACTTGCTGACACAGTTCCCGAGCTGGGTCGTCGCCCAAGGCTACGGGCTGACGGAGACGTGCACCGTGGTCAGCGCGTCCAAGTTCGACGATGTGTGGCTAGGCAGCAGCGGCTCACTGCTTCCGTCGGTCGAGGCGCGAATCGTCGCGTTGGATGGATCCGAGGTAACAGAATACGGCGTCCCTGGGGAGCTGTTGGTGAAGGGTCCGTCGTGTACGTTGGGGTACTTTAATAACTCGAAGGCGACGTTTGAGACCTACGAGGATGGGTGGGTGCGGACGGGCGATGAGGTGGTGATCAAGAAGCATCCGGAGAGTGGGCACGAGCATCTGTTTATCGTGGATCGGATAAAGGAGTTGATTAAAGTCAAGGTACGGCACTTCATACTCTTTCATTACGCCAAGTGCTAATCCATCCACAGGGCCACCAAGTCGCGCCGGCCGAACTAGAGGCTCATCTACTCACCCACCATGCCGTCAACGACTGCGCCGTCATCCCCGTCCCTGATGCCGACGCAGGCGAAGTTCCCAAAGCCTTCGTCGTCAAATCGCCCAACGTCGGCCTGGAGGAGAGCGACCGCCTGGTCGCGCGCGACATCCAACGGCACGTGGAGAAGCACAAGACGCGGGCGAAGTGGCTGAAGGGCGGGGTGGAGTTCATCGACGTGATTCCGAAGAGCCCGAGCGGGAAGATTCTCCGGCGGTTGCTGCGGGATAAGGAGAGGGAGAAGCGGCGGGTGGCGGGGCCGAAGATATAGGATATCGAGTTGAGCGGTGGGCGAGTCTGAGTTGGATTATTCTGTAGATTGGATCTGTAAGCTGACTGGTGTCTTGGACGATACCCTGCCTAGGTACTGATGTAAACTGATGCGAAGGGAGGAGCAGTCCTCCGAGTCATTTGATCAGCCGGTATGGATATTGATTAGTGCCCCATTTGTTCCGCTCACAGCGAGTTCGCATACGCCCGATAACAGGAGGCTAGTTCTGCACCGTCTACGCATGTACCGTGATTATCTCAGTTCCGAAGCCGCATCGCTTGCTTGTTGATACATCGCGTAATCTCCCCAGCGACCCCATCCCTCGAACTCCCCACCCCGCAGCTCCCTGGGTCCTGGAGCCGATGCCCCTGTCATGCGGGGGGCGAACGACCGAATATACCTGGACCCTCGTGGAGGCTCGCTGTAAACATGTCCCGGAGTGATGACACGGTCCAATTCACTGGAAAATAATTCGACACGTGCCGGACCCCTCCATGGCCACCGGTTCAACGTGGGTTCACCCAATTCACTGAAGTACTATGTATATAAAGGATGGTCGCCCGCTGAATGGAGTGCTTCTGACTTGGATACTTCCTCCTTCTGGTCCGTTTGAAGTACCTGTGCAGCCGCCATAGGAACTGAACGCGCTCGCATACTCGAGCTTCCACCATGTCTGCAGCATTGTATTACGACTCCGATTGTTCCTCGGCCCCCCTCGCCGGGAAAACCATTGTCTTCGTGGGATATGGAAACCAAGGCCGAGCACAAGCTCTGAATCTTGTATGACCCTCCTCCGAAGTGATATCAGATACGACCAGAAGTTCGACTAACGAGAAATGCAGCGTGACACAATCCAGAGTGAAAACATCTCTCCCGCCCCTCGGATCATTGTCGCGAATAACAAGGATTCATACGCTTCCAAGGCCGAAGAAGATGGGTTTGGGTTCCAGACCGACTGGGCAGCTACAGCGGCAGAAGCCGATATTCTCTTTCTGCTCGTCCCAGACCAGGTATGGATGGGGAGCTCGATGGCTACCCTCCTCACTCCTGCAGGCTAACCATGGAGCCCAACAGGTCCAACCCAAGCTATTCAACGAATCACTGGCTCCCACGCTCAAGAAGACCGCCTGCGTCGTCGTCGCTAGCGGCTACAACGTATTCTACCAGTTCCTCCATGTCCCCACCTCCAACGATATCGTCATGGTCGCGCCGCGGATGATCGGGACGTCCGTCCGCAGTCGGTACGAGAGCAACCAAGGCTTCCCGTGCTTCGTGTCTGTGGAGCAGGACGGGACGGGGCATGCGAAGGAGGTGGCGTTGGCGGTGTGCAAAGGGGTGGGCGCGACGAAGGGAGGGGTCATTGAGAGCTCGGCGAAGGAGGAGACGCTGATGGACTTGTTTGCCGAGCAGGCGATCTGGCCGCAGGTGATTGCGACGTTCCGGGAGGCGTATGGTACCTTGAAGAAACTGGGGTGTTCGGATGAAGCGCTGGTGCATGAGTTGTGGTTGAGCAAGGAACCGGTGGGTCGACGACTCGACATCGATCCCGCAGCAACATCATAGCTGACTGAAATGTGGCTAGGCAGAGGTCTTCGAGAAATGCGCGGACGACGGATTCATTAGTCAATTGCGGTACCACAGCTCTGTCAGGTAAGTCACACATCATAGATACTAAGCTTGGGCTGCAATGCTAAGGCGAGACAGCCAGTACGGTCAGTTGAAGGGGAGCATGGAAGTGGACACGGGCGCCCTGAAGAAGGAATACCAGCGAGTCGCGGAGCAGCGAATCCTCAACGGGGCGTTCGCGAAGGAGTTTATGGCCCTTGACACCGAAGGCCCAGGCGTTGATAAGAAACTGGATGAGCTGTACGATGAGGTGAATCACAGCGAATTGGCGGAGGGTGAAGCGAGGGTACGGGCAAGGTTGGGATTGAATTGAGCTGCATCGTTGACACTATATTTATAAACCCTAGTGATCCGCTGGCGCAAATTCATGGAGACAAGCTGTCGTGATTCGTAAATTAGTTGAGGAGTACATATCAAGGACATTCGAACGATTGACTCTATATGCAAGATGACCTGTGTGACCTTTGATCATGGAAGAAACCATCTGAACTGGATGGAGGCGACGTCCATTCAGTTGCAGACTTGCCGTTGGTGGAGTGGTCACGTGGGTTGAGATCACATGATGCAGAGATTTTTGTTTTGGATTTTGTCCATGTGCAGCTGGGTGGGAGGTGGTCTGTGCATGGAAAACAAGCACAGGCCACAGGGCCACAGGCCACAGAGCCACAGACAGTCAGACTCAACAGAGCATGACTGTATGATGCCTGAGGCAGATAGGCGCCAAGGCATCCTGGCCACTGTGGAAAATAAAACACCCGGCACACACATTTATCCGATTCCGAAGCGAGCATCCTCTACCCTTCACACTTCTTCCATGAATTTGACGACTCACGACGACGGACAACTCCATACCCACACTAACAGCCCAACATGTCGTCGTTCGAACAAGTGGTGCGTACAATTGCAATCGGATACGAAGAAACACGAGATCGAATTCGCTGACGCCGAAATTAGGTGGTAATCGACGGCAAAGGTCACTTGCTGGGCCGCCTGGCCAGCATCGTGGCCAAGCAGCTCCTCAACGGACAGAAGATCGTGGTGGTCCGATGCGAGGCATTGAACATGTCCGGAGAGTTCTTCAGGGCCAAACGTACGTGCTGTCACCGGAGTGAATCGAGAAATCCAACCTCCAATTTGGCGAGATATTGGACCATTGTGCGAAGAACGTCGGGAAGCTGACTTGTTTTCTACAGTGAAGTACCAGGCTTTCCTCCGAAAACAGACACGATTCAACCCTACCCGCGGTGGTTAGTACTCCCGAGACGCTCGTCGTCGCATCTGCGATTCCTCTGTGCCTAACAGCCTACCAGGTCCCTTCCATTTCCGCGCCCCGTCGAAGATCTTCTGGAGAACGGTTCGCGGCATGATCCCGCATAAGACCTCGCGAGGCGCCGCCGCCATGAACCGCCTGAAGTCCTTCGAGGGTGTCCCGCCGCCGTACGACAAGAAGAAGCGCATGGTCGTCCCACAGGCGCTGCGCGTGTTGAGATTGAAGCCTGGCCGCAAGTACTGCACCGTTGGTCGCTTGGGCCATGAGTTCGGCTGGAAGTACCAGGACGTCGTTGCCAGGTATGTCGAATCCATTTGGTGTCGTTCATGGCTACACCACCGTCATGATCGATCGCTATCAAAATGCGAGACTAACACCATCCTACAGACTCGAGGAGAGGAGGAAGGTCAAGGGCGCAGCGTACTACGAGCGCAAGAAGGTGGCGCGGAGACAGTTGGCGGATGCGCAGAAGACGGCGAAGGTGGACACCAAGGTGACGACGGAGCTGGCTCAGCTCGGATACTAGACTCTCCGCGACGAGTGGGTGACAGCGACGGCGGACCAGCATTTCCCCCGCGGTCCATTATCATCATGTCAATGTGGTCGGAGGGGATCGGCGTGAAAACATGGCATTTGCAAATGGGAAACTCCTTAGTCTTTTATGCGAAAGCATTCCAATTGCGTATGGTAAACTCATATCAAAAATTCGACGGATGAGGGATGATGCCTCATGTTCAATATTTTCCTGATAGATAATGACTAGCAGTGGTGACTACGTCTTGTGACATCGTCTTGAGTTTCGGTTCGCTCCGTCTATGTGGTTTACTTAACGAGCCTCGCCGCAGTCGCAACCAGGAATTTCCACAACTGTTTATGTATCAATCCATCGATATTATCAACTGTATCTCAAAGGGTACAGAAATCCCTCCCCACAACAATATCGCGAACTTGTGGCAAGGGAGACATCGACAGCACCCACAATGGCTGAGTCCGACTTTAAGACGAAATTCGCCCGGGGGCTCGCACGGCAGTCAACCCACCTCAGCATTCTTCACTATTCCCGTCGTCCGGCCGAGACAACGGCTAGCACTGGGGTTCTCCATAAGGCCCTAACCCGCAATTCCTCGCCAGCCAACCCCAAAGTGGAGGAAGCGCGTTGACAATTGACCATGATCAGATGGCCCGAACCCCGAAGGTCCCGTAACTGCGGACTATGGTAGTAAGGAGGAGAGTGTGGACTCGGAGGTGCTGTCCGTTAGTCCCACTACGAGCAACGAAATAGCCGGAGCGACCTCACATTCCTCAACCGTATATAAGTATTATCATCCCTTGTCCTCAGCTTGGAGGATCTGAGGTTTTAATCTGCAGTGCTGCTCTCCCCCCGCAATCTATCTCATCCTTCCAAACCGCCCTCCACCATGTCTGGTCCACTCTCCCGGCTCTCCAACATCGCATCACACCTGCCACCTACCCCCTCCCCGCGACCCCCTAACTTCCACACTCTCTCCCCAACTTCCTTCCTCCCCCGCGCCGCCGCCATCGAACCAGATGTAACTCTCCCTCTCCCCCTCTCATAAACCTCCACTGACCCATCTAGGCCATAGCCATCCACCACCGCACCGCCAACGGCGCCACCCTCCACCGCACCTACGCACAATTCTCCACCCGCGCCCGCGGCCTCGCCCACTTCCTCCGCGCTCATGCCCTCCGCCGCATCGGCATCCTCGCCCCCAACACCCCCGCCTTCCTCGAATCCCTCTTCGCCATCGCCGCTGCCTCCGCAGTCTCCGTCGGCGTCAACTACCGCCTGAAGCCCGAGGACATCACCTACATCTTTGAGCATTCTGGCGTGGATTGCATTATCGTCGATGCGGAGTTCGAGGGGTTGTTGGAGGGGTTTCGGGAGCGGTGGCCGCGCGTGCGGGTAATTGTGGACACGGATACAGACGCGACGGAGGGGCCGGGCAGCGGGGAGTTCGATGCGTGCGTGCGCGAGGGACTGGAATATGACGCGGCGCACGGGAATAAGGGCTGGGACGGGTTATCCGCGCAGGCGGCGCACGAAGAGGACCTGATCGCGCTGGCGTACACCAGCGGCACGACAGCGAAGCCTAAGGGCGTGGAATACACGCACCGCGGCTGCTACCTCGCTGCCGTCGCCAACGTCATCGAGAGCGGGCTGAACTACCACCAGGACCGGTGTCGCTACCTCTGGACGCTCCCGCTGTTCCACGCCACCGGCTGGACCTTCCCCTGGGCCATCACCGCGGTGCGCGGCACGCACTACTGCCTCCGGAAGATCGACTACCCCGCGATCTGGGAGTTATTGAAGACCGAGGGGATCACGCACTTCAACGCCGCGCCGACGGTGAACACGCTGCTATGCGCCAACCCCGCAGCCGCGCGCCTGGAGCAGCCGTGCCGGGTGACGGTGGCGGCGTCCCCTCCCACGGCGCACCTGTTCCGCACGATGACGGCGCTGAACCTGCAGCCGGTGCACGTGTACGGGCTGACGGAGACGTACGGCCCGATCACGAAGGGGTACCATATGCCGGTGTGGGAGGTGGTGGGGGAGGAAGAGCGGTATAAGCGGATGGCGCGACAGGGGCATGGGTTTGTGACGAGCGCGCCGGTGCGGGTGGTGAGGACGGGAGAGGAGGGGTGGGTGGAGGGGAGCAAGGTGGTGGATGTGAGGAGGGATGGGAAGGAGATTGGGGAGATTGTGTTTACAGGGAATATTTGTGCGAGAGGTTACTATAAGGATGTGGAGGCGACAAGGAGGTTGTTTGAGGGGGGGGTGTTGCATTCGGGGGATTTGGCGGTGGTGCATGAGGATGGGAGCATTCAGATTTTGGATCGGGCGAAGGATATCATCATCTCGGGTATGTCTATTTTCCTTTCTTCCCGACGTTTTCTGGTAACTGTTGCTAACCTCTGTCCCCTCCAGGCGGCGAAAACATCTCCTCCGTTGCCGTCGAAGCAATGCTCGCCACGCACCCCGACATCCTCGAAGCCGGCGTCGCCGCCGTCCCGGACGCGCAGTGGGGCGAGCGACCGAAGGCGTTCGTGACGATCAAGGACAACCGCACGGGGAAGATCACGGGCGAGGACATCGTGGCGTGGGCGAAGCACAAGAGCAGCATTAGCAAGTTCATGGTGCCGCGCGAGGTGCAGATCGTGGCGGAGCTGCCGAAGACGGAGACGGGGAAGGTGAGGAAGAATGTGTTGAGGGAGTGGGCGAAGGGGGGGAAGGGGTGGAGGGCGGGTTGAGGAGATATATCATGGTGGGTTGGAGGGAGAAGGGGGCGGATTCGGTCCAGTTCGAGCTTGGAGTTTGATTGAGCCTGGATTTTTCGAGATTTGGGTGTAAATATTGATGCATAACTAGTTAGCGATATACCAACAACCATTGATATCCCATGGTGTTGCAGCTTCAGATCCCGGTGCAGGTATCCAACCTGTCATGCAAACTTTTGGTAAGTTAGGACCATTAATTTATGAGGCTTTTCGTATTTCACCAGTCATTCCATTGACGGCTCCCTTCCTCACTTAAAATCTGTTTGGAGGTGGAAGGCCTGACAAGCGAATCGCGGCACAGCCTTAATTATGTATCCCGGTTTCTTGTCTTTCTTTGGTCCTTTGAGTTGGGTCAGTTTACCTCAGCCGGTCTGCCCTATGGCAGGAAGAAACCACAAACTGCAGCGGAATGATCAGCCAGCCCGACGGTTGCAGAAGTGCCGATGCTGATGCAAATATCAGGAGCATTATGCAGTGGGAGCTTCATCCTACATGTCAGCGTCCCAGCTGCCCTCTGTCCCCTTTGTACTCTGTCGCGACTATTGGCGAGCGGTGCATGGTGATCGGCTTGACAGCTTCCCCTGTCCAAACCGTTGCTGTTGCATGTGTAGTACAGACATGGAAGCAGCTAGGCTGTAGGCATCATACCATCGCTATGGACATGAATCATGATAGTGAATAGGGGTCCTGTTGGCAGTTTGTCAGGAGCATCAAGAAAGCACACTATATATGATGGATGGATAGAAACGATGATGATAATGAAATGATGTTTCCTTTAGTTCGCGTTCACGATTGATCCCGATCCACAGCTCCCACCAGAAAAAAAGAAAAAAACAACGCGAGAGAGACGCAATGACGGATAGACAGGGGGAAGCCACGCTCTAGACCTGAAGCAGACTAGCGTATCACCCCCCTCCCGTTTCGCGTATAAGTAATAAGACCGGGAGCTGCGCGTTTTGCGACGACCGAAGCTCCCGAATGAAAAAGTTGGTTCCATTCCAACTTCGAAGTCACGTGTCTTTTTCTAGCCTTCATCCACCACACGCCATTCGTCAAGTCACGTTATTGGTTTCAAGCGGCTGACCGTTGAAACGTGACAATTTCATACTTGATCGTTTTTCTTACATTCAATCCTCTTGCATCACTGGTCAGAAGGACCCGAAGTGAGAATATGAATCGATTCGCTCATTTCATCGTCTGTTGAGAAAGTGAGAAGTGAGTGAGAAGTGAGACAGCACAGAATGGCTTCCAGGTAAGCAAGCCCCTTTGCCCCGATTAGTCCGCCCATCAGTCCCCAATCAGCCCCCGAATAACGGCGGACATATGGCCCACGTACCCCCCACCTGCCCCCCGGCTAGCGTGTGCGGTTGGGTGGTACCTGTGCGCCAGCTGCTGACCCAAACTCTCAACGGGTGTCATCCATCCGCCAATCAGAACTGACGCTAACCTCGGAATAGGCTGGACCGCTTGGTCACGTGAGTAACCTTCGTTCTTGACTATAAATCAATGTCGGTCTGCAATGCATGAGATGGACCGAAAATGGAGGCATGAGAGATTGAATCTAACTAAATGGAACCTCTAGACTGCTGGAATCTGGAAGTACCCAGCTCATCCGTAATACCGCTGCCCAACAGCTTGCCGATGTCCAGAAACAACATCCGGACGAGCTCTTCAACCTCCTCACCCGCATCATCCCCTACCTCCGCTCCAAGTCATGGGACACTCGTATTGCCGCCGCCAAAGCAATTGGCGGGATCGTTGATAACGCCGACAAGTTCGACCCGAACGAGGATGATCCTCCTGCCAAGAAGGAAGAGAACGGCGCGTCGAACGGTCACGTCAAGAAAGAAGAGTCCCCTGAACGGAATGGCGCTCTTACGCCAAACGAGGACCAACTGGACCTCGATTCCCTGGATGTCATTGCCATCCTCCGGAAAGGCAAGCCGCTCTTGAGCAGTGCTGGTAAGGAGTATGACTATAAAATGGCAGCCATGGATCCGGCCGATCGACTTGCCCACCAGAAAAGAAGCCTCACTGCACGCCTCGGGCTTGGTGGCCAGTACATGGAAGAAGAGTTGGTCAGCGAGATTGACTTCAAACTTCCCACACCTAGACTCGATACCAACCTTTCCTCCATCTCCAACGTGAGCGTGAATTCCGCCACCGCTACCACGCCTGGGGATCCTCAAACCCCATCCGATGAAACAGGCCTCAGCAAACGCCAACTCAACATGCTCAAACGCAAGAACAAGCGCGACTTCAAAGCCCAGGGCAATAAAGTCCGCATCATCGACCTGAACGCCTCGGGTCCTCGTCGTGGCAGCGTCGCCGACCCAACCCCCACGTCTACCCATCCCTTCCCAATCAAGACGGACTCCGACGCATCCGACGAGAAAACCGGTCACTCCGACTACTTCTCCCTTGACCGCGGCCAACAGCGCGATGACGATTCCAAACTCGTCAAGGAATTCAAAGGCGTCCCCACCGAAGAACACTCCGCACTGCAACCCATCGCCGACGAAACCACCGGCCTCGAATCCGAATGGCCATACGACCGTCTCTGCGAGCTTCTCACCGTCGATCTCTTCGACCCCAACTGGGAAGTCCGCCACGGCGCCGCCATGGGCCTCCGCGAAGTCGTCCGCGTGCAAGGGGGCGGCGCCGGCCGAAAACGATGTCACTCGCGGAAACAGAACGATCTCCTTAACAAGCGCTGGTTAGACGACCTGGCGTGTCGGCTCTGTGCCGTCTTCATGCTCGACCGCTTTGGGGATTACGTATCAGACAATGTCGTGGTGCCGGTCCGCGAGACGGCCGGCCAATGCCTTGGCGCCCTGCTGCAGTACCTCCCCGCCGACGAGGTCAAGAAGGTGTACCGCGTGCTCCGCCGCCTCGTGGTCGCGGAGGATGAACACGACGCCCGCGACGGGAAGGAGTCGGAGTGGTCCGAGCGCGCGTGGCAGCCGTGTCACGGGGGGATGCTTGGCATGCGATACCTGGTGGCGGTGCGTGCCGACCTCCTCTTCCAGGAACCCGAGCTTCTCGACGGGGTGCTGTCGACCGTCATGAAAGGCCTAGGTGATGGCGACGACGACGTGCGCGCCGTCTCTGCCGCGACGCTCATTCCGGTCGCGAAGGAAATCGTGCAGCTGCGCGCCACCGCGCTGGATGAGCTGATTCAGATCGTGTGGGACTGCCTGTCGAATCTGAGCGATGACCTCAGCGCCAGTACCGGATCGGTGATGGATCTGCTCGCAAAGCTTTGTAGCTTCCCGGAGGTGCTGGCGGCAATGCGGCAGAACGCGGCGCGGGACCCCACCCAGGCGTTCGCGCAGCTGGTGCCCCGGCTGTATCCGTTCCTACGGCATACAATCACGAGCGTACGATCGGCCGTGTTGAGAGCGTTGATGACGTTCCTAGAAGTCGACGAGGGCGGCGACGGCGAGGTGGGGAAAGGATGGATTAATGGAAAGGCACTCCGACTCGTGTTCCAGAACCTGCTGGTTGAGAAGAACGAGCCGGTGTTGCGGCTGAGCTTGCAGGTGTGGCGGAAGCTGTTGGATACAATTGTGGGAGATGAGGAGGGGAGAGCGTATTTCGCGGAGGAGTTCCGGTCGCACGTGGAGCCGTTGGTCACGTTGACGACCACCCCCGTCGGCGTGTCGAGACATCCCATCCCGATGAATCCGTCGTTGTTCCTTCGGCCATCGGGCCAGACGTATTCGTTGCCGGCCAATCTGGATGCTGGGCACAAGTACCCTCCTGGAATGCCCATGGAGCCGCCAAAGAAGCGAAGGCGATCCGACAAGAAAAGCATGGAAAGGGACACGTCGGTTTCCAGCTCGCACAATGTGGATGGACATATGATGTCTGGCGATGTCGACCTTGTGGGCGTCGATGTTCTCGTTCGCTCGAAGATCTATTCATCAACCGCCATGGGCCTCGCTATGGCTCTGTGGCCGTCGTCATCGCGGGCGGATGTCTTTGTCCCCAACATTCTTCCGCGTCTGAATTCTCTGCACTCCTCGACCCAACTCACCGCAAGCATTCTCATCGAAGAATACTCCCGCGCTCTCACCACCGCTTCCACGTCATTTACCGAAGAGGATCCACTCCTCCCGACCCTCCACACCCCTCTCCTCCACCTCGTCGATTCCGAACTCTCACCCCACTACGCCGACCTAACCTCCTACCTCCACATCGTCCGCGCCCAATGCCAGAACCTCACTAACACCTTCCGCGACAACGCGCACGTCCCCCCCGCCAAGCTCGCCATCATTCCCCCCGTCGTCAAGGGCGACGAGAACGCCCACGCCCAATTCGCCTTCGGCATCCATGACGCCGAGAAGATCGTCGGCCCGGACTTCGACCGCTTGAAAAAAGCTCTGACCCCCGCGCAGCGCGTCGGCGCGGCCAAGCTGCTCGACGACGCCCGTCAGGACGCGTTGAAGGCAATCGACGAAGCCAAAGCGGTCAAGGAGCAACGCGACGTACGCATCCGATCAGCGGCCGCCGCTGCCCTCGTGGCGGCGAGCTTGTTGCCGAAGCGGCCGTCGTTGACGATTAAAGCGCTGATGGACAGTGTCAAACGGGAGGAGAACGGCGAGCTGCAGCGACGGAGCGCGGGCGCGGTGGCGCGGCTGGTGCAGCAGGTCGGTGCGACGGGCAAGCGGGCGATCGTGGAGAAGGTGGTGGGCAACCTCGTCAAGTTCGCGTGCATGGAGACCGCGGAGACGCCCGAGTTCCTCCCGAACAAGGGTGTCGGCGCAGGAATTCTGAGCCTGCGGAAGGAAGAAGACATCCGCGACCATCCGGACGCCGCGCGGTTCGAGCGCGAGGCGAAGGCAGCAAAGATCACCCGTCGTGGCGCGAAGGAGGCCCTGGAGCAATTGGTCGTCATGTTCGGCGCGGATCTGTTCGACAAGCTCCCCGTGCTGCGGTCGCTGATCGAAGACCCGGTGCGTCGCGCGTTTGGCGAGGTGGAGCTGCCAGGGGAGATATTCAGCGATGACAGCACGTTCGGGCAGGAGGTCGTCGACGGCCTCTCGACGCTGCGTGCGCTCGTCCCGAAATTCGACGCCGCGAACCTCGCGTTCGTGAAGGCGCTGTTCCCGCTCCTGTCGCGCGCGCTGCAATGCAACCTCGCGGTGCTGCGGTACGCGGCGGCGAAGTGCTTCGCGACGATCTGCAGCGTGATGACGGTGGACGGGATCACGACGCTGGTGGAGGAGGTGTTGCCGTGCTTGAACAACGCGTTGGACGTGCATTGTCGGCAGGGGGCGATTGAGTGTGTGTACCATCTGATCCACGTCATGGAGGACGGGATCCTGCCGTACGTGATCTTCCTGATCGTGCCGGTGCTGGGCCGCATGAGCGATTCGGACAACGACGTGCGGCTGATCGCGACGACGACGTTCGCGCACCTCGTCAAACTCGTGCCGCTGGAGGCCGGCATTCCCGATCCGCCCGGACTGAGTGAGGAGTTGCTGAAGGGCCGGGAGCGCGAGCGGAAGTTCATGGCGCAGATGCTGGATGCAAAGAAGGTGGAGCCTTTCGAGATCCCCGTCGCCATCAAGGCGGAGCTGCGCAGCTATCAGCAGGAGGGCGTCAATTGGCTGGCGTTTTTGAACCGATATCATCTGCACGGCATCCTGTGCGACGACATGGGCCTAGGGAAGACGCTGCAGACGCTGTGCATCGTCGCGAGCGATCATCATCTGCGCGCGCAGGAGTTCGAGAAGACAGGGAGCTCGGACGTGCGCCGGTTGCCGAGCTTGATCGTCTGTCCGCCGACGTTGTCAGGGCATTGGCAGCAGGAGATCCGGACTTACGCGCCGTTCTTGACGAGCGTGGCGTATGTGGGGCCGCCGGCGGAGCGGGCAAAGGTGCGCGCCCAGCTGAAGGGCGTGGACATCGTGATCACATCCTACGACATCTGCCGGAACGACAGCGAGATCCTGGCGCCGATGAACTGGAACTATTGCGTGCTGGACGAAGGGCATTTGATCAAGAACCCGCGCGCGAAGACGACGTTGGCGGTGAAGAGCCTGCTAAGCAACCATAGGCTCATCCTCTCCGGCACGCCGATCCAGAACAACGTGCTGGAACTGTGGTCGCTCTTCGACTTCCTCATGCCAGGGTTCCTCGGCACCGAGAAGGTGTTCCAGGATCGCTTCGCCAAGCCCATCGCGGCGTCCCGGTTCGCCAAATCCTCCTCGAAAGAACAAGAAGCCGGCGCGCTCGCCATCGAGGCGCTCCACAAGCAAGTCCTCCCGTTCCTCCTCCGGCGCCTCAAAGAAGAAGTCCTCAACGACCTTCCCCCCAAGATCCTCCAAAACTACTACTGCGACCTCTCCGACCTGCAGCGGAAGCTCTTCGAGGACTTCTCCAAGAAGGAGAGCCGTGCCCTCACCGAGAGCGCCGGCCGCGCCGACAAGGACGCCAAGCAACACATCTTCCAGGCCCTCCAGTACATGCGCAAGCTCTGCAACTCCCCGGCCTTCGTCATGACCGAGAAGCACAAGGCCTACGCCGCCACCCAAGGCTACCTCGCCAAGCACGGCACCTCCCTCCGCGACCCCGTGCACGCCCCCAAGCTCACTGCACTGCGTGACCTCCTCGTCGACTGCGGCATCGGCGCGTCCGACGCCGCCCCCAATGGCGCCAACCACGCCGCTAACGGCGCGAACGGCGACCTGCTCATCAGCGGCGGCGACGCCGTCTCGCAGCACCGCGCCTTGATCTTCTGCCAGATGAAAGAAATGCTCGACATGGTGCAGAACGAGGTGCTCGCAAAGCTTCTCCCCTCCGTCACCTACATGCGGCTGGACGGTAGCGTGGAGTCGTCGCGCCGCCAGGACATCGTGAACAAGTTCAACGGCGACCCCAGCTACGACGTGCTGCTGCTGACGACGGCGGTGGGCGGGCTGGGGCTGAACCTGACGGGTGCCGATACGGTCATCTTCGTGGAGCACGATTGGAACCCGCAGAAGGATCTGCAGGCAATGGATCGGGCGCATCGGATTGGGCAGAAGAAGGTGGTGAATGTGTATCGGATCGTGACGCGGGGAACGTTGGAGGAGAAGATTTTGAAGTATGTTTTTTCTTCCTTTCCTGATTTCCCCTTCAATTCCCCTCTTCTCTTATTTTCGCTTTCTTTTCGTATCAAAGATCCGTCCGACTAACATATATCCCAAAGCCTCCAACGCTTCAAAATCGACGTCGCCTCCACCGTTGTCAACCAACAAAACGCCGGCCTCGCCACCATGGAAACCGACCAGATCCTCGACCTCTTCAACGTCTCCTCTAGCTCCGGCGATGCGGCGCCGGCGCTCCCGGGGCCCGAAAACGGCGACAACGGACCCCCCGGAATCACGGAGGAAGACGCAGTTGACGCGACGGGCGAGGTGCGGAAGGATGGGAAGCGCGGGTACCTGGACGAGTTGGGAGATCTGTGGGACGAGCGACAGTATGAGGAGGAGTACGATATCAATTCGTTCTTGGCGAGTATGAAGGGCTGAGATGGTGGGTGGGTCACGGCTCATGACACGTCATGATGGGTTTTGTACGATAGGACAGACATCACGGATGCGCGAAGGGTTTGGGGGTTGGGGTAGGATTCATTAGTAGAGAACTCGGTGACTCATGGTCGATCCATATAGGGTCGACTTGGATGGACGGCTGCGGAGCCTGGCATTTTGGAGTCTCGTCCAGGGCGGACATGGGGATATCAAGACGTCGCATCGACGCGCATTCTTCGCCTGCGGAAACGACGGCGCACCCTTTCTCGGTTTGTAGCATCGATTAGCGAAACATCTTAACCCGGCGTTGGTGAGATGGGTGGAAAAACCACGTCTCTTCATTCTCGTTCGTGAGATGCAATTGGCGCTGTACAATACACATTCCAATGCTTCTCGGTTTGTTCTCTCTCGATCCGTGAGAAACAGTGGCCCAACATGAAGGCTCAGCGATCCCTGTTCCCCGGCGCGGATTGAAAAAAAGGCATCCATCGTGTCCCGTCCGGCGTCTATGCAGATGCAGATGGTATCAATCCCGACTGACAGCAAAGAAAACATGGCCAAGATATATCATCCTCGTCTAGCAGATCCCAATTCCCAAACACAGGACACCAAGAAATGCGGACATCGATCCTCACTCGACACGTGAATCCTCCCCATCCTATCGCATGCTCATCCCCGTCGACTTCACATTCCCATTCCGCCCATTCATCACCTTCTCACTCACCACCTCCCTCTCTACCCGCCCATTCCACCGCTCCCCCAACCGCGTCAACTCCTCAATCTCTCTCAACATCCCCTCTCTCACCCTCTCCATCAACGCCCCCACATCCTCCTGCCCCAACCCCCTCGTCTCCACCGGCTCCATCACCCGCACAGGAATCCTCCCCGCGCGGAAGATCTGCCGCCGCACGTCCACGACGTTCGCGTAGTTCGCCACCGCGACGGGGACGATGGGCACCTGCGCCTGCACGGCAAGGTGGAAGGCGCCCTTTTTGAAAGGGAGCAGCATCGCGTGGTCTGGGTACGAGCGTGTGCCTTCGGGGAAGATGAAGACGGATTGGCGGTGCACGCGCATCGTGTGGGCGGCGCCATCGAAGGCGGCGATGGCGGATTGGCGGTTGGCGCGGTCGATGAAGACGGTTTTGGAGAGGGCCACTGGGTAAGGGGGTTAGCGTGGGGTCATCCAGAGCGTCGGGTGGTTTTCGAGTGGGATCAAAGAGAAGTGAACGGGCAATTATAATCAAAGGCTCAACTGGACTTGCGCCAAAGGGAAGAGGGGAGAAGAACTCACTAAACCATCCCAAAAACGGATACCACATCAAACTCCGCTTGCTGGTGACGCTGCAATACTTCGGAAACATAGCCCCCAGCATCAAGATATCCAGCTCCGACTGATGGTTCCCCAAAAACACCGCCGGCCGCGTCCCGTTCAGCCAGTCGTCTCCCTTCCCATCCTCCCGCACCTCTTTCCCTCCGTTCGCATTCAGCACCTCGAACCAGATCCCCGTGCTCAGCCCCATCATCCACTTGAACGCGCGGGCGGTCGTCCATTGCGACAGGCCGCCGAGGCCGAAGAGACGGAGGAGGATGGAGGAGATGGCGCCGTAGGAGGCAGCGACGATGAGGAGGAGGAGGGAGGTGAGGAGGCCGGCGTAGAATTTGAAGGGGTCGGAGTGGACGATGGGGGGGAGTTCGGGGGAGGGGCGTTTGGAGAGGGAGCCGTTGGAATGAGTGGGTGAGGGGGAAGGGTCGAGGCGGCGGGACATGGCGTTGGTGATGAAGGAGAGGAGGTGGAGGAGGGCGATGATGAGGAGGGAGAGGGTGAGGAAGACGACAAGGGGGGCGAGGAGGTTGGCCATGGTGAGGGGTGGATATGGAGGGTGGAGGAGAAGGAAGAGGAGGAGGAGGGCCTCAGAAGGGGTTTATGGAGTGGGATCGAGGGCGTACTCCGAAGTTCGGGGAGCGGTTCCAAAAGCGTCAGTTCGGAGTATGCTGTGTAGCGATGGTGTCAATGGATCGGCGTCCGGGCCTACAACCATCGACGGAGCAATCAATAAAGGGGAGTGACTTCTCTCGTTGACTGGATTCCTCGCGGAGAGAACGAGACGGGTCAACTCATGGAGAGAGAAGAGACAAGATGAGAAGTTACATGTAAAAAAAAAACCGCGGTGATGCTGGGGGGTTGGTGGTGGAACGGGAGCGGAGGAGTAAATGGGCTATGGAGAGTGGAGAGTTTCACATGAAGACGAATTTGGCGGGGTGAAGTCATTGATGCCTGAGGCCCTAAGGCTGAAAGGAGTGATCAGCCGCCAATCATCATGTGCAAATATCAGATGACCCCATGGAACTATTTCCATCAATCACAGAGGAGGGATTTGCACTCCACAACCATGTCACGTGCATGCCACATTCCCAGATCATCAGTTTTGTCCAGAGAATCAAGATCAAGATGCGTATGATACCATCCAAGGGATCCAGAAACTAGAAGAGAGATCTCGACTCTATTCCGTACTAATACACGTACCATCTAAGTTATATATAATACTGTTAAAGAAAGGATTCCGGGTCTGTCCAACCAACCCCAGTCCGCCAACGAAGTCGGGATGCTTTTGAGAGTATAAGTACAACCAATAATACAAAAAAGTAGAAACGCAACTATCTGCGCTATGGCAGGTATATATATATGAACAGGGTCCTTTTCCATGCCCTGTAGACCGAGATAATAATAAGAGTGGTGAGTGTGGAAAGATGTTCCCCGTTGTTGTACAGTGTGCGGTTGAAAACAAGAAGAAAGATATCCGTCCAAAGGGGGACTGGATCCAATTGCGCCGATGCTGAATGCTGTCCGTTCATTCGGGAACCAGAGATGCAACGCCCGGGATGGGAGAGACTCGTGAAAGCAACCATACGGAGCGGAAGGAGACCACAGAATATTGTACAGGGAGAGAGGAACAAGACGGATGGAACAAGTGAGGAAGAAACAACGCGACCACCAATCGAAAAGAAAAGATACGACATTCAGAACCCTCGTCGTTCTACCTCTCACCTCTTCCCCCCTCTCGCCTTCGGATTCCCCCGCCCTCGCCCCCCCTTCTTCCCCGTCTTCTTCGAATCCCCCTCAATATACTTCACCAGCTCATCGATCGTCCGATTCCCCAACGATGACCCCGCCACCCCCTCCGTCGACGGCCCCGCTTCCCCGGGCCCTGCCGCCGCCGAGTTGACCCCCACCCCGCGCTGCCGCGCAGTCAGCATCGGGAGGGAGCGGAGCCCGGCCCCTTGTAGCATCTTGACGGCGCGCGCGCTCTTGACGGCGTTGGCGGTGAAGAACTCGAGGTAGTGCTGCGCCTCCTTGGTGCGGGTGTCGTCCTTCCCGCAGACGTTCTCAAAGACGTGGCGCGCGTCGCGCATCTTGTTGACGGCGGCGTGCGTGTTGCCCTGGAGGGCGAGGTTGTGCGCGAGCTGATAGGTCAGCGCGGCACTGCTGATGGATTGGTCGGTGAAGTAGAGGCTGGAGAAGTGGAGCGCCTGGTGTAGCCATGCGATCGACGCCGGGTAGTGCTCCTGGTTGCCGGCCATGACGGCGAGGTTGGTGATGGCCGTGATGGCGTCGGGGTGGTCGAGGCCGTGGATAACCTTCCAGAGCTCGAGCGCATGAAGGATGAGGCGGACGCCTTTGGCACCGTTGCCGGCGCTGTGCTCGTGGATGGCGTAGTTGAGATACGCTTGCAGGGTCTCGACGCTATCGACGCCGAGGGTGCGTTCGGCAATGATGACCGCTTTGCGGGAGAGCTCCAGCGCGGCGTCCTTGTCGCCGATGTTGCCCAGGAGACTCGACAGGTTAATATAGATGCGGGAGCATTCCGGGTGGAGGATCCCGTAGATCTGCTCGTACAGGGAGAGGGACTCGTAGATGAGCTCGAGACCGAGTTGCTTTTGCCCGGTGCTAAGGGACATCTGGCCGCCTGCGAAGGCTTCCTCGGCGAGCGCAGACTGTTTTCGTTAATATCGATGATCGTCATGAAAAGTGGAATGTACTTACCCTTGGAGATGCCTCCTTGACGACCGGCACAAAGTTCAACACGTTCTCCGCATGGAACGTCTGCACCACCTTTGCTGGCACGATGCAGCTTGCCGCAGTATTGTCCTGGTTCTTCTTCTTCTTCTTGCCACCAGTACTAGCGCTCGACGGCTCGCAAACCTCCTTGGACATCCCCTCTCGCCTGAAAATGTATTCCTTCGCTTCCAGCTGCAGACCCAGCGTCAGCGCAATCTCTCGGAGCTGCGAGAACGGCGTCTTCGCGATGATTGGTCCGCTCCAGTTATACTTGAAGCGCATCTCGATCTCCTGCTCGAGCTCTGTGAGCAGCGATTCCGGCGTGGTCGCCTCGAATGAGAAGTCCGCATCGCTGAACATCTTCTTAACCTCCGCATTCGCCTCGGGGACGGGCTGGGCGTTCACCTCGGCGCCCAGTAGGCAGTTGAGCAGGTGCGCCATGCACGCGGGCCCGAACACGGCGGGGAGGTTCCGCATCTTCTTCGCGGCGACGTGCTTGAACGCGCGCGTCACCATCTCCTGGCGGCAGAGCTGGTACAGGACCATGAGACGCGGAGCGCCGTCTTTCATGGCGACGCCGGTCAGCCGCGTGACGTGGCCGAGGTAGCGCATGTTAATGCCGCGGCGGTGGAGGAGCGCGGTTAGCGAGAGGCCGTCCATTGGGAAACCGGCGTCGACGGTGCTGTAGTCGGAGACCAGGCGAGGGATGACGTTGTCGACCAAGAACTTGCACGCCTCCCGCAGTCGGGCTTCGTCCTCCGCCATCTCTTCCTTCTCCGCATCAGTTCGCGGTTCCTGGCCGCTGAAGACATCGGGGTTGAGAAAGTGCTTCGAGATCATCTCCTCCGAAGCATGCGCCTTCGCCTCGCCTTCGGCCTCCTCCTTTTTCTCTGCCGACTCCTCGTTTTCGGCCGGTTTCTCTTCATCGAGTGTGTCGCTTTCTGACTTGGTGGATTCCTGATCCGCTTTGGCGTCATTCTTGGTTTCCGCCGAAGCAGCTTCCGCACCATTCGTTTCTTTCACAGCGGGGACCTCCGGCTTCTTCTCGGGAAGGACCTTGTGTTTAATGTAGGATTCCACCAATTCGGCTCTCAAAGCCGCGACTCGGTGGGGGTAGTTCTTGCCCTTCGCTTTCGGCTTGGGCGTACTGTCCTCATCCAACTGGTTCTCTTCCCAATGGCGTTCGAGCCAGCACATATCCAGAGGCGTGATGCGGTACAGATCCAACACGTACTTGCGTCCGTCCGTCCCGAGGACGCCTTTCGTCTCGATGCTAGCTTCTAGATCGTGCCGCTTGCCTTTCTTGTCCCATACCGGGTGCGCCTTGACGAACATCTGCTTGGACAGCTGGCGGAACAGCGGCTCGAATGCCTCGTTCCTGGCAACGACATCTTTGCCCTCGACGCCACCATAATCGATGTTGTTCTCCTCCGGCTCACGCTGCTTGAAGATGCCTGGGACAATGCTTTGGCCTACGATCCGCTTCCCGAGGTAGTCTACCACGACGGTCCCGGCGGTGAAAAGCCCATTGATATCCAGCTGATTCACGGCACGCACCCCAGTGACGTCCTTGCCGACCACCACCCGGGCCGCCTCGTCGCCACCCTCGGTCGCAAACGTTCCGACCCCGTCGGCACCAAACGAATAGAAGATATTGTTCCACACGAAGATCTGCGCGTCCTTCTGCTCGGTCGGGTTCAACGGCGCCAGCTCCCCGCGCGCGACCAGCACGGCGCCTTTGACGGCCGCCTCGTTGTAGTCGGCAAACAGCTTGGCGGTCAACCGCTCCCGGAACACGCGGTCCTGGACCGACTCGCGCGGCAGCTCGCGCGTGGATTGGAACTCCTCGTTCCAGTCGCGGAGCGTTTCGCTGCCGTCCGCGCCGCCGACCATGTAGGCTTCTTGCGAGCGGCTGATGTCCGGTTGGTATGTCGTGGTCGATGCGGCTGACGCGGGGACCAGCCAGGGGTTGGCGGGGAGGGCGTGCGTCAACGGATATAGGGAGATGGGGTCGCGGTCCGCGTTGGAGGTCTGGAGGGTGTCGAACGTGGATTTGAAAGACGGCGATACCTTCAGGAGCAGGGTCAGGAGGGAGTGCGAAAGGTAATCTTTCGGTGCCGCGCGTGGGCACGGGTCGAATCGGTTGGCAGTCGACTTGTTCACGTAAAACCCGGAAACGTGGGACGTGATGCATAGTGATTCCCCCTCGTTGATCGTGAGTTGCAGGTAGAGGAGATGGCCTTGAGCGCGGAGGTAGTGCGGAGGTGGGCTCCACGGGGAGAGAATCAAGGATTTCAATGTCTGCGGTTGTGGTGTCTGCTCGGGTCGGAGCACGGCATGGACGTCTCCCTGGCTGGAGAAATCGTAGCCGGTAAGTTCCGTGTCATTCAAATGGGCCTTGAACTGCTCATCACTGGCTGGTATCGCAGTGGAGTTCTCCATGCCAGCAGACATGACGCTGTCAAGGAGTGATACGCCAGCTTGGATGCCATGAGTCAGATCCGACTTCTCACTAGCCAGTCCTATCAACTCCTTGACCCGCAATGTGTGTAGTCGTGCGTCCTTCTCGGTGTATGGGTCCTCCTTGAGCTCGACGATGGAACCATTGTCAATGCCGGGTACTTCGGAGAGATCGATGAAGTCGTTGATACGTTTTCCGTCATGTTCGAGGTGGAAACAGGAATACTGCACGGCGTATGGTTGTTCGGAAATGATTTGGCGGAGGTCCTGGACCTGTTCTTGCTTGGCAACCTAGAGAAGTTCAGCGGCGATCTGTTGATATGGGTTTTCTCCAGCATACGGTGATGTCGGTCTCAAAAGGCTCATGCGGGAGCTTGATCTTCAATGCGAAGGTGTCTAGATTGACATCAGCAACGGATCACACGGGAACCATGCCAAATGATCTTCGTACCATGCACCACACCAGAGTGAGCGTCATCCTTAGATTCCTCCATTTCGGAGTATGTTGGTGGAGGGTCGGCGGGTACTGGCTGTTGTGATACTGGAGGCATTGCGGTGATTAGTTTCCGATGCAATTGATTCCAATACCAATGTCTCGGGGAGGATGTATCCAACTATGACAGAAAATCGCAACATACCAACACCGTTAGAATCATTGCCACCCATGTTTATGTTGTTTATATTGGAGTATGCAGTGTCGTCACGACCACGAGGCAAGCGCAACCGGTAGCGGATCTAATAGGAAAACGAAGGAGGGAAAGGAAGAGATAGACGATGCCAATGACGAGCGAACCGGAGGGTTTTTACAATTCTATATTATACAAGGAAAAGATCGAAGAAGACACGATGGTCGTTGTCCCAGGTCAATTGTACCAGGAAAGAAATAATGACAATCTTGAATCTCGAGGCTGGAGATGCGGAAGGAAATTTTTGAGAGGGCCGAACTTTTTACTGCACCAAGGTTTTGTTTCCTACAGGCATTTCTACGGTAGCTTTCCCTGTTGGCTTGTTCTGTGGTCACTATCACTGGCTCTCTGTCCCATATTTCCCGTCAGTCCGAGAATGGGCCGGTTGTTACCTAGATGCCAAGGGTTGTCCCGTCCGATGCCGACGGGTTTCCGGCATCAGTCATCAGCGGAATCGATAGGTATGGGAGTAGAGAGGGAGAGCGAGCGAGTCAAATCAGGTTGCATATGAAATTATGCGATCTAATATATACAGTCAAGTATTCCGTAAAGATATCGGATACAATACAGCTTACAAAGATTTCATCAATGACGCAGTAATATTCCCCCAAACACAACAGAAGGAGCGACTTTTCGAGGTTCGAGGGTCGAGGCTCAAAGGGAAGGCGCACGCGACTCGCGTAACTTTGCCACCCCCCTGTCTCTCTCTCTCTCACTGACTCTTGAGTCTTGGCTGATTACTCTCCCAATTTCTCCAGGAGATGGTGAGGTGCATGATTAGCAGCGATCGCAATTCCCCACCCCATAGTGACCACTGTATGTATTAGTGAGTGCTCTCAGTTATGCGAAGAATGAGAAACACGTCGCATTAACATTCATTTAAACCATTCATTTAAACCAATTCGACATAACCCTAAATACCATGGCCTTCAGTCCGTGGACACGCGCTTAAGCGCGTTGCTTACCTGCGCGTTGGGACAAATCATCAAACACGCCGTCTTGGTGTCGCTGCGGGAACACTTGGCAAAGAGGGCCTCCCATCCGCTTAAACCGCCAGAATGGCAACAAGGCCCATCGTACAACATGCATCAGGATTCATGAAAGGCGCAAGAGCTCGGGACTTCGGGTTCCGCGTCCATCGGAGTGCCATCCAACAGTTTCGCGCCCAACCGATCACGTGGCGGCAGACCATCGTCAGCGTTGACCCCTCGCCCTCCACCGCGGGGACGAACCAAGTGGTTAGCAATGCGCCCGGTCCCGAGGACGACGATGATGGCGAGGGGAATAAAAAAGCAAGGAAACCGCAGCAGGACAGGAAACTGGACGGCGAGAGGCCGGATGGAGAGAAACCGGATGGCGAACGGGGCCGCACCGCGTTCAAGATGTTCGAAGCGGCCATGACCACCTTCGCGTCCATCTCCATCCTGGGCCTCGTCGGCTACAGCTACACCCGCTACTACAAGTATCACATCCTCGAGAAGATGGAGAACGCCTTCAAGCCCGGCGACCCCGTCCTCGAGCTCGCCCAGAAGTCCCGAACCAACCACACGTCCCTCCTCGCCGACACCGACGACGAGGACCGTTGGATCCCGCGCCCTGAGCAACGCAAGATCGACGAGATCGTCGCCGGCCGCGACACGGGTCACTACCACCTCCTCATCGGCGAGAAGGGCACGGGGAAGAGCTCCATGCTGATCGACGCCATGGCCAAGGTCGATGGCGAGGGCTGCGCCATGTTCGAGGCGCACGCCGACGTGGAGATCTTCCGCGTGCGGCTAGGCAAGGCGCTGGACTTCGAGTACCACGAGGACAACATCGGGTCGCTGTTCTCGATCCGCGGGCCGCGCGACGCGTCGGCGCTGCTGGACGTGGAGCGGGCGTTCAACAAGATGGAGAAGGTGGCGCTGAAGCGGCGGAAGGAGGTGGGGCGGCCGTTGATTCTGATCATCAATAGCGTGCATTTGGTGAGGGATGACGAGGATGGGAAGGATCTGATCGAGTTGATTCAGCAACGGGCGGAACAGTGGGCGGCGAGCAATTTGGTGACTGTGGTGTTGAATAGTGATGATTATTGGGTGTATGAACGGTTGAAGAACTATGCGACGAGGATGCAGGTGATGGCGGTTGGGGACTTGCCGAAGAAGACGAGTTTGATGGCACTACAACAATATCGGATGAGATACCGCAGCGAGAAGCCGAGCATGGAAACCTTGGAGCAGGTGTATGATATGATTGGGGGGAGGTTGACGCATCTGAGTCGCGTGGCGAAAAGTAAGGATATGTTGGAGGTGTGCAAGCAGATTTGCCAGGCGGAGAAGACGTGGTTGTTGAGTCAGGTATGGTGACCATCATTGTCCGCGGAAACATTATTGACAACGGTTAGTGCTGGATTCTCGGTATGGAGATGGACGACGATGTCATGGACCAGCAGAAATACGCTGTAAGTCACCCATCCCCTTATCTCTCCATCACTTTTCACTAACCAGCTAGTCCGCTGCAATGGTCCTCGCTAAGGCCCTAGTCGACCGAGAGAAGGAAATGGAAAGCACCTACGACTCAGAGAAGGGCCACGTCCTCCCCGAAATCCCCTTACATGAAGCCCGATACATCATGACCCGAGCCGACTTCATCCAAAGCTACGACCACATCAACGTCTTCGCTATCGGATCCAACGCCATGGTGCGCGCCGACTCGGTGCCGATGATGAACGCGTTCCGCCAGGTCTGCAGCCAGCCGGGCTTCGACGAGCATCTGGAAGCGACGCTGGAACGCATTGGGGATATCGAGAGCTTGGGGAGGACGCGGGAGCTGACGATCAAGGATCTGTGGAATGGTGGGAAGTATAAGACCACGGTGGCCGACTCAAAGGGGCGGCATCAGAGTGAGGTGACGTTTGAGGTGGTAGAGCCGAAGAAGGATGATGAGGAGTAATGGGATGCTGGAGTCCCCGGTGGACCTGATTGTGCACACCCTTCTCACCCGACCTCCTTCCCGCTGTTCTTCGCCCCCTGATCCTCCGTCTCCTCCCCCTCCCGTTGGAAATAGAACGCCAAATCCAACGCCGTGTCATGCAGCTCGAACTCCGGCATCGTCACCACCTCCTTCCCGGCATTAAACCCCTCCACCACCCCCGTCAACCGCCTCAGCTTCCCCTCACTCACCCCCTTCTCGCCCTCCCCGCACCGCAATGCCACCCTCCACCGCGCCTCCGTCACGTCCCGCATGTCCGGACCCAGAAACACCGCCGGACACTCCACCACCCCCTCTTCCTCTGTCGCCAGGAACTCCTCTAGCAGCGTCTCCAACTGCATGAACGGGGCGTACAGGAACGTCGAGGACGCATGCTCATGGAACTCGTGGGCCGCGTTGCGCTCGTCCGCAAGGCACAGAATCTCGATCCCCAGACTCCGCAAAAACTCCTCGTCCGTCGCCGCAAACTGCGGATCCTGCGCGAACATCCGGATCGGTTCCGTCGCATCATCTCGTCCTTCAGATACTATCGTAGATAAATCAGTGATTCCGATCGATCAACCATGACCGTCGCCGAACGCCCGTTCCAAGCGACAATCCACCTCCCCCTATCTAGCTGTCACTTACAAATCTGCACGACCTCCAAAAATGCGAGCAGCTGCCACCCCGCCCGTCGCGCGTGCCCCCACTCCCTCGCCACGCTCCCCAACCCTACGCACACCGCCTGGGTGACCGTCGCTCGCTTTCCGAACCGCCGAGCGAGCAGCCGCATCAACTCGCCTCGCATTGCTGTCGCACGCCATGCGGTCTGCTGCTTAGTGAAGGCGCGCTGGACGGCAGAGAGGGGGGCGTAGGTGGCGGGGGAGGAGGGGGCGGAGGGGGGGGCGCGGCGGGAGCGGGGGTTGGTGGGGATGGTGGTCCAGGTGGTGTTTGGGGAGGGGGGTGGCATGGTTGGGAGGGGGGAAGGTTAGGTGGTGAGGATCATTGGGGGAGGATATTCAGAGGGGTATATAAAACTCGGGAACGGGCTTTTATTAAGGGAGGAGGGGAAGGAAGATGAATATCAAATCGCAAAGGACAACGGGTAGAAAGGATTTGCTGGGCTTGATATTGATTATAAAACCCGTTCTTTGGGATTTTATGGTTCGCACTAATATTCGAGCCTGATATAAAGGAAGATCAAAAACCTTGATGGATATCTACGATCTTCGGTTGAAATCACGTGCTTAGACACATCTCTGTTTTAAGACTACAATTTCCTTCCGATGGCTCAAAGCTGATATCGCGCAGTAGCATACACTAATCATGATCGGTATCAGAGACCACCTTGATTTTTGCAGGATTCCAAATACCATGGTGGCTCCAAAAACAGCTGTCAGACTAATAACGCTTGACTGCCCCTCGTTGCTTTTGTCCCCTCGCAGCATTCTAATATTAACCATTTCAAGACCGTGGAGCAGACTCGATATGCCGAAATACGGTTATTATATATGACCTATATCCGGCGTTCAAGACCTCTACAAGAATGCCCTTTGCGAACCATCCCCTATGATATGTACTATGTAGTTGCGCCGAAATCGACTGGAGGCAGGGCCAGATTGGAGTCCTGGCGTACGAAACTAGTTCATCAACAATGCGTCGAAACACAACCTCATCATTTCGAATATTTTTCAATTCGTTGGTATCAACATCCAGACTCGGCCATCCAAGGTCGACCAAATGCCCGACCCCATCGGCTAGTCAAAAAGTGCCGGAAATAATTACAAAGGAATATCCCGTCAAGGACCGACAGACCGACGCTTCATTGCGCCCCTAACCCTCCGACACCGTAACATCACATTTTCCCATAAGATTATTGGAGATTGGTGGAGTAGATCCCGCTGAAAAAGGGGAGGTGGATGAGATGATAAGGGAAAATCGTTTCTCGATTGGAGAATATGTTTTCGCTCCGTGACTAACGCCAGACCCAGGGGTGTTTCTTTGGAAAGGAGCCGGAACCGGAAGGATGCTGAAATGCTGTACAAGAAAAGGAAAATTGAAGAGAAACTGCCTCCAATGGACGCGCGGTAGACGCTGCAAGCATCGCCGAGGAGATCAGGTGGGATTTGAGATATGAGCGTCAAAGATGTCTATCCGGGATGAAAGATTCCAATGCGATGATTATAAGATCATCAGGACAGCCGCAAGCATCGCCGTGAACGAAGTAATGACGACGGAGGGTTTGACCAGCGCGTTGGCGCTGTTACTCAAGCTCGTTGTGGCGAAGACGAGGTTGAATTCGATGTTCTCCCCCGCCTCCGTCGAGTTGAAGCAGTTGGTCTCGTTGACCTCGGCGACGTTCTGCGGCTCGTCGAAGATGATATCGACGCACTATCGCATATTAGCCCCATTCGTGGCGGTCGCTGTTCGTCTCCAGAGGATCTACTCACGCTATACAACGCGGCCCCATGCTGCGCCGTCTCGATCACCTGGATCGTCGCGTGGTCGCCCACCTTCGGTTCCAGGCCCTTGGGCAACGGCACCTGCGGGAGGCAGACGGTGCCGTTGTAGTACTCGTTCGAGGGGCCAACGATTTGGAACGGCGGCACCATGTTCAGCGACATGTTCAGCGGCTCGGTCCCCACGCCCATGTTTATGTAGACGAGCGCGTTCGCATGGCCCGGAAACCATCCGGGTTGGAAGGAGAGCGCGCCGCCGTGGATTGGCCATCGGGTACGGTTGGTGGATGTCGGCATGCCGCCGCCTGCGAAAACATGTCAGCGTAAGTGTTCGTGATGCATCGTCGCACCGGTTGCATCCGATCGCAAGGGGGAGGAGAGGGTAACGCACATGGATACATCCACTGTTGCCCGTACGGGAAATTATATGTTTCCGTCTCCTTATCCCAATTCATCCCCAACGCTCCCGTCGGCACCTCCCCACTCGGCGTCGTGCCGTTCTGGTGGAGATTGTTCCCTCTCCAGCCCGGATAGACAATGACGGTGTGCGCCGCGACGACGCTCCATAACGTCGCAATTGCGACCAGCGTCCTCCGCGCGCACCGGAACATTTCGGTGAGTTTATTTGGGGATGGTTAGGAGGCGGGGGCGAGACACCCAGAAGCGATCCCGTCGTGGATCTGGATGTGTTTCGTTTCGACGCCGCCAACCGTGGACTAGACGTTCGAGGGGTTGGAACTCGATGCGGGCGACGGGGGTGCGCGGAGCAGCAGAGAGCGGTGCGCTGATCTAGATCGGTTTCGCGTGGTTGGAAACCTTATTTGACGGCAGAATCCACGTCTCTGAATATCGCAAACCTCAACAATAAAACAATGTCTACCTTCGAGAGAGACGACGATGTCCGAGAGTGGTGAGAGTTCGGTAGTCAGTCAGTTAATCAGTCGGTCAAAGCGGAGGTCCGTCAGGTGGGTGCAACGGAGAAACCAAGAGGGCCGCCCGTCATACTTAAAAGGCATCCCATGTCCATAAGCATTCAATGGCGATCCAGGGAACTGGGCCATCCGGCCGCCCATACCTCCTCGACCTTGTCCGAACAGGGCATTGGAGATACATGGGATTACAGATGTTAATGTGGGACGGGACGGTGGCATTGGAGCGGTTTCGCGAGACAATTGGTCGGTTCGTCACATCACCAGCCAAGCAAGCGGCGGAACAGTCGTGATGGTGCACATCGCTGTCTGTCGGGGCCGCATATCCCGATCCCTCAGCGCCAATGAGTATTGTCCGTTGCGATGGGAGTTCTTCATTATTGTCTTGGTATCGGTACAGAAAGAGATTGTTGACATTTCACCTATTGTCCTCCTTTACCTCCTATTGTCTACTACGGACAGTCCATCCCCTTCAGGCCCACAGGTTCCTCGGCTCTATTTTAATTTTTTGATTTCCGACTTTGATATCATCGACAATGCGAACACATAGCGAAAAAGTCTTCTCTTCCAAAGCCCCCGACCATTGCACGACCTGCATCGACGCGTCCAATCAGCGATTGCAGCCCCTAAGCGCCGACGCTGTTCAACGTGCAGGGAGATGCTCGCCATGGGAACCGCCGTGGATGGACGCCGACCAAGATGGGCATCCCCGCTCGACCCGCTCACAATCTAAAGTCCTAATATTCCTTAGAAAATCGCGAACTGGACAAACCACCGTGAGTGATCTCTGAAGGAGTGTCATTTTGAAGGAAAGCGATGGAAGCCACGAAATGTCCCGACCGGCATCTCGATCGGGTGTTGCGACTCCTGGGGGTGATCCGTCGTTGTGGCATGGCGGCACAGCGGAGGTAGGGGCCGGCATTATGGTTGAGCTATTGCTCGATGCGCAACAGAAGCGGGTGGAAGACTTTTCTCGACATCCAGATTATCTCGGAAGAGGGCAAAGCAGCTACTGTTTAGGAGCTGCTGTAACACGGTGCTACCTTGGGACCGCTTGAGATATTGTAGCTTGCCGATGGACGATAGTCCCATCGACCACCTGCTCGCATAATTAAGTCTCGAACCGATGACCCAATCATCTCAGCTCGCCAATGCCCGCGATGTGCCATTAAGCTCTTCCTTGCATGGGCCGCCAATCCTCGAGCTCGGGACTGTGATAGTTAAGGAACGGCTCAATGTGGTTTGTCTATTCGGTGCCGACCTCAAGCATCAGGCTGCATGCCACCAAAGAGGAAATACCGCTGTCAAGTGATGTCTGCGGGATATACGGAAACGTCTTCCCCCATGCTGAGAAGTGACGTGAGCATCGGTAGATACATCTAGCGGGGCCCTCCGGATCGCTAAATACCAGCGCTTATGGAACGGCATGTTGCATTCCACGCTCTTCCGTTGCACAGAAGGGGATATCGGAACCCCAATCCGCGCAGACCAGGCCGCCTTTGGGGCCTCGCTGAGCGTCCTGTTTGCCGCTTGGCTGGACGGCGGTTCACGTCGTCACACATCAAGGGCATGTGGAAGCGACCGAAATTTCCACGCGTCTCGTGGCACAGGAGGTGTTCATGCAGTTACGGAGTGGATCATGGATGGAAGGAGGGACTCGCCCTCCGATGTTGCAGATAGCAGGAATCGAAGCCATCAAGTAGCGAGTGATATTGCCCCCTTTCTATGCCGTGAGCGGCCCGAAGGGAGGCCAATCGACGGTCTTTGTAGGAAGTAGGTTCTACGCGCATTATCAATATAGATAGACTCAATTCGGACTATTCGCTCTCTCCAAGCGCCTATGCTGTGATGAAAGCTATATCAAGCAGCCTAGCAAGTAATACTCCAGTTTCCCATGCCATCATCGAACAACTGCTGTCTCATTCAAGGCACGCATCGTCTCAAATCCCAAGCCGGATGCAAGATATCAATATGCATCTACGACCCTTCGGCCTTCACCGCACCACATCCCTCAACCGCTCTAACCTTCCCCCCGTCGCCTCCACCAAAGATTCCTGCCTCGCCAACATCTCCATCACCTGCCCCATCCTCGCCTTCCGATACCCCGTCGGCACCTTCGGCGCCCCACCGCCCGTCCCCTCCACCCCCTTTTTCCCCTCCCCCACCCTCACGACCGCCTCCACCCGCCCCCGCAACTCCTCCTTCAACCCCGCCACCTCCTTTACCCTCCCCACCACCGACTTCCCCTTCTTCCCCCCCTCCACCTCACCCCCCTCTATCGCCCCCGCAACCTGGTACACCTCCCGCACCCACGCTTTCTCCTTCTCACTCAACTCCAAGCCCCCCAACCGCGCCAACTTCTGTTTCAACCGCTCATGCTGCGCCACCAGCTCCCGCTGCCGCTCCGTCGTGCGCGCGAACTTCTCCCGCAATTTCTCATCCGCGAGCAGCGCCTCCCCCGCCTCGTCCGTCTGGAAATCGTCGTCGTCCTCCCCCGTCACCGCGTCGATTTTCCGCACCAGCTCCTTCGTTTTCTGCAGCTGGTCACGGAACTCCCCGAGCAGGCGCTCGCATCGCGTAAACAGGTCCGACACCGCGTCGTTGATCCCGATCGTCTCCTCGGCGAGGTAGCGGTGGATGTCGGTCATGATCGCGAGCGTTTCGGGGCCGAGGCGCACTTCGTTCTCATAGCGTCGTCGGTGACGTTGTGGGATGACATTCTCGACGAAGGAAAGTAGGCCGGGGTCCTCGACTAGTCGGTCGGATGGCATGAAGGGATGTCGGGGTTCCGCAAGGACTAGGGCGCCGAGGTTCAGGTCTTCGATGTCGTAGCCACTGGCGTTGGCGACGTCCGTTTCGAGGATGTCGCTAGGGATGTCTAGGTTCGCGGCGAATGGTTGCCCGTTGGCCGCAGTGAGGAGGAAGTATCCAATCTCCGAGTCACTGAGTGTGATGCAGGCGGAGATATTAGTGCGTGCAACGGCTTCGGGGAATGGCAGCACGTGGTCGACGATCGATTTGGCCCGTTGAAACCACTGTTCGAGGCGCAAAGAGAGGCGTTCTGACAATGGGTCCTCGATCTCGTCGATGAATGTATCTACGGTAGAAGATAGAGATAGGGAGTAAACTCCGTTGAGGTCGGTGACAAAGTAGGTAAATGGCGAGAAAGGGTCTGGAGAGAACGACGCCTTGAACAGATGCTCGGTGTCGTGGAGGGTGATGACTTCGAAGTTCAGCAAAGCATCTGCATCTGGTTCATCGTCGGAATCATTTGCTTCCTATGATATATTAGTTATGACTTATAACAGCTTTCAGGATACGTACCGAAGTAAAAGGCAGCCAAGCTGCGGTGACTCCAGTGAGATTGAGGCAATTGTACACCTTGCCATCGGTGGTGAGAAGAGATAGGATGTTCGACGAGAGGCACTGTACTTCCTCCTCTGCAGCGCTGGCATAGAGGCTATCATGGAGGTCTAGATCACGCGGTTTCGTGAGTGCCGTGACTACAAGGTCAGACACTTCGCAATCTCCCATGATATCCGGCTCGGGGATGAATGGGCCTTGGAGCTTCGGAATCGGGCCAGGTTGTACGGGTCGGTAGAAAACTTCCGCCGATGGATAACCAGGCCTTCCGCTGACCTTGATCGGTTCCTGGCCCTCAAGCTCCGTGAACCACTGATGCAAGAGATCCAGCTGGAGGTTTTCTTCCTTTTTCGAATCGTTCGGTGACATCTCCGCACTGACGTACGTGCTAACCGCTTTGAAGAAGCCGGGTGGTGCTTCCCATTTGGTCGGCAAACACGGGCAGAGTGAGTACACGCATCCATTCGCCATTGCGATCCACAACGTCGTGGCGGACCAGGCATGTCCAAATGATGGGTCCGATGTGCCAAAGCACGTCGAGGCGACCTTCATATCCACATCGTCCGGGGAGAACCCAGTGTTCGCATTATTTACTGATGCTCGCATCGCATCCTCCGACGTCGACGCATCGATAAGAGCGGGGAGGTTGATGGTGAGGCTGGGGGTATCGAAGGACCATCTGTCTTCCCGGCTGACCTCCCATAGCCGGACGACGGCGTCGACGGTGACTGTCACGATACAGCAGCCCATGTGTCCAAGTGGGTGCCATAGGAGCGATGCAACTGCAGGCTTCTCGATGACATGGATTGTGGGACCGAGTTGGAAAGTCTTGAGTCGGTATGGTCCGCGGTCGCTTTTCTGCAACTGGGAGGTCTCCGGGATGGTCGCGATGTGGACTGTTGCCGCTGTAACCATGGCCAGATAGTCTTGGTTCGGTGAGATTATCAGTTGGAGAATCTCGCCGTCGAAGTTTGGCTTGAGGATCTGTATTGCTCAACATCAGCGGGATAATTCAACCCATTTCTGTAATAGTAATGCTCACGGTATAAGAGTAGTCCTCCTCATCGTCCTCATCGTCATCCGAAACCGAGTGACCACGCGGTCGAGACAATCGTCTCCTCGCCTTCGCCTGGTGTTCATCCTTCAGTCTCTGGAGATCCGTCCATCTAACCTCGTTTCCCACCGCGACGAAGATCTGCGTTCCTCGATAGGCTACCTTCTTCAGTGGAACAGCAGCAGCTCCGGCCTTCTTCGTGCCATTCGATGGTCTCGCCGGGCTCCGTGGCGCGGTATTCGCAAATATATTTGCGTCGGGGGAGAGGCGTGAGAGCCAGGAAGGCGTGTAGTTGAGGACGCGCACCATGTTTCGGAGATCTAAAACTAGGTTTCTTCGTTCTCCAGTTCCCAGATGGGATTTATAACATGAGAAACTGGAGAGTGGGATTATATTATCAACACCCAAGTGATCTTTAGTCCTTCATCAACACCGTCTTAGACAACGTGAATCTGCAATTCACCGCGTTCGGAGCTTGGACCAATCAGAGCTCATCCCTGCAACTTCCATTCACTCATTCAAGACAATTCATGACAAGTGAAGATACAGATATTCTGGTGACTTTCTTGCGACTTTCCCTGCTCAATCTCAAAGCTGCATTCTCCCGATCATCTGCTTCGCCGGCACACCATCCGTGAGATGACAAGATGCTTCCACGGGATAGGCACACGATCGATCGGCTAGACAAGCCCAGCTCATACACCACCAACAAGGTTCGCACAGCTGTGTATCCATGCATCTTCTCGACTAACATCACTTCAGAGTAGAAAGCGAAAGCACCGCGACCGTGAAGGTGATGAGCCCAAGGACAGGCCGTCCGAGCTTGAGGACAAACTCCGCGATGCGACGACACTCTACGTAGGGAATCTGTAAGAGCCACTCATTCACATTGGTTCAGAGCATCCCTCTAACGCGTTATCAGGTCATTCTATACAACAGAGGAGCAGATCCACGAGCTCTTCGCAAAGTGAGTTGCACCAAGGTTCTCCTAGCTTGTAGATGAATGACTGACCACTGGCCCTGTACAGATGCGGTGAGATCAAGCGGCTGGTTATGGGCCTCGATCGATTCCAGAAGACGCCGTGCGGGTTCTGCTTCGTCGAATACTACAACCACCAAGACGCATTAGACTGCATGAAGTACATCGGCGGGACGAAGCTCGATGAACGCATCATCAGAACGGATCTCGACGAAGGCTTCGTAGAAGGGCGACAGTACGGGTACGATTGGCTAGTATCACGAGCAGTGAGGCATCGCTAATGGATCGCAGGCGTGGAAAGTCGGGTGGACAGGTCCGAGATGAATACCGAGAGGAATATGATCCAGGACGCGGGGGCTACGGCAGGGCAATCTCGGACACGATGCAAGAGGGGTACAAGTGAGGAGGACGGCTGCTACCTCGTTCAAACAAGGCGTTACGGATCATATCAGGCATCTAGGCGAGCTCGGGGCTCGCAACGGGAGTTTATACCGGGTTTAATTCCTCTTTCGTCGCTTGCGGGTGTCGCTTATGGCTGTAAATCATGGAAACCCTCTTTTTCAAACCGAATCGCGCTGGGGTGGAGCTCGAACAAACTAAATACATTCGACTTTCGCCTCCTCAATCTCATCCCATGAGTTTCGAGATCTTCCTCTGGAAGGCAAGGTTGAGCTGCCCCGTAATCGTGTCGGGAACGAACGTCAAGAGCTGGCTCGCATAGAAGCCTGCAACGCACCGCTCCTGGTTCATAAACCACGACAAATTCCCAGCGCCGCCCCAGAACAGTGTTCCCTTCTTCAACCCGACCTCCGCCGCATCCTGCGTGAGATATACCCCCCCAAAGCCCAAAATTCATGTCATCAGGCGGAGGTCCGGTAGCGCCCATCTGCCCTGAGAAAGCTGGGTAGAACGCCTGTAAATACCGCACTGCGATCCCTTCGCCGGAAGCTGTGGCTGTAACATTATGTCAACCGTTTCCTTCTTCAACAGCGTCGGCTCCTCTTGCATTAAATCCACCAGCATCGCCTTGTAATCGCCGACCGTCGAGTAGAGGCCCGCTCCCCCCAGCTCCTCCGCGACCTTTCCTGGCAAAATCTGCTGCGTCGGAATGACCGTGCCGTCCGGGTCCCGCGTGCTCATCGATACTAGGCGCTTCTTCACATTGTCCCACACGTCCAGATGGAACGTGGTCGATGTCATGCCCAGCGGTTCGAAAATATGCGTCTGTATATATTCTTCGAGGGTGATCTTGTTTAATCGTGCCACAAGCCACCCGGCCCAGTCCAAACTAGTCCCGTAGGACTACTTTCCCCAGGCTCCTGGAGTAGGGAGTAGAGAAGTGTCTCTTTCGAGCCTCCGGCGAAGCACGTAGGTAGCTCACCCCGGGATGCTCGCCACATCCTCAGGTTAGGGTTCATGGCATCGTAGTCTAGCCCACTCGTGTGCGTCAAGAAGTGCCGGAGAGTGATCGGGTTGGTTCGAGGCCGGAAGAGAAACTGGTTGTCGACCGTATCTGGCCCCTGGTTGGGGCTCATGACTTCCAATGTCACCAGCTCAGGGAGTAAGTTCATCACTTCATCATCGAGGGCGATTTGTCCTCGTTCTACGCATTGCAACGCGGCGATCGTTATCACTAACTTGGTGCAGGACGCAAGACTGAAGGTATTTTCGAAGGATATATCAGCTGCTGAAGGGTCCGGGGAGACATATCCGGAGGCCTTGGAGTACAATGATTTGCCTGCGCTCTCTCTCAGTGGGTACAGTCTTAAGCAGGCTAACCTACCTACCATCTTTCGTTACGGCAGATAGGACCACACCTGGGACGACGTTGGCCCCTTTTGCTGTGAGCTTTGGTAATAGACTGTCCAAATCTTCCATAATTCTCTTGAAAGAGTTGACTAGGATCTTTGAAAGCTGTAGAGGGTCGAATGAAACGAAACACTTGATCCTCAACTACTAGAAAGGAACTCGCTTGAACTACTCAAATGTATACTGACTTGAATCGATTTAAACAAGAAACATGGCCTCGAAACCTCAGAGAATTTATACGTGGACAATTGGCAAATCGTACTATATCACCCGATGATCCGATCTGATATTTCTTCATGTACAGGAGTCCTACCTACTGGGGTCGATTTGTATAGTACTTCCATTATTCCATATCATAGTTGCAAACAAGCTTGGTTGCATGGCAGTCCTTTCTGAATTCGAGTTGTGAAGAATCGAATGATCCACGACCGATAAGCCATCCCAGCGTCGTTGAGGCGCATTGAAATGAGGTGGAAAGATGGTAATGAAGAAGCGAGATAAACTACAGCAACGCGTATTATGATTTATGGCGCTCGTCACCAGACTAGCCGTTTCCAGCGTCGTGGCACCACTTGAAGACATCGCCCTAAGGTACCAAATTTAACCAACTTCATAGCAATGAGCTTCAAGCCATACGGAGATCAAGAGCAAGGAAGAAAACATTTTTTACGGCACATATGGAAATGCAACTTGTTCTACTTCCAAGCAAATCGAACTCAGGTATAATCAAAACAGAAGCGATGTCTCGATCCGAGGATTCACAAATTCGGACGCCGAAACTGCGATGAAGCTGCGGGACCACCGCCGGGACCGCGCACATTTCTTGATTACGGATACCTGTTTTAATTGGCCTCAATTGCGTCGCGTCGTCACCACCACGCAAGCCCATCCTAACCACATGTCATTGCGGTGACAGATTGGGTAACCGCAAAGAAGCCATTGTCCCGGTGAGACATACAATCGGCCACCATGTCCACCCAACACCCATCGCAGCTCATATGCTGGCTCCTCGACGTCCGCTCTCTCTGGCCCGGCGACCACATCTCCTCTTCGGTAACCTCACTACCCCACCCCCCGCAACCCCGCTAACCCCTCCAGGCCACCGCCGCCCTCTCCCTCCTCACCTCCGACGAGCGCGCCAAAACCCTCAGCAAACACTTCATCCAAGACGCGCGCATGGCACTCGGCTCCGCGCTGCTGAAGCGGCTGTTCACCGCACGGTATCTCGGGTCCGGGGGGCCGTGGGCGGCGATGGAGTTTCCGAGGCGGGGGGATCCGGTGCATGGCAAGCCGGCCGTGAGGGAGGAGTGGGCGGGGAGGGGGCGGTGGGTGGATTTTAATGTGAGTCATCAGGCAGGGCTGGTGGCGTTGGTGGGGGTGGTGGAGGAGCTGGAAGATGGGGGGAGGGCACGCGAGGGTGGGAAGAGGGGGACGGAGGTGGGTGTGGATATCACTTGTGTGAACGAGCGGAATGACTGCCGCACGATTGACCGGGAGCGCTTCGACGGCTGGGTGGACACGTTCTCCGAGTTCTTCTCCGCGGATGAATGCTGGGACATGAAATACAACATCGACCCGTCTGGCCTCCCCCTCCCCGACGGCACGGTTCTCTCTGCCAAAGAGATCGAGTCCACGCCCGGGCGTCCCGACCGGTGCCTTGTCAAAGACCAAACCTTTTCCGTCCGACGCGCCGACGGCTCCAACGTCGCCCTGAGCTCCGACCTGATCGTCGACGCGAAGCTCCGCCGCTTCTACGCATTCTACTGCTACAAGGAGGCATACATCAAGATGTCCGGCGAGGGGATGATGGCGGACTGGCTGCAGGATCTCGAGTTTCGGAACGTGAAGAGTCCGAAGCCGGGAACCGTCGCGGGGGTCTGGGGGGGGAGTATGAGCGATGCGGAGGCGTATCTAAACGGGGTGGAGCAGACGGATGTGGCGTTGGAGATTCGGGGGCGGGAGGAGGACTTTATGATTGGGGTGGCTGTGAGGCCCGGAGAGGGGTTCAGGGGCAGGATCCCGATGTTTGAGCGGATTGATTTGGAGAAGGATATTATGGCGGCCGCGGAAGGGCGGTGATACAAGCGGGTATGATACCACGCTTGATATGCGGCATACGCATAGGCGTACCCCATACGGATAGCACCGCTACAATTGACACTGATATGGTCGATTTGGCTTTCATGCTGTGTCTGGAAGAGCAGTGCTCCATTCCGCACTAGAGTAAAAAGGATCGTTTCTTGATCTTCTAATCATCACGATTGGCTACTCTTCCAATATCCCCCTTAATTGTACCCTGTGTACTTCGTCTCAATCTCCTTAACAATTCTACTTACTATTGAGCATAGATCGACAAGTCCTAGCTTAATTCGGTTAGCGCAATGCAAACTCCACCACCGAAAATAGCCCAATTCCACAAGTGACGTCGAATTCCCTCATCCTTCAACTATTTCTCCACGTCAGACGCCCTGAATCAGGTTGCCTGAAGAATGGAATGAACCCCCCAAAGCTTGCCAACGCTGCATCTCTGCCGTGCCAGCCGAATTCACCAGTCCCTAGCGTCGGATGAAAATATCCTAGCGTTCCGATGGTACCCCAAGATCGCGCTGGTAGCGAGAGAGACGTGAGTCTGGGACTTGCGCGGTCAAGTTCCCAGAAAGTCGGCGACCCGGCTGGCCAGATCGCTCCCCGACTCCGACACCTGACGCGTCCCGAAAGGAGCCAATTCCTGCGAATACGGACGGGTCGCACCTGATGGGCAACGATCGATCTGCCGTGCCTCCCATAGGTCTGCTCGTGCTCTCAACGGCCGCTGCTGATATGGCGGCTCGAGGTACGAACAGTGCGGGTTCCATGGGTAGGGTATGTGCCAGGAAGGGCAAATTGGGTAAGATGGGGTTACATGAGTGGTATTGGAGTGATGTCTGTATGCTTAAAAGAGTCGAATAAAGGGGGCAGTGGTCCTGCATGCGGTGGCAAGCTGGAAGGGCCAGACCAAAATATTGGCTCCACATTGTTGATCATCGCTCGGTACCAGACGATTTGTACCGATCGAGCTGGTAGAAATACAACTGCATATCCTTTGAACTTTCGATTTCCTATTCTCTATTATCCATTTCCATCATATACCTTATAATATAATATATTTCCATTTCCATACTTCAAATCCTTCCGAGTCAATCGCTTGATCCCCGTCTACCTACTAGTCATCAACACTATGCGCCTCCCCGCCCTCACCACCACCGCCCTCCTCGCCCTCTCCCACCTCTCCCTCGCCGAAGCCTACTGGAAAGGCTTCAACGTCGGCGCCAACAACCCCGACGGCACCTGCAAAACCCGCGACGACTGGGCCCACGCCTTCACCCAGCTCGCCAGCCTGCCCGGGCACTTCACCACCGTCCGCACCTTCGCGACCTCCGACTGCGACACGCTCGCGAACGCGGTGCCCGCCGCCCTCGACACGGGGACGCAGCTGCTCGTCGGTGTGTGGACGCAGGACGACGCGCATTTCGAGCGGGAGAAGGTGGCGTTGGAGGCGGCGATCAGGGAGTTTGGAGATGAGTGGATCGTGGCGATTATGGTGGGGAATGAGGATCTGTATCGCGGGGAGGTAACAGCGGAGGTACTGGCGGGGAAGATTTATGATGTGAGGGGAATGGTGAGGGCGTTGGGGGTGGAGAAGGAAGTGGGGCATGCGGATACATGGACGGCGTGAGTTTTCTGAGAGGTTAATATGATAATGGATGGAGCTGACTTGCCGTAGGTGGGTGGACGGCGCGAATGAGGCAGTTATTCAAGCTTCGGACTTCGTGGCCCATCAAGGCTATCCATACTGGCAGGGCGCGGATATCGCGAACAGCGCGAGCGTCTACTGGGCCAGCGTGCAAGCGACTCGCGACGTCGTCAACGCCGTGAAGGTATGTCCCTCCTCCTAGCCATAATTCGAGGATTTCTGCTAACTTCCCTTCCAGCCCGGCACATGGGTCTGGATGACCGAGACCGGATGGCCGGTTACCGGCGATGACTTCGGAGCGGCGCAAGCGAGTGTGTGGAATGCGCAGGAGTACTGGAAGCAGGTAGCATGCGAGGCGTTCAACGAGGGCCACACGTTCTGGTATGCGTATCAGGACTACACGTCGACGCCCAGCTTCGGTGTGATCGGACAAGATGGAAACCCGCTATATGATCTCACGTGCTAGATGGGTAGATAGATATGACGACATAGGGTGGACAAGATAGAGTAAGATAGGGAGAGGATCTGGACTTGGGGGCCTGGAACTGAAATCACTGAAATATAATGTAAAATCGAACATCATATGACCCCCTCTTGCCTGTCCAAGCTCCGGAAGTCCGGATTGATGAACATACCCCAAGCCGAACGGATCAGACACTAAAATCTTGATTCCTGACCCATTTGTACTAAGAAGGCCGCGCGGATAGACGATCAGCCGTGCGGCTCAATGACTACTGTAGATAAATCATCAAATCCTCCGGAAACGCGGGATGGACGGAACGATCCTAGATGAACATCCCAGCACCCAGGTTGTTGGGCAGACTCGGTTTGCGTCACACGAGGAGTGGTGCATAACAAACTGGCCACATGACCATAGGCCATAGATTAATGAAATTCGGTAGTGAGCTTAATCGGCAGAGAACTGCTGTCGGCGTCCATATCGAGCGATAGAATGCAAGTCTCGCCAAGGTCATCATTGCGAGCGTATGAGGCCTTGCCTCACGATCCACAACATTGAGGGGATGGTTCAGACGGTATGACAGGATGTCAGAAAGCTCATAAAACGGTCCCTGAGCAACATGAACACCCGATAAGGCTCCGAAGGATCAATAAAAAGGAAACGCAGATACGAGATACCCCTCGAAGGGCTCAACAGGCAATGCTTGACGGTTGGGCACCCTTGCTTCTCGAAGGCACGAAGAACAACCCAAACGAGCCATCTAGAGATTGTAGTCCGAATTTCGATAGATACGATAACTAGCGCCGACCTCAAAGCTTGAATTCTGCACCTATCTCCTCGAATCATGATTCGTAGCTTCGCGAGCAAAGGGCCATCCCCTTCCCGGTGGCCGGTAGTCGATCCGCGCTGCTCGGATATCGGCATGCCAATCCCAGGTCACGAGGTGACAACTTCACGAGCCGCGTCACCAATCTCACCATGGAGCCGATTGGGGAGGAATATTTCCGACGCTTCCGCAACTTAACCCATGATAAGTAAGGCTGGCATGGCGCCGTCGAGTTTCATCCTTGCGGATCTTGAATTCTTGATGTCACACTGTCGAGGTTCGCGGTGACGGGATGTGGTGAAATGGACTGGGACTTGGGAGGGGACTAGAGGAGGGATTGGTGCGGAGAGGAGGAGACATTTGGCGAGGTCCGATGGGATAGAGATGTCATATCGCATCCATCTGATGATTCGGGATTGGATTGGCGATATTATGCATTCCTGTCTGTTGTTATTACTTCAATCAATTCCATGTTAGACAGCCAAGACATAGTGGTGGGATATTGGAGATTGGCATTTCTTGATATGCATGACGGTCGGTTGACGACGTTCGGAGGTGAGCGGTGTGGGGAGGACTGAGGCCGCAAATAAGACCCACAATTCTGGTCAAGGCATGGTGTGATTGGTCCATGGGATGATTCAGCGAAAGCTTCACCGCTGCATGTGACCTGGGGATCATCCGAACTGCACGACACTTGGGACTCTCTGCGTCCCCGACTTCTTGACGTGCTAATAACTATTAACTAACACTAACTTACTGGTCCTTTGGGGTTTATTCCAGAATGGGACTTAGGGTAATAGGGCTGTCCCACCAGAACGGCATGCTGTTGTCCGGTCGGTTATCGAATGACGAATTGGCACTTGACCTCATTGTTCTCCAATCTCCACCTTCCAATTGTCCCTCTGCAGTCTGCAGGACGGAGTCATGCTGCGTTACTAGACCGATTCACCGCAGCGAATCACCCATCTGTTCCGGTCGTTCCAGACTGGAGGACCGAAAGCACATCGTGCCCAACCCTTACTGGCCAATTGGCCCCAGGGCTGGCGGAGGAACCACGTTGGCATTACCATTGCTCACTGACCGGAATGCTTGACCAATGGCTCGACCGGTGATAGACCGGCGATGAGCCGGGATTGTGTCCATTTGAGCCTCCAGTGGGGTCAAGCGTCGCCTCTAAATGATATGCCCCTCTAGTCCTTCAGTCCCTGTGAACGGGAATTCCGCATACCCTGAGTCCCTGACCCCAGTCTGGTGAAGCATCCGCGTCCCGCGACCTATTAGCGGAGTTATTCCTGGCATCATGTATGTGGGCCATCGAGAGTTCGGTCAGGATGAGGATGTGGAATCGAATAAGCAATTGAGAGTCCTGGTGGCTTGCAAATAAATACTGGAGGATCCCCTCCTACTGTGGTTTTATCTTTTCCCTCTTGATCTTGAATCAACTGTTCAACTGTCCGCCAAGTCACCCTCAATCAATCCAACCAGTCGAGCTTCCAGTGTCCACCACTGCCAGCTCCATATCCACATCGACTCACCACCAATGCCACCCCCTCCCTCCCCCCAACCCATCTGCGTCCAACGAACCACCACAGCCGACACCTCCCTCACCACCACTTCCACCGTCTCCACTACCTCCACCTCCCCCCTCCCCACCTCCACCCCTCCTGCCACCGCCCCCTCCCCCTCCCCCTCCTCCCCCACCGACCGCTTCTTCGGTGCCCTCAAATCCCACATCCCCCACCGCTCCCGCTCCCGCTCCCGCTCCACCGTCCGCCCCTCCCCCAACGACCGACCCCGCACCCGCACCCGCTCACGCTCCCCCTCGCCCGCGGACCCAGTCGTCGATCACCGCCGCCACACCATGTCGTCCGCCTCGCCTCGCCCGCAGTCCGACCGTCACGCCTCCAACGCCTCCGCCTCGTCCACCGCCTCGGGGACGTCGATGGCGCAGCATTCACGCGTGCGGAGCTCCGGGCAGGAGAGTGACTTCGAGCGGTTCTCGTATGGGCGGCATTCGAATGATGTGAGTTGATTCCGAGTTTCTGGGATGGTCGGATGTTGACGATATAATCAGTGGCTGTTCGGCGGCTTCAGCGTCCGCGATAAGATCAAGCATGCGTTAGGCCGCAACAATGAGCAATAGTGGTGGCTCTCGTGACCGGTACTAGTATTGGTCACGGCGCGTGCCTTTTCGCTGTGGCTTGCCATCGCATGGATTGATTTCGCACTGATTGATTTATACGAACCGGATTCGTGACGAGCGCAACGACACGCCCTCTTAACGGCCGAACATATTTTGCGCTTTCTTCCCTTCCCCGTGGTGCCGGGTCACCGGGTGTTGCCTTCTTTTATCTGCATCATGAACGGCGATGATTCACGGACTTATTGCATGGGAAGGGAATTGGGAAAATTGATACCATTTTGCTGTTTTTATTATTATCATCATTGGGGGAACTTTGTTCGGAGAGATCAATTGTCTGCTCCTCGCTGAGGGATGTTCTTGTATACCTACCAGACCGGACGGGATCAGGTTGGGATTGGACCTGAAAGACTGGAGGGGCTTCTGGTTGAATGGAAGCGGGTGATAATAAGTGAGATATTACCGTAGCAGAGTAGAATGATGCTGCATCAGTCTGTCTATGCTACAATCCAAGGAGCTAGCACCCGACCAATAAGTCATGATATCGTGCATCGAGTCAATTAAGAACTTAACATTATTCCATCCCTCCACCATTGTCGTGAATTATATATATGCCACGCATCTATGGCTCAAGTCCTTATCTAACTCTGACATGCTCCCCTCGGCTCTCAATATCAGATCGGGCGGATAAGCTGCCTAATCCGGAACTTGTGGCTCTGATCGACTAGACCCTGAACATCAGCGCTCTTGACGACCAAACATACCGGTCTTCGGAAGCATATATAAAGATCCCCATCGTACTTCCAGCTCCAGCTCCATCCACTTCGTAACCAAGTACTTCTACGTATTATTACCCCTCCCGTAACTCTCTATCATCTGTATCCACCATCTATATCCACCACCCCACAATGCCCCCCTCCACCCCATCTCCCCTCCCTACCCCCTCCCCCTCCAAATCCTTCTGGCACTCCGAGCCCTCCTCCTTCCTCCTCGGCCACCGCACCACCGCAGACCTACCATCATCCGCCGACGTCGTAATCATCGGGTCAGGGATCACCGGTGCGTCGGTCGCGCGGTATCTGAAAGAGGAGGAGGGCGCGGCGGGGTTGAGCGTCGTGATGCTGGAGGCGCGGGAGGCGTGTTGGGGCGCGACGGGGAGGGTACGTGATGTGGTTTCTTTTGGATGTGGTGATTCGCGATAGTGCGAGCTCAGTCTGTTTCTGTGTCTGTTGATTTCGTGATATGCCGTTGTTCCGCTCCAGACTCGAGCTCACCATATATCGTTCCATTCGTTGCTCCTACGCGATACATTTCCCACGTACTTCACATCCAGCCACTAACCCCCCCAGAACGGCGGCCACTGCCAACCCATATTTCTCCACCAACCCCCCTCCATCGGTCGCTTCGAGCTCCGCAACTTCCACTCCGTCGCCACCTACATCTCTACGCACGCCGTCCCGTGCGAATTCCGCCCCCGCCCCTCCGTCCGTGCCCTCCACTCCTCCGCCCTCCTCGCCCACGCCCGCGCCTCCGTCGCCGACCTGCGCGCTTCCGCACCTGACCTCGCTGAACACCTCGCTGTCGTTACTGATCCGGAGCGCCTGAAGGACTACAAACTACGGAGCGAGGTGCCCGATGGTGATGAGGCGAAGTGGAATCCCGCGAAGGGCGCGGTGGTGTGCGATATCGCGGGGAGCTTGTGGCCGTACAAGCTAGTCGCGCACATCCTCGAGGCGTGCGTGACGGCCGGCCGGCTGAACCTCCAGACCACCACTCCCGTCGAAAAAATCGAGCGGATTGCTGATTCCGGTGACATGGCAGGGGGGCCGCGGTACCGGGTCATCACGACGCACCGCGGGGCGATCGAGGCGCGGCATGTGGTGCTAGCGACGAATGGGTATACGACGCATTTGCTGCCGGAGTTGGCGGATTTGATCGTGCCAAGCCGGGGGCAGATGTCGGCGCTGCGAGCGACAGGTGGGGAGCGGTTGGGGAATTCTTATGGGTTTCTGGGGGTGGGCGATCCGAGAGATAACGACCATCCAGACTATTTGATTCAGCGGCCGGTAGAAGGGGGCGGGCAGATGATGTTGGGGGGTGGATATGCGGGGGCAACGAGGGAGTATGTGGGAGAGGTGGACGATGGGGTGGTGGATGAGGGGGTGGCGGGGTATTTGACGGGGATGTTGGGGAAGGTGATGACGGTGGCGGAGGGCCCATTGGAGGCGGAGTATATGTGGACGGGGATTATGGCGTATTCGAGGGATGGGTGTCCGTGGGTGGGGGCGGTGCCAGGGATGGAGGGGGTGTGGTTGTCAGCGGGGTATACGGGTGAGTGAACTGCATTGGAGGTGAAGATCTTTTGCTAATGGGTATAGGCCATGGGATGCCGAATGCGACGCTCTGTGGGAAAGCGGTGGTGGATATGCTGTTGGCGAAGGAAAGGGGGTCGTTCGACGAACCGTTCGTGGATACCATGGTGCACGCGGGCGATATCCCACGGCAGTATGTCATCTCGGAGGAACGCATAGAGAGAGCTAGGCATCTGCCCAGCGTCGAAGTGCAGAACAAGGAAGGTCGAATTCATGTTTAGACTACAACGATACCTCATCCTCAGATCAGCCCTCACAATCTCCCCTCTCCCTGCGCCGGCACCTCGACAATCTGATCCACGCCTTCATACGGCGGCATATCCAACCCATACTTCTTCGCTACCTCCTTCGTCAAAAACCTACACAGCCTCAGCAACCTTTCCATTCAGTCATCGGACGTGAAATAAAGCAACTTACCTCCCCCCCACAAAATGCCTCCCCCTAAACCACTTCACCAACGGCTTCGGCGCCGTCAGTGAAACCAGTGCCCCGGGCTGAAACCCCTTCCCGGGCCCGTCCTCCGGCGGTCCGGTCTCGATGTTCCACGACGACGGCGCGTCGACCGCCAGCACGGGGACTTTCGTGTCGCGTAGCGCTTCGATCACTTGGGGGAACGGCTCACGGACTTCGCCAGAGAAGCTGAAGCCTGGAGAGGTAAGTGAGATGGTGGTGAGATGGGGAAACGAAAAAGGGGAGAATACGTACCGAAGATGGCATCGACGACGTGGTCGGCGTTTTGGAGCGCGGTGGGGAAGTCGGTGGTGAAGGGGATTTGGAGGTCTTGGAGTTGCTTGGTGAGGCGCTGATGGGCTCAGTGGAGGGAGAGGGGGTGTTTATGGGCAAGGGGGATACCTGGTATAGCTCCTTCTTGCTCTGCTTCGGGTAGTACATCGTCGGTTGGTATCCGTAGTGCCATAGATGCCTGGCAGCCACAAGGCCGTCGCCGCCTTTCAGTGGTCATTTCGCATCCTGAGTAGGGATTCTATTGATGCTCACCATTGTTCCCGGGTCCGCATGCCACGAGGATCCGCCTGCCACGACTTGGTGGCTGGAGCTTGTAAACTATAGGATCAAATTCCGTCAATTCTCAACCGTCAATTCTCCAATTCTCAACCCTCGATTTCACGCGCGGGGTTGGCATACCTGCCTGTGAGACTGACAGCCCGGCCAGTTCCATCAGTTGATCGATGGAGAATGCTCCCGAGCTCATTAACTCCTGGTCGAGTGCCGCGGCGTTCTTTGCGGAGAGGGTCTAATTGAAGTTAGGCGTGTTCTATTGTCGTAGAAAGTGACATACTCGGAGGGCCATTTTAGTTGCCATGCTACATTTGCTTTCGATAGTTGGTAAATGAAAGTGTCGCTTTTGCGAAGTTGGGATGAGGATAGTATAGCTCCACTCGATGCCATTACATCACCCCTGGTCATCCCAACACCATGACCAAACATCGTGACTTCTCTAACTTTTCGCATGCTCTCTTAAACCTCCATTCTCTTTCACTTTCCTCCGGTCCTTTTCCTCTGAAATCAAACAACGCGGCGAAATTAGCTTGAAGGCATGGCGATTTGAGGAAACCGTCTCATCTCGACGTGCCTGCCGTTAACACGCGGATCGGTTATTAAACATTCCCTCGATTCCCGTATCCTCGTCTCGTCATGCCCACTACCACATAGACGCAGCCTCGAACGTATATCTGAACTAGTGGAAACATTCGAGGCACCGCCTACTACATGATATAAGAGTCATGGAACTAGAGAAATGCACCTGGTATCCCAACACAGATCGAACCTACCCTGCTACGCGAGCCTGCTCTACGATAAAGACCTGAGCCGAGTAACCTGCCACGTTTGACAGAACGGCAACTCGTTTAATCACCAATTTCGACTTTATCGTAACCAAACGACATCCTAATCCATCATGGTGGCTCAATCGTCAGGTGCTCGATTTCAGAATCTTCCATCTGAACTCGTGGAGGACATCGGACGATACCTCCTAGAACCGGTCTCTAATGTGAAACCGGATATATCGCAACACTTTATTTTTAAACGGACCCAGCCTATGACCAAGTCGCCAGTACGGTATACTAAGCAAAGCGTCAAAGAGTTTGTTTCCTATCGGGCGGCATGCCAGGATTTCCGGGACTCAACTTCACGTCTCTTCAGCTATATTGTCGATGATACCGAGTACGCTGTGGACCAGAAGAGCTTGAAGGGCCTTCTCTACGCATCGAGCCACGATGGTCTCCGTTCCGGAGTTCGGACGGTCAATATCCGGATCGATTATCAAGAGGTTCTAGATTCTTTCACTCCGGAGGAGCTGAAAAGATACCAGCAGTACAACAACCCAGCTAAGAAATCGCGGATGACGCTGCAATCGAGTGCCCTCTCTCGATCCACGGTGCTCTCCCAAGCATTAGCGGCGTTTCCGGATCTCGAGTCACTCAGACTGTCCATTACAGCCGCGGGCATAAACATGCAAGGCAAACTAACTCCTGAAAGGGAGAGCGTGTTACTCCTGCTTGGGATTGTATGCAGCGTCATCCGCGATGCGGTCTTGAGCAGCAAGCGCCCATGCATCGCGGAGTCGATCGACGTGGCGATCCAAGAACTCCATCGCGGGATCAGCGAGACCGAAGTCGAGACGGTCCTCCAATATTTCCCCCTCTCCAAAAAGCCCAACCACCCCTCCAATGTGCGGGCTACCTCCCACCTCCCCTCCCCCAACTGCACCGTCGAGACGTTCAACAACGCCTGGGGCATCGTCCACGCGCTCGTCCACAACTATCCGCACATAGGTACCCTCAGCCTCGATCTGGACCTGTTCAACAACCCCAACTCCAAGCTCGTCAGCACCGCCGGCCACCGTCGCTACCTCGGCTTCGAAGGTCTGCTGAAGCACATGGAGTACTGGCGGCTCTTCCCGAACATCCGCACGCTGCATCTCGGCGGCATCCAAGCCGGCGCGCTGGATCTCCGGCGGTTCCTGGAGCGCGTGCGCCACGGAGTGACGTCGCTCACCATCTCCCATTCGCGTCTGATCGCGGGGGGTTGGAAGTTCCTGTTCGGGTACTTGAGTCAGTGGCAGCTGAAGGAGCTGCATCTCCTTGGCCCGGAGATCATCGGGGAGTACGGGATTCGATCGTTGCCGGTGCGGCTGTTCGTGGATGGACGGTGGCGGAACGAGGTGCATTTTTTGGGGCCGCTGGTGTCGGAGCAATGTCTCGCAGTGAAGGTGCTCTATCCTCCAAAAGACGGGCATTGGATCGAGGATGCGGATGATGGGAGTGGCGGCGTAGATGACGATGAGAATCATGACGAGGACGAGGATGAAGATGAGGACGAATATGACAGCGGAGAAGATGAGCACATTGTAGTATGAGGACAGTCGGTGAAGCAACTTGGCGGGACCCGTCCCAGCAAGCCATTCCATTGCGGGACACGTTTGTCTCTAGCTTGTGGAGCGAGACTGACAATCCTCTAACACAATCTATGTCATTATCAAAACCGTGAGGGTTCATCTCTAATTAGATGGTTCGTATGGCCAACAGGCACATAACTACTATTTTCAAGCGACCAAACCCCAGACACCTATCATAGTCCACATCGTGATCCCACCTCAAACATCTCACAGCGACTAGCAATCACTACTGCCTCTCCACCCCACCCCCCACCATCCCCACCCCCCCAAGGCTCGGATACTTCCTCTCAAAACTCGCCTCCCAATCCTCCCCGCCCTCCTCTCCCCTCCCATCCTGGTTCCCCGTCCGCAATGCCTCCGGCTTCGGCGCCACATTCGGCCTCGTCCCTCCCGTCCTCGCCGGCGCCACCGCCGCACTCGGACCCGCCGACGCAGTGCGCACCGGCACCGGCTTCCGACCGACCATCGGACGCGGTTTCGCATTCGTGGGCGACTGTTCCGCCTGCTTCGTCGCCGAGTCGTCCGCGAAATGCCCGTATCCCTCCGCCGTACGCACTGTCACCTCCCGCCTACTATCCTCCATGAGGTTCCGCATGCGATTCTGAATCAAATTGCTCTTCTGCGCCGGCGCCAGCGACGGCGCTGCCGAACTTCTTCGTGTTCCCGCGCCTACGTTTTGCCCTCGATGCGCCAGTCGCTCCCGGTACTCCCGCGCTGCCGCCTCCACGCGCCTCTCCTCCTGACTCAACCGCCGGCGCTCCAGCTCCCTCCGCACCTCGGGACTCAACTCAATGCTCTCGTCGATGGCGCTCTCGCGATCCTGTTGATCGCTCGCGGTGGCCTCGCTGCCGGCGATGGGGGTGAGGGACATGCGGGGGAAGCGGTCGGTCGGGTCGGGGCTGAGCGGCGGGGCGGCGAGGAGGCCGTCGCGGAGGTTGTCTTCTTCGTCGCCGGTACCAGTGGCGGTGTTGGTTTCGAAGCGGCGGAAGGCGTCGCCGAACTTGCCGGCGAGGATGTGCTTGGTATTGGCGAGGGCGGAGCCGACACCAGGGAGAGAGGAGCGTTTGCGGTCGCGGTCGGTTTCTTTGATGGGATCGTCGCTGCTGCGGCGGCGGCTGGCGCGGTCTGTTTTGTCGTCGTGCTCTCGGGAGCGGAGGTAGGAGAGGTTATTGGAGATGGTGCTGGGGCGTCGGAGGGCAGTGTCGCGGTCGCCGTGAAGTTCGAGCGGGCTTTCGTCGTCAGAGCTTCCGACGGCCACGGTGCGGACGACGGCGCTGTCGCCGTGGGGGGTAGGGCCGGCGGTGCGGCTCGGGGTGAGGAGGTTTTTGGTTTTTGCGGCCCCTCCTTCGCGGTCGCGGAGGAAGTCGAGGTTGTTCTCGACGTAGATGGTGCTTGGTCGCTTTGGTTTTAGGTCGCCTTCCATGTGGATTTCCATCTCCTCGGTCTCGACGCCCAAGCCCATATCTCGTGCGCTTGGACGCCGCGTTTCTAGGCTCGGGCGGCTGGACGATGATAAGACGGATGGAACTGTGGCGCTGGTCAGAGTCGTAATCTGACTCTTACTCCGATGGAGTTCTGGTGCTCCCGGACCCTGATCTGGTCGTAATTTCGAGCCCTGGGTCGGGCGGGGCTGGGAAAGGGCGCGATGCTGTGGAGTTTCAAGAGTTGAGGAACGTGGTACTCTCCATATTGGTTGCTCCGCCGGTTGATTTGGAGATTTTCGAGAGATGGTCGCGTTACTTGGCGGTGACGGAGGAGATGAATCCGTCCCGACTCCGACCGAGACGTATTGGTGTGGTTTCGACGTCGCGATCGACTCTGATTTGGTGATCTTCGGTTGTGAAGGGACCGGCGGAGTGGACGGCAATGGTTTCGTTGTGATCGTCGTAGATGGTGTAGGTACAGTTGGTTTCGCGGGCTTCGCGGGCCGAGCAAATGCGTTGTCCGCAAGTGCCTGAGTCACTCTCTTTTGCAGCATCGCGTCGCCGGGCTTCTCCTTAGGGGAATCTTGACTGAACTGGAATTTGCCTCCCTGGTCATGTAGGAGAGAGAATTCGTCCAGGGAAGGAAATCTCGAAGAGATGTCCTCTGCAACAGTCGATTTCGTCGGTTGTGGCTTGGAGTCTAGCGCTGCAAATGGATCGCTACTAACGACGCGAAGGGGGGAAGGGCTCGGGCGGGAAGCAGTCGCAGTTTGGGTGGGAGCGGTTGGTCTGCCTCGTCGCATTGGCTTGACATCCGGGATGCTCTGGGCCTGTTGCATAGGAGCGACTTTCTGAATACCGACGACGGGTGGCGGAGTGACATCTGGTTCTAGTGAAGGCAGCTCTTGGTATCGTCGTGCTTCGGATTGTGTGCGACGGGCATATATCTAGTCGGGTTAGAAAACAGTATACAATAGCTCAATCATACTTACGTCTTTGATCGGAACCTCTGTTCCACGCATCGAGCATACTTCCTTGATCACCTGGTAGATATTGGGCCGTTGGCTCGGATGCTCTCGCAGCATTGAAGCTATACGGTCAGAATCGTCCTCACCATTTGACCAGGGAGCTTACCTATGAGCTTCTTTATCCGATCCGAAAACGATGGATACGGAGGGAATTTATATGACGCATTCAAAATGGCCATCTGTCCTTGCTCCTCAAACGGCGTGGTATAATAGCATAGCTTGTACAATAACACTCCCAAGGCCCAAATATCGCTCTTCTCGTCTATCGGTTGCTTCCGGTAAACATCCACTATTTCCGGGCTCCGATACTGCATCGTCGTATGCTTCTGCACATCGTCCTCGATCAACCGCCCCTCCTGCGCCGTTTTCGCCGCAGGTCTCGGCGGCGCGGTGGACCCAAAGTCGCACAGCTTATACGATCGCGACGACCCCGACGTCGAAATCAACACGTTCTCGACCTTCAGATCCCGATGCAGCAGCGGCGGCTTCAGATAATGCATCGTGGCCACGCCCTCGGCCACGTCGCTGAAGATCTTCAGGATCTCGGGCTCCGTCAACCGATGCTGCAGGCGCGTGTTCATGAAGTCGATCAGCCCGCCCCCCGCGCAGTACTCCATCAGCAGAAACACCTCGTACCCGCCGCCCTTCAGCTGGCTGGCGTGCGAGTCGATGTACGTGACGATGTGCGTGTGGCCCTTGAGCTTCTTCATCGTCTCGACCTCAGTGCGCATGTTCGCGAGGGCTTCCTTGTCGGATACGGCGACGCGCTTGAGGACCGCGATGTCGTGTTTATTAGGCGCCCCATCGCGCGGTACGCGGACGACGTAGACGTGGGCGAAGCCGCCTTCGGAGAGGTATTTCTCGATGATGACGCGGTGGGCGCCGACGTGGACTTTGGTGCCAGAGGAGAAGGTGCCTGGAGGTGCGGAGGCGGTAGAGGTGGGGGGGTAGGGGCGGGAGAAGGTGTGGGAGGAGGAGTGGGAATGGTGATAGGTGGAGGACATGGTGGATGGAGTGGTGGAGGTGAGATGTCGGCGGAGGAGTTGGAGATGGGGGCAGTCCTGGAGGAGGAGGCGGGATGGAGGGTTATGATGTGGTGGAAGAGGACACGTAGGATGTAGCCATTCAAAGGAAGGGGAATATACCAACAAATTGTCGCGAATTGGAGGGTGGAAGGATGGGAATTGGGATCTGAAGGTGTCGGGAAACTGGAAAGTTGAACAGTGACGAACTGACGATGAAGGCGGTGCAGGCGGTGGTCAGAAGCAGGGGTCCCATGACAGCCATCGTGAGCCTCTATTGACTATTTACCGTAGCAAGGTACCGTATTATCTGGTCAGATATTCGGAGGCTGAAACATCTCAGCATCTACTATCTCTCCTTCAATAAACATGATTCAATAATATCCCTTCAAGCAAGTCTCGGAACAGGGATATTTTGGTAACCATCTCTATCAACACCTCAACCCCGATTCTAGACCGAGAACCGTGTACGAAATAGTCCAGCCTCTATTAGGTAGGATGGTCACTAGGCAGCCCAGTTTCAACATCGCAGATAGAGTGGACAGTACGTAGTCCCAGCAGCATCCATTTAAGTATTCCTCTATAGGCCTTCCATAGGCCTTGCATCATTCCGTTATTATAAGATCTTAGGTCTGATTGCCGCCTAGCCACGCCCACGGCCAATCTGCACCCTCCTGATCAGCTGGATATGAAGGCCAAAGATGAAGACAGGGAAATTGATGTTGAGGACCAGCGGCTTCGATGAGCAGCATTGCCATTCATAGACGTGGTTCAAGCTATTCGAAAATCCAAGCTAAAAAGACAAACCCTTGCAATACGAAGGATGCAAAGAATCACTGCCGGTATGGAGTCCATCGAGACCCCTCGTTTTTGTTGCACTCCAAAATCCATATTCGGCGTGATATTATAGCAACTCAATCCCTGGAATTATCCCAGTGGCTTTGTGCTCACTGCTCAGAGATATTTAGCCAAAGAACCGTTCTCGATCCAGCCAGCCGATATATCTCCCCTCACCACAGCGTCACACCACCATCCTGTCCGAATTTCCGAGGTTGAACAGAACCATCGATGTCGACCCGGTTCAAACCGTTGAAATTCGCGTAGGTCGGAATGTACGCGTGGCGATGATCGTCAGCCAAAGGTGAGTGCGCCGCTGCCACTTCATCCGGGCGGTGGGCGTCTGTCAGGGCCTCAGGGGACGGTTCATGATAGGCCCAATGTGCGAATTGGGTTGAAGGAAGTCGGTCGCATGGACGAGGAGGGGTAATGTCACATGTTTGTGATACCCACGATAGGTTGGAACTTGGTTCAAGGAGAATCGACGAAGACCAGGCTTGGGGAGGGTTTGTTAATGGTGGGAAATCTGGGATTGCGTAGGTATAGTACCACTATGGCTGCAGTAGACTCGAAGATTTGATCAAGGCACAGGATTTGGAACCATTGATTATAATGAAGGACTGTGAAGTTGGTACAACATATGGCTTGTTTGGGTTGGGACGGGTTTGAGCGAAGTAAGAAATGTAGGTACCTCCGTATCTGATCATATTGATATTCAATACTACTTTGGACTGCTAAGTGCTGGAGTGAAGAAAAGCACTTGATGATCTTTGAAGGGTACCTATCCCTGAGGCGTCGAATACCCTTGAATGTTAGCTGGTTTCGCCTGATATGACTTTGCTAATGATAGAATTCCACCAACTAACTTAGTTATAACTATTTCATTTAGTTAGTATGAAATACGACTCTCCATTTCCGTAGGCTAGAGGAGGATGTTAAAGATGAAGGACGTTCAAATTCCTCCTCCGGTTACGGCGCAATGCGTTCTTCTCCAAAGTCTCAATCGGGTCCCAATCACTGCCTGGCACCGGACCAGGATAACCCAGGTGAATTTCCGAGACGCGCTTTGTATCGGAGGATCGACATGGGAACCAGGAGGATGGAACGGGCATTTCAGACCGTTGATGCAAGAGTCCTTCCTAGAAGACTGTTATGACGCGTCCCATTGACTGGATTGCGATCGGGTGATGTATGCTGAATGTATTGGGAGTATGCAAGGCTGGGATTTGAGAATGTTTTGGAAACTGTGCATCGTCATCCTAGAAGAACGACGGATCATAAATCGAGGAGGAGGATCGGGAGCGGAATTGGAGAACAGTTGCAGCTGCAGCTGGGATCATGTGATGTGATCATGTGATGTGCATCTGCGGATGGAGGGAGGGCTTTAAGGCAAGACGGCAGGAAAGGGAGCAAAGGCTGCCAGGCTGTTAGACTCTCCAGCCAATCATCATTCATAATCGCCAGGAATTCCGGCCGTCATCGTCACTGGGCGCATTCTTGGCGTTTGCGGTCCGCCAAAACCAACATCACCACTTTGGCTGCCAGTATTTCCAACCTCCGCGGCGATATCTTGACCATATTACCCTCATTATCTCCCCATCATATGCCATATTCTCCTCCCTAGGCCCTGTAATTTCCCCGAGAATCACTCCAACCTGCTATTCCTCACCTAGATCACCGCTCTTGCTTCAGAACCTCCTCTCACCTACCCCAGCAGCTTTCCTTTCAGTAAGCACAAGGCTGCTTGCAATGCCGCTTTCCTCATCGCGACGATAATCCCCCGTTTACGTCTCCCCATTGCCTAAGGTCATACAGGTGCCTGCATCTCTGCGGTATCATCTCCAGCTGGAATTCACTTAGATACAGTGCCGCGTGTGCCTGCCTCAAGGCTCCGCTTGCTTCCCCGACTTCAGCGGTGCTTCCTCATCATCACTTATATTTCCCCTCCTCTCACTTAAATACAAACGACATAACAAGGCTTGGTTTCCTCAACCGTATCCTCGCGAATCCTACGTACCCCTGCCGGTGGCTCTCACTTTGCCAAAACGTCAGATATACCACCTGCCGACAACATGGTGCGAATTCCACGCCCCCGCCGCTTTTCCACCGGCGCAACCTCCGACACCTCATCCTCCACGTCACCGGAACGGGGCGCCGACGACGACAATGACTCCATCATGATTAACCCCAACGATTCCATCTCCTCGCTCGCCGCATCGGTCGAGCACGACCGCGACGCCGACATGGAGGATCGCCGCCCCCTCGCTCCCATCGAAGCCCTCCCCGCCGAGCTGATGATCGCAATCTTCGCCCGCCTGTCCTCCTCGCCGCAGGACCTGCGCAGCTGCATGCTCGTGAGTCGCGACTGGGCGCGGAACAGCGTGGCCTTGCTCTGGCACCGACCGCAGACCAACAATTGGAAGAGCTTGCAGACCGTAGTGCGGACCATCTCCAATAAGTCCACCTTCGACTATCCGCAGCTCGTCCGGCGCCTGAACCTCTCCACGTTGAATAATCAGGTTAGCGATGGCACGTTGATGGCGTTTCGGGAATGTAAGCGCATCGAACGCTTGACCTTGACCAACTGCACCCGCCTGTCGGACCAGAGCGTCAAACCCATGATTGTGGGGAATCGGAGCCTGCTGGCGCTCGATGTCACGGGGCTGGAGGGAATCTCATCAGACACGATGCTTGAGGTGGCGAAGAACTGCTATCGACTTCAAGGACTCAATATCACGAACTGTCGCCTCGTCACTGATGAGGGTCTTGAAGCCATCGCTCGTAGCTGTCGACATATCAAGCGTGTATGTACCCTCATTTCCTCCTTTTGTAGAATATGCTGACCACTTTCACAGCTCAAGTTTAATGGCTGCAACCAAATCACAAGCAAGGCTGTTCTAGAGTTTGCGGCCGCCGCCCAATATCTGCTCGAGATTGACCTCCACTGTGTCCACCTCCTTGAAGACGATGCCGTCACTGCACTGCTGTCAAATGGCAACCAGCTCCGCGAACTGCGTCTTTCCCACTGCTCTCGCATTACGGATGCCGCCTTTCTCAACCTTCCGACCAATGCTCAGTACGAGTCCCTCCGCATCCTCGACCTGACGGACTGCATCGAATTGCAGGATGCCGGTGTCCAGCGCATCGTGACCGCCGCGCCCCGACTCCGGAACCTGGTGCTCGCCAAATGCCGACAACTGACCGATCGCGCCGTAATCGCGATCACGAGATTGGGCAAGAATCTACACTACATCCACCTCGGCCACTGCGCACGCATCACCGATGCCGGTGTGCTTCAATTGGTCAAACTCTGCAATCGGATCCGCTACATTGACCTGGCCTGCTGCAGCCAACTCACCGATCAAAGTGTGCACATGCTGGCGACCCTCCCGAAACTCAAGCGGATCGGGTTGGTGAAGTGTGATAACATCACGGATCGAAGTATCTACGCGCTGGCGAAACCGAGAAACGCGGGAAATGCTCCGAATATTCCACCGCTCTATGCACAAGCAAATTTCATCCCTGGGTATAATACTCAAAATGCGATGAGCGGGGCTACACCTAGCAGTTTGGAGCGAGTTCATTTGAGCTACTGTCGGAATCTGACGCTTAATGTGAGTTCAACGTGTTCACTATGTGTGCTTCTACCCAGTTTACTGACGCGTATTCCAGGGCATCCACGCTCTCCTCAACAATTGCCCTCGTCTCACCCATCTGTCCCTTACAGGCGTCCAGGCATTCTTGAGAGATGATCTTCTCCGCTTCTGCCGTGCAGCTCCTCCAGGTAAGCTCTCAATTCTTCTGCTATTCCTGTTTGATCAAGGATTGACGGGTTTCAGAATTCAACGAGCACCAGCGCAACCTGTTTTGCGTTTTCTCCGGCCATGGCGTCAAGGATCTTCGCACCTTTCTGAATGAGGATACCCATCTCCAACCTCCTTTCGATCCGTCCGAAGACGAGGGGGACGATCCAGCGCTCCCTGACCATGCTGCTTCCATGCCAGCACCAAATCAGGATGGCACCATGTACAATGATGGAGACGATGACGATGCCATACCACTCATTCAACATGGTGCTCCACCTTTGGCTTCTCTGCCTTCTCAACTGCAACCATCGAACGGCCTCTCGAACATGTTCCCGGTCATTACGCCGCCGGCCGCCCAAGGGTCTCAAACCACCTTAAACACCGGATGGGTACCCAGCACGATCTTGCAGGCCCTACACGGGAACCCATTCGCGTCGCAATCGACCCAAACCCAGGCTCCGACCCCATCGACCTTCAATTTCTTCCAACAGCAACCCCAGGCACCCGCTCCATCGACGGCCCGGCAGAACCCCGCGCCTCCGCCCTTCCCTCCCCAGACTCAACACCACGCCACCCAACATACTGCCCCCT